GGGGAAAATTGGGAAATGGGGGAAAACAGGGAAAAACAGGGGGAAAATGGGAAAAATGGGAAAAAACCGGGAGAAAATGGGAAAAAATGGGAAAAATGGGAAAAACGGGGAGGAAAATGGGGGGAAATTGGGAAAAGGGGGAAACGGGGAAAAATGGAGGAAATAACGGGAAAAATGGGGGAAAAATGCAGAAAAACGGGGAGGGGGAATGGGGAAATAACGGGAAAAATAACGGGAAATTGGGGAAAACCGGGGGGAAAATGGGGAAAAATGGGAAAAACTGAGGGAAAATGGGGAAAAATGGGGAGAAAAGGGAAAAACGGGGGAAAATGGGGATACAGTGGGAAAAATGGGGGGAAATAACGGGAAAATGGGAAAAATGGGGTGAAAATGTCGAAAAACGGGGAGAAACGGGGGAAAAATGGGGAAAAATGGGGAGAAACAGGAAAAATGGGGAAAATGGGGGGAAATGATGGGAAAAGGGTGGGAAATAACGGGAGAATTGGAAAAATGGGGGAAATAACGGGAAAATGGTAAAAATGGGGAGGAAAACCAGAGGAAAAATGGGGGGAAATAACGGGAAAATGGGAAAAATGACGGAAAATGGGGAAAATGAGGAAAAATGTGGGGGAAAATGGGGAAAATGAGGAAAAATGTGGGGGGAAAACGGGGAAATTGGGGGGAAATGGGGAAAAATCATGGAAAATAGGAAAAATCGATGGGGAAACAATGGGAAAAACGGGGGAAATGGGGAAAAGAACGGAAAAAATGGGGAAAATGGGGAAACAATGGGAAAAATGAGGGAAAATGGGAAAAATGAGGGAAACAACAGGGAAAATGGGAAAAAATGGGGAAAACAGCAGGAAAAAAGGGGAAAACAATAGGAAAAATGGTGAAAATGAGGGAAAATGGGAAAAACAATGGGGAAACAACGGGAAAAATGGGAAAAATGAGGGAAAGAACAGGGAAGCAACGGGAAAAATGGGGAAACAATGGGAAAAACATTGGGAAAAATGGGACAAATTGGGAAAAATGGGGAAAATGGGGAAAAATGGGAAAAACAAGGGGAAAATGGGGAAACAATGGGAAAAACGGGGGGAAAACAGAAAAGAAATAGCGAGAAAAACGGGAAAATGGTTTTTGGGGTGATTTTGAGTTGGATTTTGGGCTGATTTTGGGCTGATTTTGGGCTGATTTTGGGGTTGATTTTGTGATGATTCTGGGGTGATTTTAGGGTTGATGTTGGGGTGATTTGGGGGCTGATTTTGGGTCGATTTTGGGGTGATTTTGGGGCTGTTTTGGGCTGATTTTGGGGCTGTTTTGGGCTGATTTTGGGCTGATTTTGGGGCTGATTTTGGGCTGATTTTGGGATGGATTTTGGGCTGATTTTGGGGCTGTTTTGGGCTGATTTTAGGGCTGTTTTTGGGCTGATTTTGGGTCTGCTTTGGGCTGATTTTGGGCTGATTTTGGGGCTGTTTTTGGGCTGATTTTGGGTTGATTTTGGGCTGGATTTTGGGCTGATTTTGGAGCTGTTTTTGGGCTGATTTTGGTCTGATTTGTGCCGATTTTGGGCTGATTTTGGGGTGGATTTTGGGCTAATTTTGGGGCTGTTTTTGGGATGGATTTTGGGCCGATTTTGGGCTAATTTTGGGGCTGTTTTTGGGATGGATTTTGGGCCGATTTTGGTCTGATTTTGGAGCTGTTTTTGGGCTGATTTTGGTCTGATTTCGGGCTGATTTTGGGCTGATTTTGGGCTGGATTTTGGGCTGATTTTGGGGCTGTTTTTGGGATGGATTTTGGGGTGATTTTGAGTTGATTTTGGGGTGATTTTGGGATAGATTTTGGGCTGATTTTGGTCTGATTTGTGCCGATTTTGGGCTGATTTTGGGGTGATTTTGGGCTGATTTTGGGGCTGTTTTGGGCTGATTTTGGGCTGATTTTGGGCTGATTTTGGGGCTGATTTCGGGCTGGATTTTGGTCTGATTTTGGGGGTGATTTTGGGGTGATTTTGGGGCTGTTTTGGGGTGATTTTGGGCTTATTTTGGGGCTGTTTTGGGGAAGGTTTTTGGGGTGATTTTGGGATGGATTTTGGGTCGATTTTGGGCTGATTTGTGCCGATTTTTGGGCTGTTTTTGGGCTGATTTTGGGATGGATTTTGGGCTGATTTGTGCCGATTTTGGGGTGATTTTGGGGCTGTTTGGGGCTGATTTTGGGCTGATTTTGGGATGGATTTTGGGCTGATTTTTGCCGATTTTTGGGATGATTTTGGGGCTGTTTTGGGGTGATTTTGGGCTGGATTTGGGGTCGATTTTGGGATGATTTTGGATCTGCTCTGGGGATGTTTTTTGGGGTGATTTTGGGCCGATTTTGGCCGATTTTTGGGCTGATTTTGGGTTGATTTTGGGGTGATTTTGGGCTGATTTTGGGATGGATTTTGGGCTAAATTTGGGATGGATTTTGGGGTGATTTTGGGCTGATTTTGGGGCTGATTTCGGGATGGATTTTGGGCTGGATTTTGGGCTGGATTTCGGGCTGATTTTGGGCTGGATTTTGGGCTGATTTGTGCCGATTTTGGGCTGATTTTGGGCTGATTTTGGGCTGATTTTGGGCTGATTTTGGCCGATTTTTGGGCTGATTTTGGGGCTGTTTTTGGGCTGATTTTGGGGCTGTTTTGGGGCTGATTTGTGCCGATTTTGGGCTGATTTTGGCCGATTTTTTGGCTGATTTTGGGCTGATTTTGGGGCTGATTTTGGGCTGATTTTGGGCTGAATTTTGGGCTGGATTTTGGGCTGATTTTGGGGCTGATTTTGGGTCTGCTTTGGGCTGATTTTGGGATGGATTTTGATCTGATTTGTGCCAATTTTAGGCTGATTTCGGGCTGGATTTCGGGCTGATTTTGGGCTGATTTTGGGATTGATTTTGGGGCTGATTTTGGGCTGGATTTTGGGGCCGATTTCGGGATGGATTTTGGGCTGATTTTGGGGCTGATTTTGGCCGATTTTGGGCTGGATTTTGGGCTGATTTTGGGGCTGATTTTGGGCTGATTTTGGGTCTGTTTTGGGCTGATTTTGGGCTGATTTTAGTCTGATTTTTGGGATGATTTTGGGGCTGTTTTGGGCTGATTCTGGGGTGGATTCGGGATGGATTTTGGGGCTGTTTTGGGGTGATTTTGGGTCTGCCTTGGGGATGTTTTTTGGGCTGATTTTGGCCGATTTTTGGGCTGATTTCGGGCTGGATTTTGGTCTGATTTGTGCTGATTTTGGGGCTGTTTTGGGCTGATTTTGGGCTGATTTTGGGCTGGATTTTGGGTCTGTTTTGGGGTGATTTTGGGCTGATTTTGGGCTGATTTCAGGATGGATTTTGGGCCGATTTTGGACTGGATTTTGGTCTGATTTTGGGGCTGTTTTGGGGTGATTTTGGGGCTGATTTTGGGCTGATTTTGGGTCTGCTTTGGGCTGATTTTGGGCTGATTTTGGGGTGATTTTGGGATGGATATTGAGTTGATTTTGAGTTGATTTTAGGGTGATTTTGAGTTATTTTGGGGCTGTTTTTGGGGCTGCCTTGGGGATGGTTTTTGGGGTGATTTTGGGCTGATTTTGGGCTGATTTTGGGCTGATTTTGGGATGGATTTTGGTCTGATTTTGGTCTGATTTTGGTCTGATTTTGGGCTGGATTTTGGGCTGGATTTTGGGGCCGATTTCGGGCTGGATTTTGGTCTGATTTGTGCCGATTTTGGGCTGAATTTGGGGCTGTTTTGGGCTGGATTTGGGTTGATTTTGGGTTGATTTTGGGCTGATTTTGGGGCTGATTTTGGGGCTGATTTTGGGCTGATTTTGGCCGATCTTTGGGCTGATTTGGGGCTGGATTTTGGTCTGATTTGTGCCGATTTTGGGCTGATTTTGGGGCTGTTTTGGGCTGATTTGGGGCTGCTTTGGGCTGATTTTGGGGCGGTTTTGGGCTGATTTTAGGGCTCTTTCGGGGTGATTTTGGGATGGATTTTGGGCTGATTTGTGCCGATTTTTGGGCTGATTTTGGGCTGATTTTGGGATGGATTTTGGGCTGATTTTGGGGCTGTTTTGGGGTGATTTTGGGGCTGATTTTGGGCTGATTTTGGGTCTGTTTTGGGCTGGATTTTGGGCTGATTTTGGGGCTGATTTTGGGCTGATTTTGGGATGGATTTTGGGCTGATTTTGGGCTGATTTTGGTCTGATTTTGGGCTGATTTCGGGTTGATTTTGGAATGGATTTTGGGTCGATTTTGGGGCTGTTTTTGGGCTGATTTTGGGGCTGATTTTGGGCTGGATTTTGGGCCGATTTCGGGATGGATTTTGGGCTGATTTTGGGCTGATTTTGGGCCGATTTTGGGGCTGTTTTTGGGATGGATTTTGGGCTGATTTTGGGGCTGTTTTTGGGCTGATTTTGGGTCTGCTTTGGGCTGATTTTGGGCTGATTTTGGGGCTATTTTGGGCTGATTTTGGGCTGATTTTGAGCCGATTTTTGGGCTGATTTTGGGTTGATTTTGGGCTGATTTGTGCCGATTTTTGGGCTGATTTTGGGTTGATTTTGGGCTGATTTTGGGGCTGTTTTTGGGCCGATTTCGGGATGGATTTTGGGCTGATTTCGGGTCTGTTTTGGGCTGATTTTGCGGCTGATTTTGGCCGATTTTTGGGCTGGATTTTGGGCTGATTTTGGTCTGATTTGTGCCGATTTTGGGCTGATTTTGGGGCTGATTTTGGGGCTGTTTTGGGATGGATTTTGGGCTGATTTTGGGGTGGAATTTGGGCTGATTTTGGGGCTGTTTTGGGGTGATTTTGGGCTGTTTTTGGGCTGATTTTGGCCAATTTTTGGGCTGATTTTTGGGCTGATTTGGGGCTGTTTTTGGGCTGATTTCGGGATGGATTTTGGGCCGATTTTGGTCTGATTTTGGGCTGATTTTGGGATGGATTTTGGGCTGATTTCGGGTAAATTTTGGCCTGATTTTGCCGCTTTGGCCCCTGGCAGACGTGCTGCGCTCGGCGCTGGGGGCGGGGCTGTGGGGGCTGGGCCTGGGGCTGTGGGTGGGGCTGTTCCAGACCCGCCGCGGCCAATGGGGCGCCTTGGGCGACGCCCTCAGCTTCACCCAGCCAATGGGAGAGCCCTGAGCCCGACACGCCCCCGCAGCGACCAATGGCGGCGCAGAGAGGTGAGGGAGCGGCCAATCAGGGAGGGAGGGGGCGGGGCTTGGTGCTGATTTGGGGCGGGGCTTTGCTCAGCCAATAGGAGCGGTGGAAATTGGGGGCGGGGCTTGGAGCAGCCAATGGGAAAAGGGGAGGGGCGGAGCTTGAAGGGGAGAAGGGCGGGGCTTAAAGTGACCAATGGGAGAGGTGGTATGGAGGGTGGGGCTCTGAGCAGCCAATGGGAGAGCCGAGATAGGGGGCGGGGCTTAGGGCAGCCAATGAGAAAGGCTGAAATTGGGGGCGTGGTCTAAGGCAGCCAATGGCGGGGGGGGAATGGTGGGGAGGGGCTTAAACCGACCAATAGGAGAGGTCTGAGGGGGCGGGGCTTCACCCAGCCAATGGGAGTGAGCCGATAGGGGGTGGGGCCTGGGCCAGCCAATGAGAAAGCCCCAATATGAGGGCGTGGCTCGCAGCAGCCAATGGGAGAGGTTGTGGGCGTGGTCACCCAAAAGGGGGCGTGGTCACCCCAAAGGGGGCGTGGCCTTCCCTTTTAGCCCCTCCCCTTTCCTCCCGCAGGAGCGATGACGTCATCCCCGCCCTGCAGGAGCCCCGCCCCCTTTCCCAAATAAAGGCCACGCCCAAATATGCAAATGCAGGAGGTTTTATTAGTGGAGGGGCGTGGTCAGGGCGGGTGTGGGAGTGGCCTAGGTGGGTGTGGCAAATGAGGGCGTGGTCAGGGTGGGCGTGGTCAGAGTGGGTCTGGTCGATGTGGGCGTGGTCTGAGTGGGCGTGGTCAGGGTGAGAGTAAACAGTGTGGGCGTGGTCACGGTGGGTGTGGGCGTGATCAGAATGGGTGTGGTCAATGTGGGCGTGGTCAGGGTGGGGCTGGTCAATGTGGGCGTGGTCTGAGTGGGTGTAGTCATGGTCAGGGTGGGTGTGGTCTGAGTGGGCGTGGTCTGTGTGGGTGTGGTCTGGTCATGGTCAATGTCGGTGTGGTCAATGTGGGCGTGGTCAGTGTGAGAGTAAACTGTGGGCGTGGTCACAGTGGGTGTGGGCATGGTCAGAGTGGGCGTGGCCAGAGTTTTGGTCAATGTGGGCGTGGTCTGAGTGTGTGTGACCAATGTGGGCGTGGCCAATGTGGGCGTGGTCTGAGTTTTGGTCAATGTGGGCGTGGTCACGATGGGTTTGGTCAATGTGGGCGTGGTCAGTGTGGCTGTGGGCGTGGTCAGAGTGGGTGTGGTCTGAGTGGGTGTGGTCAATGTGGGCATGGTCTGAGTGTGGTCTAGGTGGGTGTGGTCAATGTGGGCGTGGCCAGGGTGGGCGTGGCCAGGGTGGGCGTGGTCTGTGTGGGTGTGGTCTGAGTGGGTGTGGTCAATGTGGGTGTGGTCTGAGAGTGGGCGTGGCCACGGTGGGTGTGGCCAATGTGGGCGTGGCAGCGGTGGGCGTGTCCGGGGGCGTGTCCGGGGGCGTGGCCTCACTGTCTCTCGTAGATGAGGCGCAGCAGGCGCAGGCTGGGCCCGTAGCGCTGCTGCTGCCGCTGCGCCGCCTCCCGCCACCTGCGGGACCAGTACGGACCAGTTAGAGACCAGTACGGACTGGTTAGAGACCAGTATAAACCAGTACGGACCAGTATAAACCAGTACGGACCGGTTACAGACCAGTATGGGCCAGTATAAACCAGTATAAACCAGTATGGACCGGTTAGAGACCCGGATAAACCAGTATGGACCAGTATGGACCGGTTAGAGACCAGTATGGACCAGTTAGAGACCAGTATGGACCAGTATAGACCGGTTAGAGACCAGTTAGAGACCAGTATAAACCAGTACAAACCAGTTAGAGACCAGTATGGAGCAGTATAGACCGGTTAGAGACCAGTTAGAGACCAGTATAAACCAGTATGGACCGGTTAGAGACCAGTATGGAGCAGTATAAACCAGTATGGACAAGTACGGACTGGTTAGAGACCAGTATAAACCAGTATAAACCAGTATGGACCAGTTAGAGACCAGTATGAACCAGTACAGACCAGTATAAACCAGTATGGACCAGTTAGAGACCAGTATGAACCAGTACAGACCAGTATAAACCAGTATGGACCGGTATGGACCGGTTAGAGACCAGTATAGACCAGTATGGACCGGTTAGAGACGAGTTAGAGACCAGTATAAACCAGTATAAACCAGTATGGACCAGTTAGAGACCAGTATAGACCAGTACAGACCGGTTAGAGACCAGTATAGACCAGTATAAACCAGTTAGAGACCAGTACGGACCACTATGGACCAGTATAAACCAGTATGGACCAGTTACAGACCAGTATAAACCAGTATGAACCAGTTAGAGACCAGTATAAACCAGTATAAACCAGTATGGACCAGTATGAACTCGTGACAACCTCCCAGTCCAAACCAGTATAACCCAGTATAACCCAGTCCCGCCCAGTCCCATTTTCACCCCTAAAATCCCCATTTTTCACCCCAAAACCTCCAGATTTTCACCTCCCAGTCCCTCCCAGTTCCCTCCCAGTCCCTCCCAGTTCCCCCCAGTATAACCCAGTATATCCCAGTTCCCTCCCAGTCCCTCCCAGTCCCTCCCAGTCCAAACCAGTGCCCCCAGCCCCATTCCCAGTACAACCCAGTCCCATTTTCACCCCTAAAATCCCCATTTTTCACCCCAAAACCCCCAAATTTTCACCCCCCAGTCCCTCCCAGTCCCTCCCAGTATAACCCAGTATATCCCAGTTCCCTCCCAGTCCCTCCCAGTCCAAACCAGTCCCATTTTTCACCCCTAAAATCCCCATTTTTCACCCCAAAACCCCCGGATTTTCACCCCCCAGTCCCTCCCAGTCCCTCCCAGTCCCCCCCAGTCCCTCCCAGTCCCTCCCAGTATAAACCAGTCCCTCCCAGTACCCCCCAATTCCCTCCCAGTATAACCCAGTATAACCCAGTCCCTGCCCAGTCCCATTTTCACCCCTAAAATCCCCATTTTTCACCCCAAAACCTCCAGATTTTCACCCCCCAGTCCCTCCCAGTCCCTCCTAGTATAACCCAGTATATCCCTGTTCCCTCCCAGTTCCTCCCAGTCGAAACCAGTCCAAACCAGTAACCCCCAGTTCCCCTCCCAGTACAACCCAGTCCCATTTTCACCCCTAAAATCCCCATTTTTCACCCCTAAAATCCCCATTTTTCACCCCAAAACCCCCGGATTTTCACTCCCCAGTCCCTCCCAGTCCCTCCCAGTCCCTCCCAGTCCCTCCCAGTACAAACCAGTATAAACCAGTGCCCCTCACCGCTGCCGGACGCGTTTCCATCTCTCCATGTTCCGGTAGATCAGAGAGGTGATGGAGGGGGCGGGGTCAGGAGCCTGGGGGCGGGGCCACAGCGGTGACGTCAGCGAGGGGGCGGGGCTTGGGGAAGGTGGGCGGGGCTTGAGGGGTGGGCGGAGCTTGGGGGATTTTTGGGGGATTTTTTTGGGGTTTTTTAGGGGATTTTTGGGGATAATTTTTAGGATTTTTATAAAGGATTTTTGGGAGATTTTTGGCATAATTTTAGGGGATTTTTGGGGTTATTTTTAGGATTTTTCTAAAGGATTTTTGGGATATTTTTGAGGTAATTTTGGGATATTTTTAGGGGATTTTTGGGGTAATATTTAGGGAATTTTGAGGATTTTTATAAAGAATATTTTGGATATTTTTAAGGGATTTTTGGGAGAATTTTTGGGATTTTTTAGGGGATTTTTGGGGATAATTTTTAGGATTTTTTGGGGTAATTTTGGGATATTTTTAGGGGATTTTTGGGGTTTTTTTTAGGTAATTTTGGGATATTTTTGGGGTATTTTTTGGGATATTTTGGGGGATTTTTGAAAATTTTCAGGGGATTTTTGGGGATTTTTTTGGGGATTTTTATAAAGGATTTTTGGGATATTTTTTTGGTAATTTTGGAATATTTTTAGGGGAGTTTGGGGGTTTTTGGGGGGATTTTTTTGATTTTTCAGGGGATTTTTGGGGATTTTTTTAGGGGATTTTTGAGATTTTTTAGGGGATTTTTGGGAGTAATTTTAAGGATTTTTTAAAAGGAATTTTGGGATCTTTTTGAGGTAATTTTGGGATATTTTTAGGGGATTTTTGGTTTTTTTTTTTTATTTTTTAGGGGATTTTTGGGGTTATTTTTAGGATTTTTATAAAAGATTTTTGGGATATTTTTGAGGTAATTTTGGGATATTTTTAGGGGGTTTTGGGGAGAATTTTTGGGATTTTTTAGGGGATTTTTGGGGATAATTTTCAGGATTTTTATAAAGGATTTTTGGGATATTTTTGGCATAATTTTAGGGGATTTTTAGGATGATTTTTAGGAATTTTTTGCGGTAGTTTTTTGGGGGAATTTTCAGGATTTTTGGGGGTAATTTTGGGACATTTTTAGGGGATTTTTGGGATATTTTTGGGGGTAATATTGGGATATTTTTAGGGGATTTTTTTTATTTTTTAGGGGATTTTGGGGGGATTTTTGGGGTAATTTTTAGGAATTTTTTGCGGTAGATTTTTGGGGGAATTTTCAGGATTTTTGGGATATTTTGGGGTAATTTTGGGATATTTTTATGGGGTTTTTGGGGTAATTTTTAGGGAATTTTCAGGATTTTTGTAAAGGATTTTTAAGATTTTTTGGGGTAATTTTGGGATATTTCTGGGGTATTTTTTAGGATATTTTGGGGTAATTTTGAAATTTTTCAGAGGATTTTTGGGGATTTTTTAGGGGATTTTTGAGATTTTTTTGGGGATTTTTGGGAGTAATTTTTAGGATTTTTCTAAAAGATTTTTGAGATTTTTTTGGGTAATTTTGGGATATTTTTGGGGGATTTTTGGTTTTTTTTTTTTTTATTTTTTAGGGGATTTTTGGGGTTATTTTTAGGATTTTTATAAAGGATTTTTGGGATATTTTTGGTATAATTTTAGGGGATTTTTGGGATGATTTTGGCCGATTTTGGGGGATGATTTTGGGGGATAATTTTGGGCTGATTTTGGGGGATGATTTGGGCCGATTTTGGGGGATAATTTTGGGCTGATTTTGGGCTGATTTTGCTATAATTTCGTGATAATTTCAGTATAATTTTGGGATAATTTTGGGATATTTTTGGGCTATTTTTGGGATCATTTGGGCCGATTTTGGGGGATAATTTTGGGCCGATTTTGCTATAATTTTGTGATAATTTTTGCATAATTTTGCTATAATTTTGGGATATTTTTGGGGTGATTTTGGTCTATTTTTGGGATAATTTTGGGGTATTTTTGGGGTGATTTTGGGCTGGTTTTGGGGTGATTTTGGGCTGTTTTTGGGGTGATTTTGGGCTATTTTTGGGGTGATTTTGGGGTATTTTAGGGTGATTTTGGGCTATTTTTGGGCTGATTTTGTCTGATTTTGGGATATTTTTTGGGTTATTTTGGGGTATTTTGGGATCATTTGGGCCGATTTCGGGGGATAATTTTGGGCTGATTTTGCTATAATTTTGTGTTAATTTTTGCATAATTTCGTTATAATTTTGGGATAATTAAGGGATAATTTTGGGCTGATTTTGGTCTATTTTTGGGGTGATTTTGGTCTGTTTTTGGGATGATTTTGGTCTATTTTTGGGGTGATTTTGGGCTGTTTTTGGGGTGATTTTGGGCTGTTTTTGGGGTGATTTTGGGGTATTTTTGGGGTGATTTTGGGGTGATTTTGGGGTATTCTGGGGGATATTTTTGGTCTATTTTTGGGCTGGTTTTGGGCTGATTTTGGGGTATTTTGGGCTGGTTTTGGGGTGATTTTGGGGCGATTTTGGGATATTTTTGGGGATAATTTTGGGCTGTTTTTGGGGTGATTTTGGTCTATTTTTGGGGTATTTTTGGGGTGATTTGGGGTGATTTTGGGCTGATTTTGGGCTGGTTTTGGGCTGATTTTGGGGTGATTTTGGGGTATTTTTGGGGCGATTTTGGTCTGTTTTTGGTGTGATTTTTGGGGGATATTTTTGGTCTATTTTTGGGGTGATTTTGGGGGTATTTTGGGCTGTTTTTGGTCTATTTTTGGGGTGATTTTGGGGGTATTTTGGGCTGTTTTTGGGCTGATTTTGGGGTGATTTTGGGATATTTTTGGGGATAATTTTGGGGTGATTTTGGGTTGATTTTGGGGGATATTTTTGGTCTATTTTTGGGGCGATTTTGGTGTATTTTTGGGGGTATTTTGGTCTATTTTTGGGCTGTTTTTGGGCTGTTTTTGGTCTATTTTTGGTCTGTTTTTGGGGTGATTTTGGGCTGTTTTTGGGGTGATTTTGGGGTATTTTGGGGGATAATTTTGGTCTATTTTTGGGGGTAGTTTGGGCTGTTTTTGGGCTGTTTTTGGGCTGATTTTGGGCTGATTTTGGGCTGTTTTGGGCCGCTCTCACCTGTCCGGGCGGGGCCCCGCTCTCCTCGGGGCCGAGGGGGGAGGGGACGCGCGGGGTCAGGGCGGGGCCGGGCGGGGGCAGGGCCAGAACGTCCTCGGAGCCGGGCGGGGCCTGGGGACCAGTACGGACCAGTATAAACCAGTATGGACCGGTTAGAGACCAGTATGGACCAGTATAAACCGGTTAGAGACCAGTATGGACCAGTATAAACCAGTTAGAGACCAGTATGGACCAGTATAAACCAGTATAAACCAGTATGGGCCGGTTAGAGACCAGTATAAACCAGTCCAAACCAGTCCCTCCCAGTATAACCCAGTCCCACATTCCCATCCAAAATTCCCATTTTTCCTTCGAAAATCCCCATTTTTGGCCCTAAACCCCTGGGGGTTTTGCTCCCAGTTCCTCCCAGTATAAACCAGTACAAACCAGTACAAACCAGTCCCACATTCCCATCTAAAATTCCCTTTTTTTACCCAAAAAATCCCATTTTTGCCCCTAAAATCCCCGTTTTTTGCCCCAAACCCGCGGGGTTTTTGCTCCCAGTCCCTCCCAGTCCAAACCAGTACAAACCAGTCCCATATTCCCATCTAAAATCCCCATTTTTCCTTCTAAAATCCCGATTTTTTACCCAAAAATCCCCATTTTTGCCCCTAAAATCCCCATTTTTCGCCCTAAACCCCCGGGGTTTTTTGCTCCCAGTATAGACCAGTACAAACCAGTATAAACCAGTCCAAACCAGTCCCACATTTCCACCCAAAATCCCCATTTTTCCTTCTAAAATCCCCATTTTGACCCTAAAATCCCCATTTTTGGCCCTAAAATCCCCATTTTTCGCCCTAAACCCGCGGGGGTTTTTTGCTCCCAGTCCCTCCCAGTATAAACCAGTATAAACCAGTATAAACCAGTATAACCCAGTCTCATATTCCCATCTAAAATCCCCATTTTTGGCCCTAAAATCCCCATTTTTGCCCCTAAAATCCCCATTTTTGGCCCAAAACCCGCGGGGTTTTTTGCTCCCAGTCCCTCCCAGTCCCTCCCAGTACAAACCAGTACAAACCAGTATAACCCAGTCCCATATTCCCATCTAAAATCCCCATTTTTCCTTCTAAAATCCCCATTTTTACCCAAAAAATCCCATTTTTGGCCCTAAAATCCCCGTTTTTTGCCCTAAACGCGCGGGGTTTTTTGCTCCCAGTACAAACCAGTCCCTCCCAGTCCCTCCCAGTCCAAACCAGTATAAACCAGTCCAAACCAGTCCCACATTTCCACCCAAAATTCCCATTTTTCCTTTGAAAATTCACTTTTTTACCCAAAAAATCGCATTTTTGCCCCTAAAATCCCCATTTTTTGCCCCAAACCCGCGGGGTTTTTTGCTCCCAGTCCCTCCCAGTATAGACCAGTACAAACCAGTCCGACATTTCCATCCAAAATTCTCATTTTAACCCACAAAATCCCCATTTTTGGCCCTAAAATCCCCATTTTTGGCCCTAAACCCGCGGGGTTTTTGCTCCCAGTCCCTCCCAGTATAAACCACTATAAACCAGTACAAACCAGTATAAACCAGTCCAAACCAGTCCAAACCAGTACAAACCAGTTCCCTCCCAGTATAACCCAGTCCCACATTCCCATCTAAAATCCCCATTTTTCCTTCTAAAATTCCCATTTTTGGCCCTAAAATCCCCATTTTTCGCCCTAAACCCGCGGGGTTTTTTGCTCCCAGTATAAACCAGTACAAACCAGTACAAACCAGTACAAACCAGTATAACCCAGTCCCATATTCCCATCTAAAATCCCCATTTTTTTCCCCAAAAAATCCCATTTTTTCCCCAAAAAATTGCATTTTTGGCCCTAAAATCCCCGTTTTTTGCCCTAAACCCGCGGGGTTTTTTGCTCCCAGTCCCTCCCAGTTCCTCCCAGTATAAACCAGTACAAACCAGTACAAACAACTCCCACATTCCCACCCAAAATTCCCATTTTTCCTTCGAAAATCCCCATTTTTTCCCACAAAATCCCCATTTTTGCCCCTAAAATCCCCATTTTTGGCCCTAAACCCGCGGGGTTTTTTGCTCCCAGTCCCTCCCAGTATAAACCAGTATAAACCAGTACAAATCAGTCCAAACCAGACCCAGATTACCATCTAAAATCCCAATTTTTCTTTCTAAAAATCCCATTTTTGCCCCTAAAATCCCCGTTTTTTACCCAAAAATCCCCATTTTTGACCCAAAAATCCCCATTTTTCACCCTAAACCCGCGGGGTTTTTTGCTCCCAGTATAAACCAGTATAAACCAGTACAAACCAGTATAAACCAGTATAACCCAGTCCCACATTTCCACCCAAAATCCCGTTTTTTCCTTCGAAAATCCCCATTTTTGCCCCTAAAATCCCCATTTTTGCCCCAAACCCGCGGGGTTTTTTGCTCCCAGTCCCTCCCAGTACAAACCAGTACAAACCAGTCCCATAATCGCATCTAAAATCCCCATTTTTTTCCCAAAAAATCGCATTTTTGGCCCTAAAATCCCCGTTTTTTGCCCTAAACCAGCGGGGTTTTTTGCTCCCAGTATAAACCAGTACAAACCAGTACAAACCAGTCCCATATTCCCATCTAAAATCCCCATTTTTGACCCTAAAATCCCCATTCTTGGCCTTAAAATCCCCATTTTTGGCCCTAAAATCCCCGTTTTTCACCCTAAATTTTCGGGGTTTTTTGCTCCCAGTATAGACCAGTCCCTCCCAGTCCCTCCCAGTATAAACCAGTATAAACCAGTCCAAACCAGTATAACCCAGTCCCACATTTCCATCCAAAATTCCCATTTTTTACCCACAAAATCCCCATTTTTGGCCCTAAAATCCCCGTTTTTTGCCCTAAACCCGCGGGGTTTTTTGCTCCCAGTCCCTCCCAGTATAAACCAGTCCAAACCAGTATAAACCAGTACAAACCAGTACAAACCAGTCCCATATTCCCATCTAAAATCCCCATTTTTCCTTCTAAAATCCCCATTTTTACCCAAAAAATCCCATTTTTGGCCCTAAAATCCCCGTTTTTGGCCCTAAACCCACGTGGCTTTTTGCTCCCAGTCCCTCCCAGTCCCTCCCAGTATAAACCAGTCCAAACCAGTCCCACATTTCCACCCAAAATTCCCATTTTTCCTTCGAAAATTCACTTTTTTACCCAAAAAATCGCATTTTTGTCCCTAAAATCCCCGTTTTTGCCCCAAACCCGCGGGGTTTTTTGCTCCCAGTCCCTCCCAGTATAAACCAGTATAAATCAGACTGACATTCCCACCCAAAATTCCCATTTTTCTTTCGAAAATTCACTTTTTTTCCCACAAAATCCCCATTTTTTCCCCAAAAAATCGCATTTTTGGCCCTAAAATCCCCGTTTTTGGCCCCAAACCTGCGGGGTTTTTTGCTCCCAGTTCCTCCCAGTATAAACCAGTACAAACCAGTACAAACCAGTCCCATAATCCCATCTAAAGTCCCGATTTTTGGCCCTAAAATCCCCATTTTTCCTTCTAAAAATCGCATTTTTCCTTCTAAAATCCCCATTTTTGGCCCTAAAATCCCCGTTTTTCGCCCTAAACCCGCGGGGTTTTTTGCTCCCAGTACAGACCAGTCCCTCCCAGTCCCTCCCAGTCCCTCCCAGTACAAACCAGTATAAATCAGACCTGCTCGGGGGCGGGGGCGGGCGCGGGGCTGTGCCCGATCCAGGCGCGGCACACGGGGTACAGGGGGGTCCCGGCCGGGAACTGCCCCAGCTCCACGCTGCGGTCAAACAGCCGGATCACGAACGAGTCTGCGGAAAACGGGGCAAAATCAGCCGAATTTGGGAAAAAATATATCAAAAATGGACTCGGCGACCCAAAAAACCCCAAAAACCGCCCTAGAAACCCCAAAATACCCCAAAAATCACCCCAAAAACCACCCCAGAAACCCCAAAAACCCAAATATCACCCCAAAAATGGGAAAATTCACCCAAAATTTGGATAAATTCATCCTAAAAATGGGAAAATTCAGCCAAAAATGGGAAATTGACCCAAAAACAGGAAAAATCGCCCCAAAAATGGGAAAACTTCACCCAAAAATGGGAAAATTCACCCCAAAAATGGGAAAAATCTGCCAGAAAAGAGGAAATTCACCCAAAAATGGGATAATTCACCCCAAAATGGGAAATTGACCTAAAAATGGAGAAATTCATCCAAAAAATGGGAAAATTCACCCCAAAAATGGGAAAATTCTCCCAAAATTTGGGAAAATTCATCCTAAAAATGGGAAAATTCAGCCAAAAAAGGGAAATTCACCCCAAAAAGGGAAAATTGACCCAAAAATGGGAAATTGACCCAAAAATGGGGAAATTCATACAAAAAATGGGAAAAATCACCCCAGAAATGGGATCAGCACCCCAAAAAAACCCCAAAACCACCCCAGAAACCCCAAAAAACCCAAATAATCCAAAAAAAAACCCCAAAGAGGCGGATCACGAACGAGTCTGGGGAGAAAATGGGGAAAAATCAGCGAAATTTGGGAAAAAATATATCAAAAATGGACTCAGCGCCCCAAAAAACCCCAAAAACCATCCCAGAAACCCCAAAATACCCCAAAAATCACCCCAACAACCACCCCAGAAACCCCAAAAACCCAAATATCACCCGAAAAATGGGGAAAAATTCACCCCAAAATGGGGAAATTCACACCAAAATGCCCCAAAAATGGGGAAATTCATCCCAAAAATGGGAAATTCAACCAAAAATCTGCCAAAAATGGGAAATTCACCCCAAAATGGGAAATTGACCCAAAAATGGGGAAATTCATACAAAAAAATGGGAAAAATCACCCCAGAAATGGGATCAGCACCCAAAAATCACCCCAAAACCACCCCAGAAACCCCAAAAAAACCAAAAATCGCCTCAAAAACCCCAAAGAGGCGGATCAGGAACGAGTCTGGGGAGAAAATGGGGAAAAATCAGCCGAATTTGGGAAAAAATACATAAAAAATGGACTCGGCGACCCAAAAAACCCCAAAAACCGCCCCAGAAACCCCAAAAAACCCCCAAAACCACCCAGAAATCCCAAATAACCCAAAAATCACCCCAAAAATCACCCCAGAAACCCAAAAAAACCCAAATAATCCCAAAAAACCCCAAAGATGCGGATCAGGAACGAGTCTGGGGAGAAAATGGGGAAAATTGGGGAAAAATGACCCAAATTTGGGAAAATTTACCCCAAAAATGGGAAAAAATTCCTAAAAATGGGATCAGGCCCCAAAAAACCCCAAAACCACCCCAGAAAGCCCAAATAACCCAAATAATCCCAAAAAACCCCAAAGAGGCGGATCAGGAACGAGTCTGGGGAAAAATGGGGAAAAATCAGCGAAATTTGGGAAAAAATATATCAAAAATGGACTCAGCGCCCCAAAAACCCCAAAAACCGCCCCAGAAACCTCAAAAACGACCCAGAAATCCCAAAAAAACCCCAAATATCGCCCCAAAAATGGGAAAATTCACCCCAAAATGGGAAAATTCACCCAAAAATGCCCCAAAAATGGGGAAATTCATCCCAAAAATGGGAAATTCAACCAAAAATGGGAATATTCAGCCAAAAATGGGAAACTTCACCCAAAAATGGGGAAATTCATACAAAAAATGGGAAAAATCACCCCAAGAATGGGAAAATTCAGCCAAAAGTGGGAAAATTCCCATTTTGGGCTCAGAATTCCCATTTTTTGGGGGTGAAAAAAATCCCATTTTTGGCTCAGAATTCCTAAATTTTGGCCCATAATTCCCTGAGTTTTTTGGAATTCCCATTTTTTGGGGTGAAAAATTCCTCTTTTTGGCTCAGAATTCCCAAATTTTGGCCCAGAATTCCCAGATTTTTTTTTTGGAAATCCCATTTTTTGGGGTGAAAGATTCCAATTTTTCTGCTCAGAATTCCCGTTTTTGTCTCAGAATTCCCGTAATTTTCTGGAATTCTCATTTTTTGCCCCAGAATTCCCGGATTTCTTTGGCATTCTCATTTTTGGGGTGAAAAATTCCCATTTTTGGCCCAGAATTCCCAAATTTTGATGGAGTTCCCATTTTTTGGCTCAGAATCCCCAAATTTTGGCTCAGAACTCCCTAATTTTTTTGGAATTCCCGTTTTTTCTCTCAGAATTTCCGGATTTTTATGGAGTTCCCATTTTTGGCTCAGAATTCTCAAATTTTGTCTCAGAATTCCCGGATTTTTCTGGAATTCCCATTTTTTCTCTCAGAATTCCCGGATTTTTCTGGAATTCGCATTTTTTGGGGTGAAAAATTCCCATTTTTGGCCCAGAATTCCCAAATTTTGGCCCAGAATTCCCAAATTTTGATGGAATTCCCATTTTTGGGTGAGAATTCCCATTTTCAGGTGGGAATTCCCATTTTTTGCCCCAGAATTCCCGGAGTTTTTGGCATTTTCATTTTTTTGGCCCAGAATTCCAAATTCTGGGCCACAATTCCCAGTTTTTGGTAAAAATTCCTGTTTTTTCCACTCAGAATTCCCGGATTTTTACAGAATTACCACTTTTTGGCTCAGAATTCGCATTTTTGGCTCAGAATTCCCATTTTTTGGGGTGAAAAATTCCCATTTTTGGCTCAGAATTCCCGGAATTTTGGCCCAGAATTCCCGGATTTTTTTTGGAATTCCCATTTTTTGCCCTGGAATTCCCGGATTTTTTTTGGAATTCTCATTTTTTGGGGTGAAAAATTTCCATTTTTGGCTCAGAATTCCCATTTTTGGCTCAGAATTCCGAAATTTTGGCTCAGAATTCCCAAATTTTGATGGAATTCCCATTTTTTGCCCCGGAATTCCCAAATTCTGGGCTCAGAATTCCCAAATTTTGATGGAATTTCCATATTTGGCCCAGAATTCCCGGATTTTTTTTTTTGAATTCCCATTTTTTGGCCCAGAATTCCCAAATTTTTTTGGAATTCCCATTTTTTTCTCTCAGAATTCCCAGATTTTTTTGGAATTCCCATTTTTTGGGGTGAAAAATTCCCATTTTTGGCTCAGAATTCCCAAATTTTGGCCCAGAATTCCCAGATTTTTTTTTTTGAATTCCCGTTTTTTGCCCGAGAATTCCCATTTTTGGCCCAGAATTCCCAAATTTTGGCCCAGAATTCCCGGATTTTTTTGGAATTCCCATATTTTGCCCCAGAGTTCTCATTTTTTCTCTCAGAATTCCCGGATTTTTCTGGAACTCCCATTTTTTGGGGTGAAAAATTCCCATTTTTGGCTCAGAATTCCCAAATTTTGGGCTCAGAATTCACAAATTTTCATGCAGAATTCCCATTTTTTGCCCCGGAATTCCCAGATTTTTCTGGAATTCCCATTTTTCGCCCCAGAATTTCCGGATTTTTTTTGGAATTCCCATTTTTTGCCCCAGAATTCCCAGATTTTTTTTTGGAATTCCCATTTTCGCCCCAGAATTCCCGTTTTTTCCGGAATTCCCATTTTTTCGGGATTTTCCTCACTCTGTTTCGGGGGGGGCGTCTCGGGCCCCTCCCCCCCCTCCCGCCTCTTCTTCCTCCTCTGCTGCGGGAAACGCCCGGGGGGCCTGGAAAAACGGGAAAAAAACGGGAAAAAAAAGGGAAAAACGGGAAAAGTTACAAAAACTGAGGGAAAACGGGAAAAATGGAGGGGAAAATAGCGGAAAAATAGCGGAAAAAATGGGAAAAACAGTGGCAAAAATGTCGGGAAAAATGGGAAAAGCGGCGGGAAAAGAGTTGGGAAAAGAACGGGAAAATGGGAAAAGTGGGAAAAATGGGAAAAAACAGTGGGAAAATGGGAAAAATAGCAGGAAAAGAGCAGGAAAAATGGGAAAAATGGTGGGAAAATGGGAAAAAACAGTGGGAAAACAGTGGGGGAAAAAGGGCAGGAAAAGAACGGGAAAAGTGGGAAAAATGGTGAGAAAAATGGGAAAAACAGTGGGAAAATGGGAAAAATGGGAAAAAAACAGCAGGAAAACAGCGGGAAAAATGGGAAAAACAGTGGGAAAATGGTGGGAAAAATGGGAAAAACGGCGGGAAAAATGGCAGGAAAAATAATGGGAAAAAAGCAAGAAAAGTGGGAAAAATGGGAAAAATGGGAAAAATCAGAGAAATGGCGGGAAAAATGGGAAAAATGGGAAAAAGGGCAGGAAAAGAGTGGGAAAAGTGGGGAAAACGGCAGAAAAATGGGAAAAACAGTGGGGAAAATGGGAAAAATAGCAGAAAACATGGGAAAAACAATGGAAAAATGGGAGAAATTATGGAAAAAGAGCAGGAAAAGTGGGAAAAATGATGGAAAAATGGGAAAAACAGCAGGAAAATGGGAAAACAACAGGAAAAGTGGGAAAAGAGCAGGGAAGCAGTGGGAAAATGGGAAAAACTGGAGGAAAAATGGGAAAAAACAGGGAAAAAAAGGGAAAAAACGGGAAAAGTTACAAAAACGGCGGAAAACCGGGAAAAGCGGGAAAAATGGAGGGAAAAATAGCGGAAAAAATGGGAAAAACAGTGGGAAAAAAATGGGAAAAATGGGAAAAAGAGCGGGAAAAGAGTTGGGAAAAGAACGGGAAAATGGGAAAAGTGGGAAAAATGGGAAAAATAATGGGAAAAAAGCAAGAAAAGTGGGAAAAATGAGAGAAATGCCGGGAAAAACAGCGGGAAAAATGATGGGAGAAATGGGAAAAAACAGGAGAAACGGCAGGAAAAGTGGGAAAAATGGGAAAAATGGTGGGAAAAATGGGGAAAATAGCAGGAAAAAGGGGAAAACAGTGGGAAAACCGGGAAAAACAGTGGGAAAATGGCAGGAAAAATGGGAAAAAGGGCGGGAAAAGAGTGGGAAAAGTGGGAAAAACAGCGGGAAAATGGGAAAAACAGTGGGAAAAATGGGAAAAATGAGAGAAATGGCAGGAAAAGAGTGGGAAAAGTGGGAAAAATGGTGGGAAAATGGGAAAAAGAATGGGAAAAATAGGAAAAAACAACCGGAAAAGTGGGAAAAATGGGAAAAAACAGGAAAAATGAGGAAAACGGTGGGAAAAGAGCGGGAAAATGGGAAAAATGGCGGGAAAAGAGTTGGGAAAAGAACGGGAAAATGGGAAAAGTGGGAAAAATGGAGGGAAAATAGTTGGGGAGTTTTTGGGAGTTTTGGGGGTTTTTTTAGGGAATTTTTGGGAGTTTGGGGAATTTTAAGGGGATTTTTGGGAATTTTTTGGGAATTTTTAAGGGAATTTTTGGGATTTTGGGGAATTTTGGGAAAATTTTTTTGGGAATTTTTGGGAATATTTAAGGGAATTTTTGGGAATTTGGACAGTTTGGGGGATCTTTTTAGGGAATTTTAGGGATTTTTTAATGGAATTTTTGGGAATTGGGAGAACTTTGGGGGAATTTTTTAGGGAATTTTTGGGAATTTTGGGAATTTTTAAGGGAATTTTTGGGAATTTGTGGGATTTTTTTAAGGGAATTTTGGGGATTTTTGGGAATTTTTAAGAGAATTTTTGGGAATTTGGAGAACTTTGGGGGAATTTTTTAGGGAATTTTTGGGAATTTGGGGAGTTTGGGGGATTTTTAAAGGGAATTTTGGGGAATTTGGGGGATTCTTGGGGGATTTTTCAGGGAATTTGGGGGATTTTGGGGAATTTTGGGGAGTTTTTGGGATTTTGGGAGTTTTGGGGTTTTTTTTTACGGAATTTGAGGAATTTTGGGGAGTTTTGGGGATTTTTTAATGGAATTTTTGGGAATTCAGAGAACTTTGGGGGATTTTTTAGTATTTTTTAGGGAATTTTTGGGAATTTGGGCAGTTTGGGGGATTTTTTTAGGGAATTTTGGGGATTTTTGGGAATTTAGGGAGTTTTGGGGGATTTTTTTAGGGAATTTTTGGGAATTTTTGGGATTTTTTAATGGAATTTTTGTGAATTTTGATTATTTTGGGGGATTTTTTTTTGGGAATTTTTGGGAATTTGGGGAATTTTGGGCTCTCACCTCTTCCCAGGGGCGCTGGGCGAGGCCTCCCTGCAGAAAATTTGGGAATTTTGGGATCTGGGAGGGGAAATTTCAGTTCCCCCCTCCCAAAATCCCAAATTTTTGGAGATTTCCCTCCCCAAAATCCCAATTTTTTTGGCCTAAATCCCGAATTTTTGGGGAATCCCCCTCCCAAATCCCAAATTTTGTCCAAAATCCCAAAGTTTTGGCCAAAATCCTGAATTTCCGCTCCCCCCCTCCCCAAATTCCAAATTTGGGGTCCCCCCAAATCCCCAAAATCCCCAATTTTGGGGTCCCCTTTCCCAAAATCCCACATTTTTAGGATTTCTTTCCACAAATCCCAAATTTTTGGGGATCTTCCTTCTCAAAATCCCAAATTTTTGGCCAAAATCCCGAATTTCGGGTCCCTCCTCCCCAAAATCCCAAATTTGGGCTCCCCCAATCCCCAAAATCCCAAATTTCGGGTCCTTCCAATCAAAAAGTCCCAAATTTGGGGTCCCCCACCCCAATTTTTGGGTCTCCCCCTCCCCAATCCCAAATTTTGGGTCCCAAAATCCCAAATTTTGGCTCCCAAATCCCAATTTTGGGGTCCCAATCCCAATTTTGGGGTCCCCCCCGATCCCAAATCCCAAATTTCAGGTTCCCAATCCCCAATTTTGGGGTCCCCAAATCCCAAATTTCGGCTCCCAAATCCCAATTTTGGGGTCCCAATCCCAAATTTCAGGTCCCAAAATCCCCAATTTCAGTTCCCAAATCCCAAATTTTGGCTCCTAAATCCGAAATTTGGGGTCCCCAATCCCAATTTTGGCTCCCAAAGCCCCAAATTTCGGGTCCCCGATCCCAATTTTGGGGTCCCAAACCCCAAATTTTGGTGTCCCCAATCCCAAATTTTGTGTCCCAAACCCCCAAATTTTGGCTCCCAAACCCCCAAATTTCAGTTCCCCAATCCCAAATTTTGGGGTCCCCAAATCTCCAATTTTGGCTTCCAAACCCCAAATTTTGAGGTCCGAAACCCCGAATTTTGGGGTCCCAAACCCCAAATTTTGGGTCCCAAATCCCGATTTTTGGTGTCCCAAATCCCAATTTTGGCTCCCAAATCCCGAATTTTGGGGTCTCCAATTCCAAATCCCAATTTTGGGTCCCCAAATCCCGAATTTTGGGCTCCCAAATCCCGAATTTTGGGGTTCCCAAATCCCCAAATTTCGGTTCCCAAACCACAAATTTTGGGGTCCCAAACCCCAAATTTTGGGGTCCCAAACCCCGAATTTTGGGTCCCAAATCCCAAATTTTGGGGTCCCCAATCCCAAACCCCAAATTTTGGCTCCCAAATCCTGAATTTTGGGGTCCCAAACCCCCAAATTTTGGGGTCCCAATATCCCAAATTTCAGTTCTCAAATCCCGAATTTTGGGGTCCCCAATCCTAAATTTTGGGGCTCGAAATCCCGAATTTTGGGGTCCCAAATCCCGAATTTTGGGGTTCCCAAATCCCCAAATTTCGGTTCCCAAACCCCCAAATTTTGGGGTCCCAAATCCCCAATTTCAGTTCCCAAATCCCGAATTTTGGGTCCCAAACACCGAAATTTGGGGTCCCCAAATCCCAAATTTCAGATCCCAAATCCCAAATTTTGGGTCCCAAATCCCGAATTTTGGGGTCCCAAATCCCCAAATTTTGGGTCCCAAACCCGAATTTTGGGGTCCCCCCCCCCCTTACTTGGGCGGGGCCTCTCCGGGGCCCTTTCCGGGTTCCTCCTCCAGCGGCTCCCTGGGAACCCAAAAATTGGGGTGAAAAACTTAAAATAACCCAAATACCCCCAAAAATAACCCCCCAAAAATAACCCCCCAAAAAAACCCCAAAAATAACCCCAAAAAAAACCCCAAAAAAACCCCCAAAAATACCCCAAATACCCCCAAAAATATTCAATAAATACACCCCAAAAACTCAAAATAATCCAAATAGCCCCAAAAATACCTCCCCCCAAAAAACCCCCAAATACCCCCAAAAATACCCCCAAAAAATGCCCAAAATATTCAAAAAATACCCCCCAAAAACAACCCAAAAAACTCCCCCAAAAACCCCCAAAAATACCCAAATACCCCCAAAATGCCCAAAATATTCCAAAAATACACCCCAAAAACAACCCAAAAAAACCCAAACACCCCCAAAAATACCCCCAAAAATAACCCCCCCAAAATAACCCTCAAAAAATACCCCAAATACCCCCAAAAATATTCAATAAATACACCCAAAAACTCAAAATAATCCAAATACCCCCAAAAATACCTCCAAAAATGCCCAAAGTATTCAAAAAATACCCCCCAAAAACAACCCAAAAAAAAACCCCAAAAAAACACCCAAAAATACCCAAATACCCCCAAAAATACCAAAAATATTCAAAAAATACATCCCAGAAAACCACCAAAATAACCCAAATACCCCCAAAATACCCCCAAAATACCCCCAAAAATAACCCTCAAAAAAAACCCTCAAAAAAACCCCAAATACCCCCAAAAATAACCCCCAAAAAACCCCAAAAACAACCAAAAAAAAAACCCCCAAAAATACCCCCAAAATATCCCCCAAAAATGCCCAAAATATTCAAAAAATACCCCCCAAAAATACCCAAAAAAACCCCCCCAAAAATACCCCAAATACCCCCAAAAATACCGCCAAAAATAACCCCCAAAAACCCCAAATACCCCCAAAAATACCAAAAATATTCAAAAAAAAACCCCAAAAAACATCAAATTAACCCAAATACCCCCAAAAATACCCCCCTTAAAAAAACCACAAAAAAAACCCAAATACCCCCAAAAATACCCCCAAAAATGCCCAAAATATTCAAAAAATACCCCCCAAAAACAACCCAAAAAAACCCCCCCAAAATACCCCAAATACCCCCCAAAATATTAAAAAAAAACAACCCCAAAAACATCAAATTAACCCAAATACCCCCAAAAAATACCCCCAAAAATAACCCTCAAAAAAACCCCAAATACCCCCAAAAATACACAAAAAAACCCCAGAAAAACCTCCCAAAAATACCCCAAATACCCCCAAAAATAACCCCCAAAAAAACCCCAAAAATACCCCAAATAACCCCAAAAATACCCCAAATACCCCCAAAAATACCCAAAATATTCAATGAATACACCCCAAAAACTCAAAATAATCCAAATACCCTCAAAAATACCCCCCCCAAAAAAACCCCAAAAAAACCCCCAAAATACCCCAAATACCCCCAAAAATACACAAAATATTCAAAAAATAGACCCCAAAAAACCACCAAAATAACCCAAATGCCCCCAAAAATACCCCCAAAATAACCCCCAAAACAACCCAAAAAAACCCCAAAAATACCCCAAATACCCCCAAAAATACCCAAAATATTCAAAAAATACACCCCCAAAAAACCACCAAAATACCCCAAATACCCCCAAAAATACCCCCCAAAATAACCCCCAAAACAACCCAAAAAAACCCCAAAAATACCCAAATACCCCCAAAATACCCCCCAAAATAACCCCCCAAAAAAACCCCCAAAATATCCCCCAAAACAACCCCAAAAATACCCAAATACCCCCAAAAATATTCAATAAATACACCCAAAAACTCAAAATAATCCAAATATTCTTCAAAAATACCCCCAAAAATGCCCAAAATATTCAAAAAATACCCCCCAAAAACAACCCAAAAAAAACCCCCCAAAAAAAAACCCAAAAATACCCCAAATACCCCCCAAAATTCCCAAAATATTCCAAAAATACACCCCAAAAACAACCCAAAAAAACCCAACCACCCCCAAAAATACCCCAAATACCCCCAAAAATATTTAATAAATACACCCCAAAAACTCAAAATAATCCAAATACCCCCAAAAAAACCCCAAAATACCCCAAAAATACCCAAAATATTCAAAAAATAGACCCCAAAAAACCACCAAAATAACCCAAAAACCCCCAAAAATACCCCCAAAAATAACCCCCCAAAAAAAACCCAAAAATACCCCAAAAATAACCCCAAAAAACCCAAAAATACCCCAAAAATACCCCCAAAAATTCCCAAAATATTAAAAAAATACACCCCCAAAAAACCACCAAAACAACCCAAAAAAACCCCCCAAAATACCCAAATTATTCAAAAAATAGACCCCAAAAAAACACCAAAATAACCCAAATACCCCCAAAAATACCCCCAAAAAAACCTTCAAAAACAATCCAAAAAACCACCAAAATACCCCAAATACCCCCAAAAACCAACACAAATACCCCATAAAAAACCCAAAAATTCCCCCAGAATTCCCCCAAAATTCTCCCAAAGTTCCCAAAAATTCCCAAATTTCCCCAAATTTCCCATTTTAATCCCCCTAAAATTCCCCCAATGGTCCCCCAAAAATTCCCCCAAAATTCGCATTTCACCCCCAAAAATTCCCAAATTTTCCCCAAAATTCCCATTTTAATCCCCCAAAGTTCCCCTAAAACCCCCAAATTCCCCCCAAAATTCCCCCGAAAATTCCTCCAAAGTTCCCAAAATCTCCCCAAATCCCCAAAATTCTCCCAAAATTCCCAAAATTTCCCAAAAAACCCCAAAAATTCCCAAAGTTCCCAAAAAAATCCTCCAAAACCCCCAAATAATCCCCAATTCCCCCCAAAATTTCCAAATTCCAGCAAAATTCCCAAAAAATCCCAAAAATACCCCAAAAATTCCCAAAAAATTCCCCAAAATTCAAAAAAAATTCCCCCAAAATTTGCATTTCAGCCCCAAAATACCCCCCAAAATTCCCCCAAAATTCCCATTTTAATCCCCCAAAATTCCCCCAAAACCCCCAAAATCCCGCCAAATTCCACCCAAATTTCCCCAAAATGCCCCCAAAATTTCCCCAAAATCCCCAAATTTCCCCAAAACAATTCCCAAAATTCCCCAAAAACGTCCCCAAAAATTCCTCCAAAATTCCCATTTTAATCTCCCAAATTTCCCCTAAACCGCCCAAATTTCCCCCAAATTTTCCCCCAAAAATCCCCAAAATTCCCCCAAAAGTCCCCAAATTCCCACAAAATCCCAAAAAATTTCCCCAAAATTCCCCCAAAAATCCCCCAAAATTCCCATTTTCATCCCCCAAATTTCCCCCAAAATGCCCAAATATCCCCCAAAATATCCCAAATTTACCCCAAAATTCCCACTTTAATCTCCCCAAAATCCCCAAAATTCCCCCAAAATCCCCAAATTCCCCCAAAAATCCCCCAAAATATTCCAAATTTACCCCAAAATTCCCATTTTAATCCCCCAAAATTCCCATTTTAATCCCCCAAAATTCCCCCCAAAATCTCCCAAAATTTCCCCCAAAATTCCCAAAATCCCCCAAATTTTCCCAAAATCCCCAAATCCCCCCCATGTTTCCCCTCCCCCACCGGCCGCGCTGCTGCAGCTGCTCCAGAACGGCCTCGAGGCGGCGCCGGGCGGCTCCGGGAGAGAGTTCTGGAACATTCCGGAATTTGGGGGTGAATTTCGGGAATTTTGGGGTAAATTTCGGGGATTTTGGGAAAATTTGGGGATTTTTGGGGGATTTTTTTGGGAATTTTTGGGGGTTGAAATGGGATTTTTGAGCGATTTAAATGAGAATTTTGGGCAGTTTGGGGAAAAATTTGGGGGATTTTTGGGGAAAATTTGGGAATTTCGGGAATTTTGGCGGATTTGGGAAAAATTTGGGGATTTTTGTGGGAATTTTGAGGATTTTTTAGGGGAATTTTTTGGTTTTTTTGGGGGATTTTTGGGAGATTTGGGGACTCCGGGCGGCTCCGGGAGAGAGTTCTGGAAAATCCCGAATTTGGGGGGAATTCGGGAATTTTGGGGTAAATTTCGGGGATTTTGGGAAAATTTGGGAATTTTTGGGGGATTTGGGGAATTTTTGGGGGGATTTTTGGGAATTTTATAGGGATTTTGGGGGCATTTGGGGAATTTTTTGTGGGAATTTTAGAGGTAATTCTGGAGAAAATTTCAGAATTTTGGGGATTTTTGGGGAATTTTGGAGGAAATTTTGGAATTTTTGGGGATTTGGAGGGAATTTGAGGGGGATTTTGGGTTTTTTTGGGGGACTTTTGGGAGATTTGGGGACTCCGGGCAGCACCAGGCGAAAGTTCTGGAAATTCGGGAATTTTGGGGTGAAATTCAGGAATTTGCAGAATTTGGGGGAATTTTGAGAGATTTTGGGAAAATTTGGGAAATTTTGGGGGGAATTTTAGAATTTTTAGGGGATTTTGAGGCCTTTTGGAGGATTTTGGGGAATTTTTCGGGGAATTTTGGAGGTAATTTTGGAACTTTGGGGATTTTTTTTAGGAATTTTTGGGAACTTTGGGGGGATTTTGGGAATTTTTAGGAGAATTTCGGGGTGAAATGCAAATTTTGAGGGAATTTTTTGGGGGAATTTTGGGGGATTAAAATGGGAATTTTGGGGGAATTTTCAGGGAAATTTTGGGGATTTTTTTGGGGGAACTTTGGGGGATTTGGGGGAATTTTGGGAAAATTTCGGAATTTTGGGGGGATTTTGGGGAATTTTTTTGGGAATTTTTGGGGTTGAAATGGGATTTTTGAGCGATTTAAATGGGAATTTTGGGGAGTTTGGGGAAAAATTTCGTGGATTTTGGGAAAAATTTGGGGATTTTTGGCGGATTTTGGGAAAAATTTGGGGATTTTTGTGGGAATTCTGAGGATTTTTTAGGGGAATTTTTTGGGTTTTTTGGGGGATTTTTGGGAGATTTGGGGACTCCGGGCGGCTCCGGGAGAGAGTTCTGGAAAATCCCGAATTTTGGGGTAAATTTCGGGGATTTTGGGAATTTTGGGGAAATTTGGGGATTTTGGGGGATTTTTAGGAATTTTTGGGAGAGGTTTTTTTGATTTTGGGGGGAATTTTGGGGAATTCTGTGGGAATTTGGGGACTTTTGGGGGAATTTTGGGGGTTTTCAGGGAATTTTCTGGGAAAATTTGGGGGAAATTTGGGGATTTTGGGGGAATTTTGGGGGTTGTAGGAGAATTTGGGAGGATTAAAATGGGAATTTTGGGGGATTTTTTGGGATATTTTGGGCGATTTTTGGGGGATTTTGGGGGGAATTTTTGGGAATTTTTGGGAGAATTTTGGGGGAAATTTGGGGATTTTGGGGGGTTTTTTGGCATTTTTTTGGGAAAATTTGGGGATTTTTGGGGAGACTTTTTGGGGAATTTTGGGAGAATTACGGGAGATTTAGGGGAATTTTGGAGCAATTATGGGAAATTTTTGGGGCAAATTTCGGGATTTTTGGAAAATTTTGGGGAAAATTTGTGGGAATTTGGGGGGAAATTTTTGGGGAAATTTGGGGATTTTGTGGGAAATTTGGCAGTTTTAGGGGGATTTTGGGAGATCAAAATGGGAATCTTGGGGGAAATTTGGGGATTTTTTGGGGAAATTTGGGGATTTTTGGGAGAAGTTTGGGGAAATTTTTTGGGATTTGGGGGAATTTTTTGGGAAATTTGGAAATTTTAGGGGGTTTTGGGAATTTTGGGAATTTTTTGGGGGAAATTTTGGGATTTTGGGGGAATTTTGGGGAATTTTTTGGGAATTTTTGGGGTTGAAATGGGATTTTTGAGCGATTTAAATGAGAATTTTGGGGAGTTTGGGGTAAAATTTGGGGGATTTTGGGTGAAATTCGGGAATTTTGGGGATTTTTGGGAATTTTTGGGAGAGTTTTTTGGGATTTTTGGGAATTTTTTGGGGAATTTTGGGGAATTTTATAGGGATTTTGGGGGATTTTTTGGGGAATTTTTGAGGTGATTTTGGAATTTTTGGGGATTTTTTTGGAATTTTTGGAAAAATTTGGGAATTTTGGGGGGGAATTTTGAGGATTTTTGGGGGATTTTCGGTTTTTTTGAGGGATTTTGGGGTTTTTTGAGGGATTTTTGGTGATTTTTGGGAATTTTTGGGGGGATTTTTGGAATTTTTGTGAGAGTTTTTTTGGGATTTTTGGGAATTTTTGGGAGAATTTTATATGGATTTTGGGGGAATTTTGGGAAATTTTGGGGGAATTTTGGGGATTTTTGGGGGTTTTGGGAAAAATTTGGGAATTTTCGGAAAATTTTGGGGATTTTTGTGGGAATTTTAAGGATTTTTAGGGGAATTTTTTGGTTTTTTGGGGGATTTTTGGGAGATTTGGGGACTCCGGGCGGCGCCGGGAGAGAGTTCTGGAAAATTCCGAATTTGGGGAATTTTGGGGGAAATTTGGGAAATATTGGGTTAATTTTGGGGAAATTTGGGAATTTTTGGGGGGATTTTTGTGGGGATTTTTGGGAATTTTATAGGGATTTTTTGGGGGCATTTGGGGAATTTTTTGTGGGAATTTTAGAGGTAATTCTGGAGAAAATTTCAGAATTTTGGGGATTTTTGGGGAATTCTGGAGGAAATTTTGGAATTTTTTGGAATTTTGAGGGAATTTTAGGTGGATTTGAGGGTTTTTAGGGGAATTTTTTGGTTTTTTGGGGAAATTTTGGGAGATTTGTGGACTCCGGGCGGCTCCGGGAGAGAGTTCTGGAAAATTCCGCAATTTCGGGGTGAAATTCGGGAATTTTGGGGTAAATTTCGGAAATTCGGGAAAATTTGGGGATTTTTCGGGGGATTTTGGGGAATTTTTGGGGGAATTTTTGGGGTTGAAATGGGATTTTTGAGCGATTTAAATGAGAATTTTGGGGAGTTTGGGGGAAAATTTGGGGGATTTTGGGGAAAATTTGGGAATTTCGGGTATTTTGGTGGATTTTGGGAAAAATTTGGGGATTTTTGGCGGATTTTGGGAAAAATTTGGGGATTTTTGTGGGAATTTTGAGGATTTTTAGGGAATTTTTTGGTTTTTTTGGGGGATTTTTGGGAGATTTGGGGACTCCGGGCGGCTCCGGGGGAAAGTTCTGGAAAATTCCGGAATTTTGGGGGGAAATTTCGGGAATTTTGGGTTAAATTTCGGGAATTTCGGGGATTTTGGGGAATTTTGGGAAAATTTGGGGATTTTTGGGGGCATTTTGGGGAATTTTTTTGGGAATTTTTGGGGTTGAAATGGGATTTTTGAGCGATTTAAATGAGAATTTTGGGGAGTTTGGGGGAAAATTGGAGGGATTTGGGGAATTTTGGGGGAAATTGGGAAAATTTAGGATTTTTGGGGGGATTTTTAGAATTTTTTGGGGGATTTTGGGGAATTTTATAGGGATTTTTGGGGGGATTTTTGGGAATATTTTGGGGAATTTTTTTGGTATTTTAGGGGAACTTGAGGGAATTTTGGGGATTTTTGGGAGAATTTTAGGGAATTTTGGGGAAATTTGGGAATTTTTGGGGGATTTTGGGAATTTTGGTGGTTTTTTGGGGAAATTTTGGGAATTTTGGGAGAATTTTGGGGAATTTTTTTGGGAATTTTTGGGGTCGAAATGGGATTTTTGAGCGATTTAAATGAGAATTTTGGGAAGTTTGGGGTAAAATTTGGGGGATTTTGGGAAATTTTGGGGGATTTTGGAGAAATTTGGGGGATTTGGGGAATTTTTGGGGAAATTTTGGGATTTTTGGGGAATTTTTGGGGCGATTTGGGGAATTTTTTGGGAAATTTGGGAAACTTTGGGAGAATTTTTCAGGAAAATTGGGAATTTTTGGAGGTCTGGGGGAGATTTTGGGGATTTTGGGGAATTTTGGAGACTTTTGGGGATGTTTGGGAAATTTTTTTGGGAATTTGGGGGAAATTTGGGGGGATTTGGGGAATTTTTTTGGGAATTTCGGGGGTGAAATACCAATTTAGAGGGAATTTTGGGGGAATTTTTTGGGGATTTTTGGGAATTTTTAGGGGAATTTTGAGGGAATTTTGGGGATTTTTGAGAGAATTTTGGGGAAATTTTGCAGAAATTTGGGGATTTTTAGGGGAATTTGGGGGTGAAATGGGAATTTTGGGGGATTTTTGGGGAACTTTGGGGAAATTTGGGAATTTTAGGGGGGTTTGGGAATTTTTTGGGGACTTTTGGAATTTTTTGGGGATTTTGGGAATTTTTTGGGGACTTTTGGGGGCATTTTTGGGGTTGAAATGGGATTTTTGAGCGATTTACAGGAGAATTTTGGGGGGTTTGGGGTAAAATTTGGGGGATTTTGGGGAATTTTGGGGAATTTTGAGAAATTTGGGGAATTTGTAGAATTTTTGGGAGAATTTTTTGGGAAATTTGGGAATTTTTGTGGGTCTTGGGGGAATTTTGGGGATTTTTGGGGTATTTTTGGGAATTTCTGGGTCGTTTGGGGGAATTTTTTGGAAATTTGAGAATTTTTGGGGGGAATTTTGGCCGAAATTTGGGAATATTGGAAAAGATTTGGGGGATTTTGGGGGAATTTTGGAGAAATGTGGAAATTATTTGGGATATTTTGCAGAATTTTGGGGGATTTCTTTGGGAATTTTGGGAGTGTGGAGTGAATTTTGTGGATTTTGGGAATTTTTGGGGATTTTTTTGGAATTTTTGGGGGGAATTCGGGAATTTTTGGGGAATTTGGGGGAATTTTTTTGTAAATTTGGGGATTTTGGGGGCAATTTTTGGGAAATTTGGGGATTTTTGGGGAATTTGGGGAATTTTTTGAGAATTTGGGGGTATTTTTTGGGGAATTTTGGGGAATTTTGGGAATTTTTGGCAAAATTTGTGAATTTCTGAGGATTTCATTGGGATTTTTGGGAATTTTTGGGGAATTTCGGGGAAATTTGGGAACAATGGAAAGGATTTGGGGGATTTTTGGGGATTTTGAGGGAATTTGGGAATTTTTGGGGGGATTTTGGGAATTTTGGGAGATTATTGGGGAGTTTTGGGACAATTTTGGGAATTTTGGGGGAAATTTTGGGGAAATTTTGGGATTTTGGAGATTTTTTTTTTTGGGAATTATTAGGAAATTTTTGAGGAATTTTTTGGATTTTGGGATAAATTTTGGGCAATTTTGGGGAGTTTTGGGGAATTTTTGGGATTTTAGAAGCTGAAATGGGAATTTTTAAGGATTTTAATGAAAATTTGGAGATTTTTGGGAATTTTGAGGGGATTTTTGGGAATTCTGATGATTTTTGGGGGGGATTTGAGGGATATTTTTGGGAATTATTTGGAATTTTCTGGGAATTTTGGGAGAATTTTGGGAATTTGGGAATTTTGGGAGGAATTTGGAGATTTTTGGGGGGATTTTGAGCGATTTTTAGGGATTTTTTGGGGAATTTTAGGGATTTTTTTTAATTTGGGGGAAATTTGGGAATTTTGGGAATGTTGGAAACTTTGGGGAGAATTTTGGGGGATTTTTGGGAATTTGGGGGAATTTTTCGGGATTTTGGGGGTTGAAATGGGAACTTTGGGGATTTTTTGGTGAAATTTGGGATTTTTTTGGGAATTTTGGGATTTTGTGGAATTTTGGGAATTTGGGGCGGATTTGGAGGGTTCGAGTGGGAATTTGGGGAAATTTTTGGGAATTTTGGGATTTTTGGGGTTTAATTGGGATTTTTGGGGAGATTTGGGGTTTTTTTGGGGGGGAATTTTGGGATTAAATTGGGATTTTGGGGGAATTTTTGGGAATTTGAGGATCCAGCTCTGGAAAATTCGGAATTTTTGGGAATTTGGGGATCCAGCTCTGGAAAATTCAGGATTTTTGGGGGGAATTTTGGGGAAATTTTGGGGATTTTGGGGCTCCCCGAGCTCACCTGGTTTCTCCACCTTCACCTTGGCGGCCATCGCGGCTCCGGACGCGTCTCTGGGGCCTGGAAGGGGTGGGGGGGTCATGAGGGATCCCAAAAATTCCCAAAAAATTCCCAAAAAAGCCCCAAAATTCCCAAAAAAAGCCCCAAAATCCGCCGCCCCCCCTCACCGCCGCCGCAGGCGCCGCCGCTTCCCGCCTTCCGCCGCCGCCGCCTCCCATTGGTCCACGTGCCTGTCAATCTAGGCGCGTAGCCAATCAGCGGCAGCGAAGGCGGTACCTTAAGGCGGCGCCATTTTGACTACAACTCCCGTCATGCCCCGCGGCTCCATAGAGCGCCATTGTGGCGGGGCCTACAACTCCCGTCGTGCCTCGCGGCTCCGTAGAGCGCCATTGTTGCGAGGCCTACAACTCCCGTCATGCCCCGCGGCCCCATAAACCATCAATGGAGCCAAGCCTCCAAGTCCCATCATGCCCCGCAGCCACATAGAGAGGGCCCAGATCCAAGCCCCCAGATGCCCCCCAAATGTCCCCCCAGACCCACAAATGTCCCTAAATTCCCCCTCCTGACCCCCAGGATCCCTGAGTGCCCCCCTCGAGCGCACTCGGGCCCCCCAAAGTGCCCTCACGGACGGTCAGATATCCCCCAAAACCGCCTTCCCCGCCCCACAGAACCTCGTTGAAGCCTCCCCTGCGCCTACAACTCCCGTGCTGCCCTCGAGACTACAATTCCCATCATTCCCCGCGCACCAGAGAGGCCCTGTAGCGGCGGGACGCCCGAGTGCCTTCTGACCCCTACGTTACCCTCAGATGCCCTTTTACGACCCCTTCAATGGCCCCTCTGACCCCTAAGTGGCCTCTGGGATCCCGAAAAGCCCCATAAAGTCCCCCCTGAACCCCCAAACTCAGCGCTGGAGCAACTCCCGGAACTACAGCTCCCATCATGCCCCGCGACGCCCATAGTGATATATTGCAACCGCGCCTACAACTCCCATCATCCTTCGCGCGCCACAGCTCCTCAATTATTGGCCTACAACTCCCGTCGTGCCCCGCGCCTCCCATAGCGCAGCATTGCCGTCCCGCCTCTTCTGAACTACAACTCCCGTGCTGCCCCGCGGCGCTTTTCCCGCGCTTTTTGTTTCCCCTCACGGCGCCGCCGCCATGATGGCGGAGGCTCTGGACCGCTGGCTCCGGGAGGAGATGGAGGTGCCGCCCTCCGCCGTCCCTTCCCCGGCCGCTCTCCGCAGGTCGGGGCCGCTCGGGGACCCCCTCGGGACCGCCCCGAGGCGGGGAGAGCCCGGGGGGTTGCGGGGGCCGGGGGTGGGAGCCCGCCCTGAGCGCTCTGTGAGGGGGGATCGGGAACTGGGGGGGTTTGGGGTCCCTTGGGAGGGTCCTGGGGAGGTTTGGGGGGGTCCTGGGGGAATTTTTGGGTCCCTTGGGAGGGTCCTGGGGGGATTTTGGGGGTCCTGAGGGGGTGTGGAGGGTCCTGAGGGGGTTTTGGGGGGTCCTGGGGAGATTTGGGGTCCCCTGAGAGGATCCTGGGGGGGTCCTGGGGAGGTTTTGGGGGGTTCTGGGGGGATTGAGGGGTTCTGGGGGGGTTTTGGGGTCTCCTGGGGGGATTTTGGGGTCCCTTGAGATGGTCCTGGAGGGGTTTTGGAGGGTCCTGGGGGGATTTTGGAGGGTCCTGAGGGGATTTTGGGGTCCCTTGGGAGGGTCCTGGGGGGATTTTGGGGGTCCTGAGGGGTTTTGGGGTCCCTTGGAAGGGTTCTGGAGGATTTTGGGGGGTCCTGAGGGGATTTTGGGGTACCTTGGGAGGGTCCTGGGAGGGTCCTGGAGGATTTTTGGGGTCCCCTGGGAGGGTCCTGAGGGGGTTTTGGGGGGTCCTGGGGAGATTTGGGGTCCCTTGGGAGGGTCCTGGGGAGGTTCGGGGGGTCCTGAGGGGGTTTTGGGGTCCCTTGGGAGGGTCCTGGAGGGATTTTGGCGGGGTCCTGGGGGATTTTTGGGTCCCTTTGGGGGGTCCTGGGGGCATTTGGGGTCCCTGGGAGGGTCCTGGGGGATTTTTGGGTCCCTTTGGGGGGTCCTGGGGGGATTTTGGGGTCCCTTGAGGGGCTTTGGGGTCCCTTTGGGAGGGTCCTGGGGAGGTTTGGGGGGTCCTGAGGGGGTTTTGGGGGTCCCTTGGGAGGGTCCTGGAGGATTTTGGGGGGTCCTGGGGGAGTTTGGGGTCCCTTTGGGGGGTCCTGGGGAGGTTTTGGGGTGTCTTGGGGGGTTTGGGGGGTCCTGAGGGGGTTTTGGGGTCCCTTGGGAGGGTCCTGAGGAGGTTTGCGGGTCCCTTGAGGGGGTTTGGGGTCCCTTGGAAGGGTTCTGGAGGATTTTGGGGGGTCCTGAGGGGATTTTGGGGTCCCTTGGGAGGGTTCTGGGGGGATTTTGAGGGGTCCTGGGGGATTTTGGGGTCCCCCGGGAGGGTCCTGAGGAGGTTTGGGGTGTCCTGGGGGAATTTTGGGGTCCCTTGGGAGGTTCCTGGGGGGATTTTGAGGGGTCCTGGGGGATTTTGGGGTCCCCCGGGAGGGTCCTGGGGGAGTTTTGGGGTATCCTGGGAGGGTTTTAGGGGGGTCCTGGGGGCGTTTGGGGTCCCTTGGGAGGATCCTGGGGGGGTTTGGGGTCCCTTGAGGGGGTTTTGGGGTCCCTTTGGGAGGGTCCTGGGGCGATTTTGGGGTGCCTTGAGGGGCTTTGGGGTCCCTTGGGAGGGTTCTGGGGAGGTTTGGGGGGTCCTGAGGGGGTTTTGGGGTCCCTTGGGAGGTTCCTGGGGGGATTTTGAGGGGTCCTCGGGGATTTTGGGGTCCCTTGAGGGGATTTTGGGGTCCCTTGAGATGGTCCTGGAGGGATTTTGGGGAGGTTCTGGGTGGATTTGGGGCGAATTTTGGGGCTCCCCCCGTTAGTTTTAGGGTCACCCCCAAATTTTGGGGTTCCCCTAATCCCGTCCCCTCCAGGCTCTGCTCCAGCCCCACGGCCCCGGTTTGGGATTTCGTCATTCGCCACGTCCGGAACCAGCGGTGAGTGGGGGAACCCCAAAATTTATGGGGTGAAAAACCCCAAAAAAACCCCAAAATTACAAAGGGACCCCAAAATTTACAATGTGGGGAGTCCTCTCCAGGACTACAACTCCCATCATCCCTTGCGGCTCATTGAGCCGCGTTAGAGCCGCGCCTACAACTCCCATCATCCCTTGCGCCTCATTGAGGTGCATTAGAGCCGCGCCTACAACTCCCATCATCCCTTGCGGCTCATTGAGCCGCGTTAGAGCCGCGCCTACAACTCCCATAATCCCTTGCGCCCCATTGAGCCGCGTTAGAGCCGCGCCTACAACTCCCATCATCCCTTGCGCCCCATTGAGGTGCGTGATGGCCGCGCCTACAACTCCCATCATGCCCCGCGGCTCCCATAGCGCACCATTGTCGCCCCCATCCTCCCGAACTACAACTCCCATCATGCCCCGCGCCCCCTCACGGACATTTTGGGGTGTCCCCACAGGAACGTGAAGAAGATTCGGGGAAATCTGCGCTGATATCCAAAAATATTTTTGGGGGGATTCCCAAAAATTTGGGGGGATTCCCAAAAAATTTGGGGGTTCCCAAAAAATTTGGGGGTTCCTGGAACTGAAACTTGGGGGGTTGGGGGAATTTTTGGGGGTTTTTGGGGATTTTTTTTTTTGGGAAATTTTGGGTTTTTGGGGGGGATTTTTTGGGAATTTTGGGGGTTTTTAGGGGTTTTTGGAGTTTTTTTTATAATTTTGGGGGTTTTTAATTTTTTCTTGTTTTTTGTGGGGTTTGGGGGTTTTATTTGGGATTTTGGGTGGGATTTGGGGATTTTTGGTGTTTTATTTTGAGAATTTTGGATTTTTTTGAGATTTTTTGGGGTTTGGGGGAATTTTGGGGTTTTTTTTTTTTTTGGTTTTTTTTTTGAGTGGATTTGGGGGGTTTTGGGGTATTTATTTTGGGATTTTCCTGAAACTTTAGGATTTTTTTGGGGTGCTTTTATTTTGGGAATTTTGGGGAGAATTTTGGGATTTTTGGGGGTGTTTTTGGGATTTGGGTTTTTTTGGGGGTTTTATTTTGGGATTTTGGTGGAATTTTGGGATTTTTGGGTGGTTTTTTTGTGGAATTTGGGGATTTTTGGGGTTTTATTTTGGGGAGGTTTTGGTTTTCTTTATTTTTCTTGGAGATTTTTTTGGTTTTTTGGAGATTTTGGTGGGATTTGGTTTTTTGAGGTTTTATTTGACATTTCAGTGGAATTTTGGGACCTTTTTGGGTTTTATTTTAGGATTTTGATGGAATTTTTAAACATTTCGGGGTTTTATTTGAGTTTTTGGGGGAATTTGGGATTTTTTAACGTTTCTTTTAAGGAATTGCCCAAAATTTTGGGAATTTGCCCCAAATTTTTCCTTAACTCGGGGTCAGGTCCCGACACCTGCAGGAGGTGGAGGTGAGTGAGGGGACCCCAAAATTTGGGGGGGATTTGGGGTGGGAAGCCAAAATTTGAGGAGATTTCCCTCAGATTTGGGAAATTTTGGGGTGAATTTTGCTGAATTTTTGGGGTAAATTTAAGTGAATTTTGTGCTGAATTTAAGTGAATTTTGGGCTGAATTTTGAGTGAATTTCTGTTGATTTTGGGCTAAATTTGGGGTGAATTTTGGGTTGAATTTTGGGCTAAATTTGGGGTGAATTTTGGGGTAAATTTTGGGTGATTTTGGGCTGAATTTTGGTGTGAATTTTGGGCTGAATTTGGGTGAATTTTGGGGTGAATTTGGGGTCACTTTTCAGGTGAATTTGGGGGAATTTTTGGGTGAATTTAGGTAAAAATTGGGCGGAATTTTGGGGTAAATTTTGGGGTAAATTTGGGGTCATTTTGGGGTGAATTTGGCAAAATTTGGGGTCAGTTTTGGGGTGAATTTAAGTGAATTTTGGGCTGAATTTAAGTGAATTTTGGGCTGAATTTTGAGCGACTTTTGGGTGTTTTTGGGCTAAATTTTGGTGTTAGTTTGGGGTGAATTTTGGGTGATTTTGGGCTGAATTTTGGTTTTACTTTTGGGCTGAATTTGGGTTAATTTTGGCTGAATTTTGGGGTGAATTTGGGGTCACTTTGGGGTGAATTTAGGCAGATTTGGGGTGAATTTGGGGTTAATTTGGGGTCAGTTTTGGGGTGAATTTAGGTGGATTTTGGGCTGAATTTAAGTGAATTTTGGGCTGAATTTTGAGTGACTTTTGGTGATTTTGGGCTGAGTTTGGGGTAAATTTTGGGTGATTTTGGGCTGAATTTTGGGGTGATTTTGGTATCACTTTTCAGATGAATTTGGGTGAATTTTGAGCTGAATTTAGGCAGAAATTGGGAAATTTTGGGTGGTATTTTGGGGTGCATTTGGGTGAATTTTGGGGTAAATTTGGGGTCACTTTGGGGTGAATTTGGGGTCAGTTTTGGGGTGAATTAAGGTGAATTTTGGGCAGAATTTTAGTGAATTTTGGGCTGAATTTGGGTTAATTTTGGGCTGAATTCTGAGTGAATTTTTGGTGATTTTGGGCTAAATTTCGCTGAATTTGGGGCAATTTTGGACTGAATTTGTGGTAAGTTTTGGCAGATTCGGTGTCATCTTTGAGGAGAATTCTGCAGAATTTTGTGCTGAACTTGTGCGAATTTTGTGCTGATTTTTGGCCGAGTTTTGGGCCGATTTCGGCCGATTTCGGGGGTGAACTTTGATGGATTTTTTGGGTTAATTTCGGCCGGTTTTGGGTTCAGGCCGCCGCGAGTCCTCCGAGCCGCCAGAGGGCGCTGCTGGCGGCGCGCGCGCGGCTGCGCCAGGAGCTGCGTGACGTCACTGCCGCCACTGCGCATGCGCAGGAAACCGCGCGGCGCCTGGGTGAGTCCGGCCGGGAACGCGGGACCCGCACAAAGGTTCCCCCCCCCCCCCCCCAAAACCCCAATTTTGGGGTCCTTTACCATTTTTGGGGTCGCTGACCCCCCCCAAATCCGAAATTTGGGGTAATTTTCCCCATTTTAGGGTCCTTCACCTCCCCAAAACCCCAATTTCAAGGTCCCCAAACCCCAAAGTTTGGGATCCACACCGAAATTTCAGGGTCCCCAAACCCCAAATTTTGGATTCCCCACCTCAAATTTTGGGGTCCTCACCCAAATTTTAGGATCCCCATCCCAATTTTGGGGTCCCCACCCCAAATTTTGGGGTCCCCACCCCAAACTTTGGGGTCCTCGCCCAAATTTCAGGGTCCCCAAACCCCAAATTTTTGGTTCCCCACTGCAAATTTCGGGGTCTTCCCCCAAATTTAGGAGTCCCCAAACCCCAAATTTTGGATTCCCCACCCCAAATTTTGGGTTCCCCACTGCAAATTTTGGGCTCCCCACCCAAATTTTGGGTTCCCCATCCCAATTTTGGGGTCCCCACCCCAATTTCAGAGTCCCAAACCCCCAAATTTAGGGGTCCCCACCCCAGTTTTGGGGTTTCCACCCCAAATTTTGGGTCTCCACTTCAATTTTTGGGTCCCCACCGCAAATTTTGGGGTCCTCACCCATATTTTGGGTTCCCTACTGCAAATTTTGGGTTCTCCACCCAAATTTTGGTGTCCGTTTCCCCAAATTTTGGGGTCCCCACACCAAATTTTGGGATCCCCACCCAAATTTTGGGTCCTCACCCAAATTTCGGGGTCCCCACCCCAAATTTTAGGGTCCCCACCCCAAATTTTGGGTTCCCCATCCCAATTTTGGGTTCCCCACCCAAATTTTGGGTTCCCCACTGCAAATTTTGGGTTCCCCACCCAAACTTTAGGATCCCCATCCCAATTTTGGGGTCCCCACCCCAATTTCAGGGCCCCCAAACCCCAAATTTTTGGGTTCCCCACCCAAATTTTAGGATCCCCAACCCTATTGTGGGGTCCTCACCCAAATTTTGGGGTCCCCACCTCAAATTTCGGGGTCCCCACCCCAAATTTTGGGGTCCTCACCCCAAATTTTGGAGTCCCCACCCCAATTTTGGGGTTTCCACCCCAAATTTTGGGTCTCCACTTCAATTTGGGGTCCCCACCCCAAATTTTGGGGTCCCCACCTCAAATTTTGGGTTCCCCACCCCCAAATTTTGGGTTCCCCACCCAATTTTTAGGATCCCCATCCCAATTTTGGGGTCCCCACCCCAATTTCAGGGTCCCAAACCCCCAAATTTAGGGATCCCCACCCCAATTTTGCATTCCCCACCTCAAATTTTTTGATCCCCATCCCAAATTTTGAGGTCCTCACCCCAAATTTTGGGGTTTCCACCCCAATTTCGGGGTCCCCACCCCAAATTTTGGGTTCCCCCCCCAATTTTGGGTCCCTCTCCCCTCCCCCCCAGAGCTGTCGCTGGGGGCGGGGCAGAGCCGGCGGTGGGCGGAGCTTCGGCGAGGGGCGGAGCTTCGGCTGCTGGGGGCGGAGCCACGGCCGGAAGGGCTGAGGGGCGGCCTGAGGGGGGCGCTGCAGGCCACGCCCACCAGGTAACGAGGGGCGGGGCCTAAAGGGGGCGGGGCCTAAAGGGGATAATTAATATGGTCAAAGGGGCGGGGCCTAAAGGAGGCGGGGCTTAATTGAGAATATTTGAATATGCAAAGGGGTCGCGGCTTAATTAAGAATATTTCTATGGGCTAAAGGGGCGGGGCCTAAAGGGGCAGGGCTTAATTAAGAATATTTATAGGAACAAAGGGGGCGGGGCCTAAAGGGGGTGGGGCTTAATAGTATTTAAACGAGCAAAGAGGGCGGGGCCTAATTGAGAATATTTATATAGGCAAAGGGGGCGGGGCCTAAAGGGGGCGGGGCTTAATCAGAATCTTTAATTGGAAAAGGGGCGGGGCCTAAAGGGGGCAGGGCTTAATTAAGAATATTTATATGTGCAAAGGGGGCAGGGCCTAAAGAGGGCGGGGCTTAATTTAAAATATTTATATTGGTAAAGGGGGCGGGGCCTAAAGATGGCGGGGCTTAATGGAGAGTATTTAAATGAGCTAAGGGGGCGGGGCTTAATTGAGAATATTTATATAGGCAAAGGGGCAGGGCCTAAAGGGGGCGGGGCTTAATTGAGAGTATTTAAATGAGCTAAGGGGGCGGGGCCTAATTGAGAATATTTATATAGGCAAAGGGGGCGGGGCCTAAAGGGGCGGGGCTTAATTAAGAATATTTATATGAGCAAAGGGGGCGGGGCTTAATAGAGAGTATTTAAATAGGCAAAGGGGGCGGGGCTTAATTAAGAATATTTCTATTGTCTTAAGGGGGTGGGGCTTAATGAAAAGTCCTTATATGGGCAAAGGGGGCGGGGCCTAAAGGGGGCGGGGCTTAATGGGATGTCATTATATTAGCTAAATGGGCGTGGCCTAAAGGGGGCGGGGCTTAATGGAGAGTATTTAAATGCGCTAAGGGGGCGGGGCCTAATCTAGACTTCATGCTCAAAGGGGGCGGGGCCTAAAGGGGCTGGGCTTAATTAAGAATATTTATATGCACAAAGGGGACGGGGCTTAATTAAGAATATTTCTATGGGCTTAAGGGGGTGGGGCTTAACAAAAAGTCCTTATATGGGCAAAAGGGGCGGGGCCTAAAGGGGGCGGGGCTTAATGGAGAGTATTTAAATGAGCAAAGGGGGCAGGGCTTAATTGAGAATATTTATATAGGCAAAGGGGGTGGGGCCTAGAGGGGGCGGGGCTTAATTGAGAATATTTATATGTGCAAAGAGGGCGGGGCCTAAAGGGGGTGGGGCTTAATTGGAAATATTTAAATGGGCAAAGGGGGCGGGGCTTAATTAATATTTCTATGGGCTAAAGGGGGTGGGGCTTAAAGGGGGCAGGGCTTAATTTAAAATATTTCTATAGGTAAACAGGCGGGCCTAAAGGGGGCGGGGCTTAAGTGAGAATATTTAAATTGGCAAAGGGGGCGGGGCTTAATTAAAAATATTTCTATGGCTAAAGGGGCGGGGCCTAAAGGGGCAGGGCTTAATTAAGAATATTTATATGAGCAAAGGGGCGGGGCCTAAAGGGGGCGGGGCTTAATGGGGAGTCCTTATATGGGCAAAAGGGAGAATTTTGGGGTTTTTTTTGGGATTTTTGGGGGAAATTTGGGGGATTTGGGGCACCTGAGGAGATTTTTGGGGTTTCTTTGGGGGAATTTTGGGGGATTTTTAATTATTTTGGGAGGCTGAGGGATTTTAGGGAATTCTGAGGGGGTTTTTCAGGATTTTGAGGTTTTTAAAGGATTTTTTGGGGGAAATTTGGGGGATTTTGGGGGCCCTGAGGAGATTTTGGAGGATTTGATGGAGTTTTGGGGAAATTTAAAGGATTTTGGGGGTTTTTGGGATCATTTTGGGGATTTTAAGGTGTTTTTTTTATGGTTTTTTTTGGGATTTTTAGTTATTTTGGGGAAATTATTTTTTGAGACTTTGGGGGAAATTTGAGGGGATTTTGGGGGGTTTTGGGATTATTTTGGAGATTTTAAATGGTTTTTGGGTATTTTGAGAGAATTTTGGGGCTTTTAAGGGATTTTTGGGGTTTTTTTAGGGAATTTTGGGGCTTTTAGGGGATTTTTGGGGTTTTTTTGAGGGAATTTTGGGGGGTTTGGGAGGCTGAGGGATTTTAGGGAATTTTGAGGGGATTTTTCAAGATTTTGAGGTTTTTTTGGGGGGGTTTCAGGTTTTTTTGGGGGAAATTTGGGGGATTTTCTGGCACCTAAGGAGATTTTGGGGAATTTGAGGGAGTTCTGGCGGAACTTGAGATTATTTTGAGAGATTTTGGGGAGAATTTGAGGGAGTTTTGGGGGAATTTGAGATTATTTTGGGGATTTTAAGTAATTTTGGGGTGTTTTGAGAGAATTTTGGGGCTTTAAAGGAATTTTTGGGGTTTTCGAGGGAATTTTGGGGGATTTTTAACAATTTTGGGAGAATGAGGGATTTTAGGGAATTTTCAATGGCTTTTTCAGGATTTTGAGGTTATTTTGGGGGTTTTGAGGTTGTTTTGGGGAATTTTTAGAGGTTTTGAGGTTATTTGGGGGATTTTAATGGGTTTTTAAGGTTATTTTCGTGATTTTATTCGATTTTTTTGAGGGAAGTTTGGGGAATTTAAGGAATTTTGGGGGGTTTTGATGTTATTTTGGGGATTTTAAGGGATTTTGGGGATTTTAAGGGGGTTTTACGGTTATTTTGGAAAGTTTGGGCATTTTTTGAAGTTATTTTGGGGAATTTAACGGAATTTTGGGGTTTTTTTGAGGGAATTTTGGGTGGTTTGAAGAATTTTGGGAGACTTTGAGGGATTTTAGAGAATTTTGAGGGGATTTTTGGGGTTTTTAAGGTTATTTTGGCGAATTTAGGGATTTTTGGGGTTTTTTGTGGATTTTAAGGGATTTTGGGGGTTTTGAGGTTATTTTGGGGATGTTGGGGTTTTTTGAGGTTATTTTGGGGAATTTAAGGGATTTTTGGGGTTTTTTTCAGGGGATTTTGGGGAATTTAAGGGATTTTGGTGGGTTTTGTGGTTATTTGGGGGGTTTTATTGGATTTTTTGAGGGAATTTTGGGAATTTTAAGGGGTTTTTGGGGTTTTTTGAGGTTATTTGGGGATGTTGGGGTTTTTTGAGGTTATTTTGGGGAATTTAAGGGATTTTTGGGGTTTTTTTAAAGGGACTTTTAAGGGGATTTTGGGGGATTTTTGGGTTTTTTTTAAGGGGATTTTGGGGGATTTAAGGGATTTTTGGGGTTTTTTTAAGGGGATTTTGGGGCATTTAAGGGATTTTGGGGGTTTTGAGGTTATTTTGGGGCTTTTAAAGGATTTTTGGGGTCTTTTCCCTCAGCCAATCACGGGCAGAGCTTTCGGCCATCTTGGCCTTGGGGGCGGAGCCGGAAGTGCTGGTGAGGGGGCGTGGCCTCGGGAGGGGGCGGGGCTTAGGGAGGGGGCGTGGCCTCGGGAGGGGGCGTGGCCTGGAAACCCCAAAATCCCTTTTCAGACCCCAAAAATTCCCTTAAAATGCTCCAAAAACCACCCGGGAACCCCCAAAATCCTTTCGGGAACCCCAAAATCTCCTCAAGAAGCCCCAAAATTCCCAAAATCTCCCCCAAAATCCGCTCTGCCGCCCCCCCAAAAAGTCAAACATCCCCCCAAAATCTCACCCAGGACCCCCCAAATTTCTAAAACTTCCCCCAAAATCTCCCCCAGAACCCTCAAAACCCCCAAATCCCCCCCAAAATTCTCTCCAGGACCCTCCAAAAACCCAAAATCCCCCCCAGAATCTCCCAAAATCCCCCCCAGGAACCCCCGAATTCCCAAACCTCCCCTCAGGATCCCCCAAAATCCCCAAATTCCCCCCAAAACCCCCAAATTCCCCCAAAATCCCCAAATTCCCCCAAAAATCCTAAATTTCCCCCAAAATTCCCAAATTTCCCCCAAATTCCCCCGAAATTTCCCCCAATATCCCCAAATTCCTCCCAAAATCCCCAAATTCCCACCAAAATCCCCAAATTCCCCCCAAATTCCCCGAAAAATCCCCAAATTTCTCCCCAAAATCCCCAAATTCCCCGAAAAATCACCAAAATCCCCCCTAAATCCCAAAATTCCTCCCAAATTCCCCAAATTCCCCTCAAAATCCCCAAATTCCCCCCAAAATCCCCAAAATTCCCCCCAAAACCCCCAAATTCCCCCCCAAAATCCCAAATTCCCGCCAAAATTCTCAAATTCCCCCCAAAATCCCCCCAAAATCCCCAAATTCTCCCCAAAATCCCCAATTTCCCCCAAAATCCCCAAATTCCCCCCAAAATCCCCAAATTCCCACCAAAATCCCTGATTTCCCGCCAAAATCCCCAAATTCCCGCCAAAATCCCCAAATTCCCACCAAAATCCCCAAATTTCTCCCCAAAATCCCCAAATTCCCCGAAAAATCCCAAAATTCTCCCCAAATTCTCCCCAAAATCCCCAAATTCCCCCAAAATCCCCAAATTCCCCCAAAAATCCCAAATTTCCCCCAAAATTCCCAAATTCCCCCCAAATTCCCCCAAAATCCCCAAATTCCCCCCAAAATTCCCAAATTCCCCCCAAAATCCTCAAATTCCCCCAAAAATCCCCAAATTCTCCCCAAAATCCCCAAATTCCCCCCAAAATCCACAAATTCTCCCCAAAATCCTCAAATTCCCCCCAAATTCCCCCCAAAATCCCCAAATTCCCCCCAAAATCCCCAAATTTCTCCCCCAAATTCCCGCCAAAATTCCCAAATTCCCCCCAAAATCCTCAAATTCCCCCAAAAATCCCCAAATTCCCCCCAAAATCACAAAATTCCCCTGAAAATCCCCAAATTCCCCCAAAATCCCCAAATTCCCCCCAAAATCCTCAAATTTCCCCCAAAATCGCCAAATTCCCCCCAAAATCCCCAAATTCCCCCCAAAATCCCCAAATTCTCCCCAAAATCCCCAAATTCCCCCCAAATTCCCCCCAAAATCTTCCCAAAATCCCCAAATTCCTGCCAAAATCCCCAAATTCCCACCAAAATCCCCAAATTTCTCCCCAAAATCCCCAAATTCCCCTAAAAATCCCCAAATTCCCCCAAAATCCCCAAATTCCCCCCAAAATCCCCAAATTCCCCCCAAAATCCCCAAATTCCCACCAAAATCTCCAAATTTCTCCCCAAAATCCCCAAATTCCCCGAAAAATCCCCAAATTCCCCCCAAAATCCCCAAATTCCCACCAAAATCCCCAAATTCCCACCAAAATCCCCAAATTCCCCCCAAAATCCCCAAATTTCCCCCAAAATCGCCAAATTCCCCCCAAAATCCCCAAATTCCCCCCAAAATCCCAAACTTCCCCCCAAATTCCCCCCAAAATCCTCAAATTTCCCCCAAAATTCCCAAATTCCCGCCAAAATCCCCAAATTCCCCCCAAATTCCCCCCAAAATCCCCAAATTCCCCCCAAAAATCCCAAATTTCCCCCAAAATCCCCAAATTCCCCCCAAAATCCCCAAATTCCCGCCAAAATCCCCAAATTCCCCCCAAATTCCCCCGAAATTTCCCCCAAAATCCCCAAATTCCCCCCAAATTCCCCCCAAAATCCCCAAATTCCCCCCAAAATCCCCTCCAGGACCCCCCAAAATTCCCAAATCCTTCCCAAAATCCCCAAATTCCCACCAAAATCCTTAAATTTCCCCCAAAATCCCCAAATTCCCCCAAATCCCCCCAAAATCCCCGATTTCCCGCCAAAATCCCAAGCCCCGCCCCCTCCGCAGGTGTCAATCAAGGCCCTGTGCACGGCCCGGGAGGCGGAGCTTCAGCAGAGGCCACGCCCACCTCGGTAAGCCCCGCCCCTCCCTCATTAACCCCTCATTAACCCTTTTATTAACTCATTAATATGCTAATTAAACCCCTCCAGAGCTGCCAATCACCCGAGGGAGGCTCCGGATTGGCTGAAACAGGCAGAGGTGGGCGTGGCTTGCTGAGGGGAGGGGGCGTGGCCTGAGCGAAGCCACGCCCCCTCCGCTGACGTTTGGCGCCTCCCACAGGCGGTGCTGATTGGTCACAGCCCGGGGGCGGTGCTCTGGGCCCTGGAGGCGTTGGCCAATCAGAGCACGAGGTGGGTGTGGCTTAAGAAAGTGGGCGTGGCTTGCGGTGGGTGGGGCTTACATCGGTGGGCGGGGCTTAAATGCAAATTTTGGGCTCCAAATTCCATTTTTGGGGTCCCAAAAAGCCCCAAATTCTTCCAAAATCCCCCAAAATTTTATCCTGAGGATTAAAAAAAAAAATTGAAATTTTTTTTAGGGCTTTGCTGAGGCCCCAAATCCCCAAATTTTTCCCCCAAAATTCTTCCCTTAAAGCTCCTCCACCCAATAAAAACCCCAACTCCAAAAAGGTCCCAAGAAAAGGGATTTTTGGGGGATTTTTAGAGGAATTTGGGGGATTTTGGGAAATTTTGGGCGATTTTGAGGGATTTTGGGCAATTTTAAGGGAATTTGGAGAATTTTTGAGGGATTTTGAGAGGAATTTGGGCGATTTTGGGAAGTTTTGAGGGAATTTTGGGCGATTTTGAGGGATTTTGGGCAATTTTAAGGGAATTTGGAGGATTTTCAGGGGATTTTGAGGGAATTTTGAGGTCCCTGAGAGGATTTTGGTGAATTTTTGGGGGTTTTGTGGGATCTGAGTGGATTTTGGGAGATTTTATAGGGAATTTTGAGGGGATTTGGGGGATTCGGGGGATTTTGAGCCAATTTTTGGGGGATTTTGGGCAGTTTTTAGGGGATTTTGAGAGGAATTTGGGGGATTTTTGGGAAATTTTGGGGGAATTTGTGGCGATTTTGAGGGACTTTTGGGCGATTTTGAGGGATTTTAAGCAATTTTAAGGGAATTTGGAGGATTTTCAGGGGATTTTAAGAGGAATTTGGGGGATTTTGGGAAGTTTTGAGGGAATTTTGGGCGATTTTGGGGGATTTTGGGCAATTTTAAGGGAATTTGGAGGATTTTCAGGGGATTTTGAGGGAATTTTTGGGGGTTTTGTGGGATCTGAGTGGATTTTGGGAGATTTTTTTAGTGAATTTTGGGAGATTTTGAGGGGATTTTGGGGTCCCTGAGGGGATTTTGGGTTCCTGAAGGAAATTTGGGGTATTTTGAGGGGATTTTGGGGTCCCTGAAGGAATTTTGGGGTATTTTGAGTGGATTTTGGGGTCACTGAGAGGATTTTGGGGAATTTTTGGGGGTTTTGTGGGATCAGAGTGGATTTTGGGAGATTTTATAGGGAATTTTTAGGGGATTTTGGGAGATTCGGGGGATTTTGAGCAAATTTTGGGGGGATTTCGGGCAATTTGGAGATTTTGAGGGATTTTGGAGGATTTTCAGGGGCTTTGGGGGATTTTTGGGGGATTTGTGAGGGAATTTTGGGGTTCCTGAGGGGATTTTTGTGGATTTTGAGAGGATTTGGGGGATTTTGAGAGATTTGAGGATATTTGGGGATATTTGGGAGATTTTGGGCGGATTTTGGAGTCCCTGAAGGGATTTTAAGGGGATTTTGGGGCCTTGAAGGGATTTTGGGTTCTGAGGGAATTTTGGGGTATTTTGAGAGGATTTTGGGGTATTTTGAGTGGATTTTGGGGTCCCTAATGGAATTTTGGGGTCCCTGAGAGGATTTTGGGGGATTTTGAGGGGATTTTGGGTTTCTGAAGGAAATTTGGGGTATTTTGATGAGATTTTTGGGTTCCCTGAGGGAATTTTGGGTGCCCTGAGGGAATTTTGGGGGATTTTGAGGGAATTTTGGGGGATTTTGGGGTCCTTGAGGGAATTTTGTGGTCCCTGAGGGAATTTTAGGGAATTTGGGGGTCCCTGAGGGAGTTTTGGGATCCCTGAGGGAATTTTAGGGAATTTTGGGGTCCTTGAGTGATTTTTGGGGCATTTTAAGGGAATTTTGGGGTCACTGAGGAGATTTTGGGGCATTTTTAGGGAATTTTGGGGTCCCTGAGGGCATTTTGGGGTCCCTTAGGGAATTTTGGGAGATTTTGGGGTCCCTGAGAGGATTTTGGAGGATTTTGAGGGAATTTTGGGGGATTTTGGGGTCCCTGAGTGGATTTGGGTGGATTTTTGGGGTCCCTGAGGGGATTTTTGGGGTCCCTGAGGGAGTTTTGGGGGATTTTGAGGGAATTTTGGGGGATTTTGGGGTCCTTGAGGGAATTTTGGGGTCCCTGAGGTGATTTTTGGGGCATTTTAAGGGAATTTTGGGGTCCCTGAGGAGATTTTGGGTTCCCTGAGGGAATTTTAGAAGATTTTGGGGTCCGTGAGGGAGTTTTGGGATCCCTGAGGGAATTTTAGGGAATTTTGGGGTCCCTGAGTGATTTTTGGGGCATTTTAAGGGAATTTTGGGGTCCCTGAGGAGATTTTGGGGTCCTTGAGAGAATTTTGGAGGATTTTGAGGGAATTTTGGGGTCCTTGAAGGAATTTTGGAGGATTTTGTGGGGATTTTGGGGGATTTTGGGGTCCCTGAAGGGATTTTAGGGTCCTTGAGGGAATTTTGGGGTCTCTGAGGAAATTTTTGGGTTCCTGAGGGAATTTTGGAGGATTTTGGGGCCTCTAAGGGAATTTTGGGGTCCCTGACGGGTTTTTGGGGAATTTTGTGGTCCCTGTGGGGATTTTGAGGGAATTTTGGGGTCCCTGAGGGAATTTTGGTGGATTTTGAGGGAATTTTGGGGTCTCTGAGGGAATTTCGGGGTCCCTGAGGAGATTTTGGGGTCCCTGAGGGGATTTGGGTGGATTTTGGGGGTCCCTGAGTGGATTTTTGGGGTCCCTGAGGGAATTTTGGGGTCTCTGAGGGGATTTTGTGGTTCCTGTGGGGGTTTTGTGGGAATTTTGGGGTCCCTGAGGGAATTTTGGGAGATTTTGGGGTCCCTGAGAGGATTTTGGAGGATTTTGAGGGAATTTTGGGGGATTTTGGGGTCCCTGAGGGAATTTGGGGGGATTTTGAGGGAATTTTGGGAGATTTTGGGGTCCCTGAGAGGATTTTGGAGGATTTTGAGGGAATTTTGGAGGATTTTGGGGTCCCTGAGGGAATTTTGGGATCCCTGAGGAAATTTTAGGGAATTTTGGGGTCCCTGAGTGATTTTTGGGGCATTTTAAAGGAATTTTGGGGTCCCTGAGGGAATTTTGGGGTCCCTGAGGGCATTTTTGGAGGATTTTGGGGTCCCTGAGGGAATTTTGGGGGTCCCTGAGGGGATTTGGGTGGATTTTGGGGGTTCCTGAGGGGATTTTGAGGTCCCTGAGTGATTTTTTGGGGCATTTTAAGGGAATTTTGGGGTCCCTGAGGGAATTTTGGTGGATTTTGAGGGAATTTTGGGGTCCCTGAGGGCATTTTGGAGGATTTTGGGGTCCCTGAGGGAGTTTTGGGATTCCCTGAGGGAATTTTGGGGTCCCTGTGTGATTTTTTTGGGGCATTTAAGGGAATTTTGGGGTCCCTGAGGGAATTTTGGGATCCCTGAGGAAATTTTAGGGACTTTTGGGGTCCCTGAGTGATTTTGGGGGCATTTTAAGGGAATTTTGGGGTCCCTGAGGGCATTTTGGTGGATTTTGGGGTCCCTGAGGGCATTTTGGGGTCCCTGAGGGAATTTTGGGAGATTTTGGGGTCCCTGAGAGGATTTGGGTGGATTTTGGGGTTCCTGTGTGAATTTTGGGGTCCCTGAGGGGATTTTGAGGTCCCTGAGGAGGTTTTGGGGTCCCTGAGTGGATTTGGGCGGATTTTGGGGCTCCCTGAGGGGAATTTTGGGGTCCCTGAGGGGATTTTGGGTTCCCTGAGGGATTTTTGAAGGATTTTGAGATAATTTTAGGGGATTTTGGGGTCCCTGAGGGAATTTTGGGGGTCCCTGAGGGGATTTGGGGGGATTTTGGGGGTTCCTGAGGGAATTTTGGGGTCCCTGAGTGATTTTTTGGGGCATTTTAAGGGAATTTTGGGGTCCCTGAGGTGAATTTGGGGTCCCTGAGGGGCGTGGCCACGGCGCGAAGGGGGCGTGGCTTTGCCCATATATGGTAATGCCTTTGGCCCCGCCCCCTCAGGGCTCTCCTGTCTGGCCCCGCCCCCTCGGCCGAAGCTCCGCCCACCCTGAGGCGCCTCCTGCAGGTGAGGGAATTTTGGGGGGAAATTTGGGAATTTTGGGGAAAATTTGGGAATTTTGGGGGAAATTTGGGAATTTTGGGGGAAATTCGGGAATTTTGGGGGAAATTTGGGAATTTTGGGGGAAATTCGGGAATTTTGGGGGAAATTTGGGAATTTTGGGGGAAATTCGGTAACTTTGGGGGAAATTTGGGAATTTTGGGGGGAATTTGGGAATTTTGGGGGAAATTTGGGAAATTTGGGGGAAATTTGGGAATTTTGGGGGGAAATTTGGGAATTTTGGGGGGAAATTCGGGAATTTTGGGGGGAAATTCGGGAATTTTGGGGCTTTTGGGGGAATTTGGGAATTTTGGGGGGAAATTTGGGAATTTTGGGGGAAAATTTGGGAATTTTAGGGGAAAATTTGGGAATTTTGGGGGGAAATTTTGGGATTTTTGGGGGAGATTTTGGGATTTTTGGGGGGAGTTTGGGGGAAAATTTTGGGGGAAATTTGGGGCTTTTGAGGGGTTTTGGCGATATTTGGTGATTTTTAGGGGATTTTTTTGATTTTTGGGGATTTTTTGGGGGAATTTGGGGGATATTTGGCGATTTTTGTGGGGAATTTTGGCGATTTTTGGGGGGAATTTTGGGGGCAATTTGGGATTTCGGTGAGGATTTTTGGCACTTTTGGGGGGAATTTGGGGGATTTTTGGGGGAATTTGGGGTTTTTGGGGTGATTTTGGAATTTGGGGAAAATTTTAGGGGGATTTTGGGGCTTCTGAGAGGATTTTGGGGATTTGAGGCGATTTTTTGGGGGAATTTTGGGGATTTTTGGCGATTTTTTGGGGCAATTTGAGATTTAGGTGGGATTTTTGGCACTTTTGGGGAGAATTTGGGGGATTTTGGGGGGATTTGGGGTTTTTGGAGGGAAATTTGGGGATTTTGGGGTTTTTGGGGAGAATTGGGCATTTTTGGGGGAGATTTTGGGATTTTTGGGGGAGATTTTGGGATTTTTGGGGGAGATTTTGGGATTTTTGGGGGGAGTTTGGGGGTTTTGAGGAGTTTTGGGGATATTTGGTGATTTTTAGGGGATTTTTTTATTTTTGGTGATTTTTTGGGGGGAATTTGGGGGATTTTTGGGGTTTTTGGGGGGATTTTGGATTTTGGGGGAAATTATGGGGGAATTTTAGGGCTTCTGAGAGGATTTTGGAGATTTTTGGCGATTTTTTGGGGGAATTTTTGGGGTTTGGGACAGATTTTGGGGGAATTTGGGATTTCGGTGGGGATTTTTGGCACTTTTGGGGGGAATTTGGGGGATTTTGGGGGGATTTGGGGTTTTTGGGGTGATTTTGTATTTTGGGGGAATTTTGGGGAAATTTGAGGGGAATTTTGGGGGAATTTTGGGCTTTTGGGTAAAATTTTGGGAAGATTTGACTTTTTGGAGGGAATTTTTGGGAGGATTTGGGATTTTGGGTAAAATTTTGGGGATTTTTGATGATTTTTGAGGGATTTTTTGGGTTTTGGGGGAGATTTTGGGGCCGATTTGGGATTTTGGGGAATTCTGGAGAAGATTTGGGGTTTTGGGGTGAATTTGGGGGTTTTGGGGTCCCAAATTTGATGTTTTTGGGGGTTTTGGGGTGGATTTGCTGGTTTTGGGGTAGATTTGGGTTTTTTGGGGTGGATTTGGGGGGTTTTGGGGTGGATTTGGGGTTTTTTCAGGGGGATTTGGGATTTTTGGGGTGAATTTGGAGCTTTTGGGATCCCAAATTTTATTTTTGGGGTGGATTTTGGGAGTTTTGGGATGGATTTGGGGTTTTTTTGGGGTTAATTTGATGTTTTTGGGTTGTATTTGGATTTTTGGGGTCCCTGACGTGTTTTTTGGGTTATATTTGGGATTTTTGGGTTAAATTTGTGGTTTTTGTGATAGATGTGAATTTCTTGGGGTTAATTTGATGTTTTTCGGGCATATTTGTATTTTTGGGGTCCCTGAGGTGTTTTTGGGGGTGTATTTAGGGGGTTTTTGGGGTGGATTTTGGGGTTTTTGAGGAGGATTTGGGGTTTTTTGGGTTAATTTGATATTTTTGGGGCATATTTGTATTTTTGGGGTCCCTGATGTGTTTTTTGGGGTGGATTTGGGTTTTTTTGGGTTATATTTGGGTTTTTTGGGTTATATTTGTAGTTTTTGTGATAGATTTGATTTTTTTGGGGTTAATTTGATATTTTTGGGGCATATTTGTATTTTTGGGGTCCCTGATGTGATTTTTGGGGTCCCCAGGAGCGCTGGGGGGCCGTGGGGGGGGTCTGGGGGGCGCTGCCGCCGCTCCTGACCCGCCTGGGACACCTGAGGGGACACCTGGGGACACTCCTGGAGCGGGACCGGGACACGGACGGGGCTGCCAGGTAACCAAAATATCCCCAAAATATCCCAAATTATCCCTAAAATACCCCAAAAATCCCCTGGAGCGGGACAGGGACACGGACGGGGCCACCAGGTAACCCAAAATATCCAAAATTAAACCCAAAATACCCCAAAAATCCCCTGGAGAGGGACAGGGACACGGCCAGGGCTGCCAGGTAACCAAAATATCCCCAAAATATTCCAAATTATCCCTAAAATACCCCAAAAATCCCCTGGGACACTCCTGGAGCGGGACCGGGACACGGCTGAGGCCGCCAGGTAACCCAAAATAGCCCAAATTAAACCCAAAATATCCCAAATTATCCCTAAAATATCTCAAATTATCCCCAAAATATCCCGATTTATCCCTAAAATATCCTAAAGTATCCCAAATCCATCCTAAAATATTCCAAATCCATCCTAAAATATCCCAAATATCCGAAATGTCTCCTAAAATATCCTAAATAGCCCCAAAAATATCTGAAATCCATCTTAAAATATCCGAAATTATCCCAAATTATCCCTGAAATATCTTAAAATATCCCAAATTATCCCTAAAATATCCCAAAAATCCCCTGGAGCGGGACAGGGACACGGCCGGGGCCACCAGGTAACCAAAATATCCCAAATTAGCCCCAAAATATCCCAAATTATCCCTAAAATATCCCAAATTATCCCCAAAATATCCCAAATTATCCCTAAAATATCCTAAAGATCCCAAATCCATCCTAAAATATTCTAAGTATCCCCTAAAATATCCCAAATCCATCCAAAAATATCCCAGATCCATCCTAAAATACCACAAATATCCGAAATGTCTCCTAAAATATCCTAAATAACCAAAAAAATATCTGAAATCCATCTTAAAATATCCTAAATATCCCAAATTATCCCCAAAATATCCCAAATTATCCCTAAAATATCCCAAAAATCCCCTGGAGAGGGACAGGGACAAGGCCGGGGCCACCAGGTAACCCAAAATATCCCCAAAATATCCCAAATTAGCCCCAAAATATCCCAAAAATCCCCTGGAGAGGGACCGGGACACGGACGGGGCTGCCAGGTACCCCAAAATAGCCCAAATTAAACCCAAAATATTCCTAAAATATCCTGGAGAGGGACAGGGACACGGCCGAGGCCACCAGGTAACCCAAAATATCCCAAATTAGCCCCAAAATATCCCAAATTATCCCCAAAATATCCCAAAATATCCCTAAAATATCCCAAATTATCCCTAAAATATCCCAAATTATCCCAAATTAGCCCCAAAATATCCCAAATTATCCCTAAAATATTCCTAAAATATCCTAAAGATCCCAAATCCATCCTAAAATATTCTAAATATCCCCTAAAGTATCCGAAATCCATCCTAAAATATCCCAAATCCATCCTAAAATATCCCAAATATCCAAAATGTCTCCTAAAATATCCTAAATAGCCCCAAAAATATCTGAAATCCATCTTAAAATATCCTGAATATCCCAAATTATCCCCAAAATATCCCAAATTATCCCTAAAATAGTCCTAAAATCCCCTGGAGCGGGACAGGGACAAGGCCGGGGCCACCAGGTAACCCAAAATAGCCCAAATTATCCCAAATTATCCCCAAAAATCCCCTGGGACACTCCTGGAGAGGGACAGGGACACGGACGGGGCTGCCAGGTAACCCAAATATCCCCAAAATATCCCAAATTATCCCAAATTAAACCCAAAATATCCCAAATTATCCCTAAAATGTTCCTAAAATATCCTAAAGATCCCAAATCCATCCTAAAATATTCTAAATATCCCCTAAAGTATCCGAAATCCATTTTAAAATATCCTAAATATCCCAAATTATCCCTAAAATACCCCAAATTATCCCTAAATGTGCCCTAAATATCCCAAATCGATCCTAAAAGATCCCAAATCCATCCTGAAATACCCCATTTACCCCCATTTTTACCCCATTTTCCCATTTTTCCACCATTTTCCCCCCATTTTTTCCCCCATTTTTCCCATTTTTACCCCATTTTTTACCCCATTTTTACCATTTTTACCCTATTTTTCCCAATTTTCCCCCATTTTCCCCCCATATTTTTCCCATTTTTCGCCATTTTCCTCCCATTTTTCCACAATTTTCCACCATTTTTCCCCCATTTTTTACCCATTTTTTTCCCATTTTTCCCCATTTTCCCCCGTTTTCCCATTTTTTCCCCCCATTTTTCCCCCATTTTCCCATTTTTACCCCATTTTTTACCCAATTTTTCCCATTTTTTACCCTATTTTTCCCAATTTTCCCCCCATTTTTCCCCCATTTTCCACAATTTTTACCCCATTTTTCCCAATTTTTACCCCATTTTTCCCCATTTTCCCCCCATTTTCCCCATATTTTTCCCATTTTTCCCCATTTTCTCCCATTTTCCCATTTTTCCACCATTTTCCTCCCGTTTTTTCCCCCATTTTTTCCCATTTATACCCCATTTTCCCGAATTTTTCCCATTTTTCCCATTTTTCCCCTATTTTTCCCCATTTTCCCCCCATTTTCCCCATTTTTTCCCCCATTTTTCCCATTTTTACCCCATTTTTTACCCCATTTTCCCCAATTTTTACCCCATTTTTCCCCTATTTTTCCCCATTTTTCCCCATTTTTCCATTTTTCCCCCATTTTTCCCATTTTTACCCCATTTTCCCCCCATTTTCCCCCATTTTCCCCATTTTTTACCCCATTTTTCCCAATTTTTACCCCATTTTTTTCCCCCATTTTTACACTATTTTTCCCCATTTTCCCCCATTTTTCCCCCATATTTTTCCCATTTCACCCTATTTTTCCCATTTTTACCCCATTTTCCCCCATTTTCCCATTTTTCCACCATTTTTCCCATTTTTCCCCCATTTTTCCCCCATTTTTCCCCATTTTTCCCCATTTTTCCCCCAATTTTTCCCATTTTTCCCATTTCCCCCATTTTTCCCCCATTTTTCCCATTTTTCCCCTATTTTTCCCCATTTTCCCATTTTTCCCACCATTTTTACCCCATTTTTCCCCAATTTTTCCCATTTTTCCCCATTTTCCCCCCCAGGCTCTCTCTGCTCGTGGCCGCTCTCGGCGCCGTCCGTTCCTCCCTTCTGGGGGCGCTGCGGGGGGACCAAAAACCCCAAAATCCGGCACCAAAATCCCAAAAATTCCCAAATTCGGCCCCAAAATTCCCAAAATTGGCGGATTTGGCCCCAAAACCGTCTCTGAGGGCGCTGAGGCGGCGGCTGCGGAGGGGGCGGAGCCAAGCGGTGAGTGACAGCTGGGGAACGACTCTGATTGGTTAATCACGTCTGGGGGTGGGGCCAAGCTGTGAGTGACAGCTGGGGAAGGACTCTGATTGGTGGGTGACAGCTGGGGCGGGGCTAAGCTGTGAGTGACAGCTGGGGCGTGGCTGGAGGTGGAGCCAAGCGGTGAGTGACAGCTGGGGAAAGGCTCTGATTGGTGGGTGGCAGCTGGGGGCGGGGCTAAGTTGTGAGTGACAGCTGGGGCGTGGCTGGGGGTGGAGCCAAGCGGTGAGTGACAGCTTGGGAAGGACTCTGATTGGTGGGTGACAGCTGGGGGCGGGGATGGGGGCGTGGCTTGAAGCGGTGATTGACAGGTGAGGGCGGGGCTTGGGATTTTTGGGGGGTTTTAGGGGGATTTGGGGTTTTTAGGGGATTTTGGGGTTTTTGGGTTTGGGGATTTTGGGGTTCGAAATTTGGAGTTTTGGGGTTTTTGTGGATTTGGGGATTTTGGGGTTCGGAATTTGGGGTTTTGGGGTTTTTGGGGTTTGGGGATTTTGGGGTTTTTTGGGAGATTTGGGGTTTTTGGGGTTCAAAATTTGGGGTTTTGGAATTTTTGGGTTTTCGGGTTTTTAGGGGGATTTGGGGTTTTTTGGGTTTTGGGTTTGGGGATTTGGGGCTCGGAATTTGGGGTTTTGGAGATTTTGGGTTTTCGGGTTTTTAGGGAGATTTGGGGTTTTTGGGGTTTTGGGGTTTTTAGGGAGATTTGGGGTTTTTTGGGTTTGGGGGTTTTTAGGGGAATTTGGGGTTTTGGGGTTTTGGGGTTTTTGGGGTTTTGGGGTTTTCGGGTTTTGGGGTTTTGGGGTTCGGAATTTGGGGTTTTGGGGTTTTCGGGGTTTGGGGTTTTGGGGTTTTTAGGGAGATTCGGGGTTTTTTGGGGTTTGGGTTTGGGGATTTGGGGATTTGGGAGTTCGGAATTTGGGGTTTTGGGGTTTTTGGGTTTTGGGGTTTTTGGGTTTTTGGGGTTTGGGGTTTTGCGGTTTTTAGGGGGATTTGGGGGTTTTTGGGTTTGGGGATTTTGGGGTTCGGAATTTGGGGTTTTTGGGTTTTTGGGATTATGGGGTTTTGGGTTTTTTTGGTTTGGGGATTTGGGGTTTTGGGGGTTTTTGAGTTTGGGATTTTTGGGATTTTGTTTTTGGGATTTTTTGTTTTTTGGGGGTTTTTGAGGTTTTGGGGCGTTGCGGTTTTTGGTGTTTTTGGGTTTTTTGGGGTTTGGGGGATTTTGTGGATTTGAGGTTTTGGAATTTGGGGTTTTGGGTTTGGGGTTTTTAAGGTTTGGTGGTTTTGGGGTTTTTGGAATTTGGGGTTTTTCGGGTTTTTTGAGGATTTTGTGGGTTTGGGATTTTTTGTTTATTTGGGGTTTTTGGGCTTTTTGATTTTTTGGGGTTTTTGGGGATTTTGGGTTTGAGATTTGGGGTTTTAGAGATTTGGGGTTTGGGGTTTTTAGGATTTTTGGGGTTTTTGGGGGTTTTTAGGAAGATTTGGGGTTTTTGGGTTTGAGGCATTTGGGGTGTTTGGGGGAGTTTTGGGTTTTTTGGGGGGGGGTTTTGGGGTTTTTTGGGGTTTTTTGGGGTTTTTTGATGTTTTTTGGCATTTTCAGGAGATTTGGGAGGAGATTTTGGGATTTTCTGGGGGATTTTGGGTTATTTTCGGTGTATTTTGCGGATTTTTGGCTGTTTTTTGTGTGAATTTGCTGATTTTTGGGGTATTTTGGGGTTATTTTGCTGATTTTTGGGGTATTTTGAGTTACTTTGCTGTATTTTGGTTGTTTTTTGGGTTATTTCACCGATTTTTGGGTGATTTTTGGGTGATTTTGCTGATTTAGGGGTGATTTCATTGATTTTTGGGTGAATTTGCTGATTTTTGGGTTATTTCGCTGATTTTTTGGTGAATTTGCTGTTTTTTGAGGTATTTTTGGGTGAATTTCTCCGATTTTTGGGTGAATTTTGCCGATTTTTGGGTGAATTTTGCCGATTTTTGGGTTATTTCGCAGGGTTTTTTTTGTTATTTCAATGATTTTTGGGGTTTTTTTGGGTGAATTTGCTGATTTTGGGGGTATTTTGGGTTATTTCACTGATTTTTGGGAGATTTTTGGGTTATTTCACTGATGTTTGGGTGAATTAGCTGATATTTGGGTTATTTTGGGGTGTAATTTGCTGCTTTTTGGGTGATTTTTCTGATTTTTGGGTGTATTTTGCTGATTTTGGGGTATTCTGGGGTGAATTTGCTGGGATTTGGGTTATTTTTGGGTTATTTCACTGATTTTTTGGAGTATTTTTGGGTGAATTTGCTGATTTTTTGGGTTATTTTGGGTGAGTTTGGTGATTTTGGGGTATTTTGGGGTGAATTTGCTGGTTTTTTGGGTTATTTCACTGATTTTTGGGGTATATTTGGGTGAATTTTGCAGATTTTGGGGTGATTTTTGGGTTATTTTTGGGTGCAATTTGCTGATTTTGGGGTATTTTGGGGTGAATTTCGCCCATTTTTGGGTGAATTTCAGCGATTTTTGGGTGATTTTTGGGTTATTTCGCTGGGATTTTTTTTGTTATTTCAATGATTTTTGGGTTATTTTGGGTGAATTTGCTGATTTTGGGGTATTTTGGGGTGAATTTCGCCCATTTTTGGGTGAATTTCAGCCATTTTTGGGTGTTTGTTTCCCCCCAGCTGCGGCTGCAGCAGCGGCTGCGATTCCTGAGCGCCGCCACCAGAGGGCGCCGAGCGGCGCTGCGGCCACTGCAGGAGCAGGTACGGACCAGTACGGACCAGTATAAACCAGTATGGACCAGTATGGACCAGTATGGACCAGTATGGACCAGTATGGACCAGTATAAACCAGTTAGAGACCAGTACGGACCAGTATAAACCAGTTAGGGACTAGTTAGAGACCAGTATAAACCAGTATGGACCAGTTAGGGACCAGTATGAACCAGTATGGACCAGTTAGAGACCAGTATAAACCAGTTACAGACCAGTATGGACCAGTTAGAGACCAGTATAAACCAGTATAAACCAGTATAAACCAGTACGGACCAGTTAGGGACCAGTATAAACCAGTACGGACCAGTTAGGGACCAGTACGGACCGGTTAGAGACCAGTACAGACCAGTACGGACCAGTATAAACCAGTTAGGGACCAGTATAAACCAGTATAAACCAGTATGGACCAGTTAGGGACCAGTATAAACCAGTACGGACCAGTACAGACCAGTATGGACCAGTTAGGGACCAGTAGGGACCAGTATAAACCAGTATGGACCAGTTAGAGACCAGTACGGACCAGTATAAACCAGTATGGACCAGTTAGAGACCAGTTAAAGACCAGTATAAACCAGTATAGACCAGTATGGACCAGTACAGACCAGTGACCCACTGGGAACCCTCCAGTAACCCCCCCAGTCCCCTCCCAGTATAAACCAGTAACCCCAAATCCCCTCCCAGTATAAACCAGTAACCCCCAAACCCCTCCCGGTACAAACCAGTAACCCCAAATCCCCTCCCAGTCCCCTCCCAGTACAAACCAGTAACCCCCAGTCCCCTCCCAGTACAAACCAGTAACCCCAAACCCCTCCCAGTATAAACCAGTAACCCCCAGTCCCCTCCCAGTATAAACCAGTAACCCCAAATCCCCTCCCAGTCCCCTCCCAGTACAAACCAGTAACCCCCAAACCCCTCCCAGTACAAACCAGTAACTCCAAACCCCCTCCCAGTACAAACCAGTAACCCCCAGACCCCTCCCAGTTCCTCCCAGTTCCCCCCAGTCCATCCCAGTTCCCACCCGCGCGCTCTGATTGGCTGCAGGTGGTGGGCGTGGCCCGGGCTCTGGCCCCGCCCCGTCTGGAGTGGGCGTGGCAGCGGCGCCGGGAGCTCCCATTGGCCGGGCTGGGCGAGCCCCGCCCCCCGCGGCAGGCCCCGCCCCCTCTGCAGGGATTGGCTGGCCAGCTCAGCTCCGCCCAGGTGGGGGCGGGGCCTGAAGGGGGCGGGGCTTGAAGGAAAGAAGGGGCGGGGCTTAAGGGGGCGGGGCTTAAAGGGATTAATTAAGGGAAAGGGGCTTAAAGAGATTAATAAAAGGGGCGGGGCTTAAATGGGGGCGTTGCTTAAAGGGATTAATTAGGGGGCGGGGCTTAAATGGGGGCAGAGCTTAAAGGGGTTAATTAAGGGGAGGGGCTTCAATAGAGAAATTTAAATGAGATGGGGCTTAATTGGGGGCGGGGCTTAATTGGGTATTAAAGGGGCGGAGCTTAAAGGGATGAATTAAAAGGGCGGGGCTTAAATTGGGGCGGAGCTTAAAGGGATTAATAAAGGGGTGGGGCCTAAATTGGGTGGATTAATTGAGGGGAGGGGCTTCAATAGAGAAATTTAAATGAGATGGGGCTTAATTGGGGGTGGGGCTTAATTGGGTATTAAAGGGGCGGGGCTTAAACAGCGGTGATTAAATGGGGAGGGGCTTAATGAGATGCAGCTATTAATGGGCGGGGCTTAACTGGGGGTGGGGTTAATGAGTGGGGGAGGGTCCCGCCCATTGTGGGCGTGGCCTGGCGGCTTGTGGGCGTGGCCACACCCTTTTAATTATTTTTTCCACCAATAGGGGGCGCTGCTGTCCCGGGCGGCCATTTTGCGGCTGCGGCTCCGCCAGGGGGCGCTGTGGGCGCGCCGGGGGGCGTGGCCATCCCGGGGGGCGTGGCCGGGCAAAGGGGCGGGGCTAGAACCGGCCCCGCCCCTCCCCGAGGGCGTGGCCGAGCTGCTGGCCCAGCTGCGATTGGTCGGCGACAGCTGCCGGCAGCGAATCAGCGATTGGCCACGCCTCCAGGAGCTGGTCGGCCAATGGTGAGCGAGGGGCGTGGCTAGAGGGGGCGTGGCTTCTCTCGGCTAAGCCACGCCCCTTTGCTGACCACGCCCCCTTTCCAGGTGGTCCCAACCGGCCCAATGGGCTTTGGCCACGCCCCCCGGTCACGCCCCCTTCTCCCATTGGCTGCAGCGCTGGCGGGACGCCGCCCACGCCCTGCAGGCCACGCCCACCGCCGCGCAGGCCACGCCCACCGAGGAGAAAGGGGCGGGGCCAGGGGAAGAGGCTCCGCCCCCCTGAGGCGCTGCGGAGGCGCTGATTGGTCGGGAATAAAAAGGGGCGGGGCAAAGGGGCGTGGCTTGAGTCTGTGATTGATGGGGGGGCCAAAATGGCGCAAAAATATCCCAAAAATGGCCCCAAAATGTCCCCAAGGGGCCCAAAATGCCCCAAATGGCTTCAAAATGGCCCCAAATGTCCCCAAAATGTCCCCAAGGGGCCCAAAATGGTCAAAATATGCCCAAAATGGCCCCAAAATGTTCCCAAAATGGACAAAATGTTCCCAAATTTCCCCAAAATGTCCCCAAGGTGCAAAAATGGCGGCGGTGTCCCCAAATATCCCCAAAGTTCCCAAAATGGCCCCAAAATGTCCCCAGGGTGCCCAAAATGTCTCCAAGAGTTCTCAAAATGTCCCCAAATTTCCCCAAAATGTCCCCAGGGTGCCCAAAATGGCCCCAAGGTGCCCAAAATGGCCCCAGGGTGCCCAAAATGGGCAAAATGTCCCCAGGGGTCCCAAAATGGCCCCAAAGTGCCCAAAATGGCCCCAAATGTGCCCAAAATGGCGGCGGTGTCCCCAAATTTCCCCCAAAATGTGCCCAAAATATGCCCAAATGTCCCCAAAATGCCAATTAACGAATCCCACGGCTGATTAACTGCCGCCATTAATTAACGCCCCCACTTAACATCTCCCACTAATAATCCCATTAATTAATTAAACCCCCAATTACACCCGGAATTAATCAACCCGATTAAATTAATTAATTCCATTAGCCCAAATTAACGCCCGTAATTAGCCACCCCCACTAATTGCACAATCCCAATTAATTAACACCCCCCCTAATTAACCACTGTGCTCATTAGCACGCCCAGGAATCAATTAACCCTGGCAGCAATTAATTAATGAAGTGCAATTAATTAATTAAGTGCGATAATTAACCGTTAATTGATGAATTAACCATTAATTAACCCTTCCCTTGACCACCCCCAGCCCCTTAATTGGCCCCTAATTAATGAATTAACGAGGCTAATTAATCAAATCTCCTTTAATTACCAAACCCCCCCCACCCCCAATGCCCACTTCCGGGTTAGGCCACGCCCGTTTCCGTTTAGCGCTGGATACTTCCGGGTTAGGCCACGCCCCCGCTGATGGCGCCCTCTGGCGGGCGGGAGGAGCGATGACGTCACTTTTCCTTTGGGAGGGGCCTGGGGGGGAATAAAAACCAGTAAAAACCAGTAAAAACCGGTATGGACCGGTAAAAACCAGAATAAACCAGTCAAAACAGTCCAAACCAGTATAAACCAGTCCCTCCCAGTTTGTCCCAGTCCATCCCAGTTCCCTTTTTATCCCCCAAAATCCCCATTTTTCCCCCTAAAATCCCCATTTTTGTGCCTAAATCGTCAGTTTTTTCCACTCCCAGTATAAACCAGTACAAACCAGTATAACCCAGTCTGTCCCAGTATAAACCAGTATAACCCAGTCCCCTTTTTCACCCCGAAAATCCCATTTTTTCCCCTAAAATCCTCATTTTTCACCCTAAAATCTCCATTTTTCTGCCTAAACCTCCCGGTTTTTCCCCTCCCAGTATAAACCAGTATAAACCAGTATAAACCAGAATGACCCAGTCTGTCCCAGTTCACTCCCAGTATAAACCAGTATAACCCAGTTCCCTTTTTCACCCAAAAATTCCCTTTTTATCCCCCAAAATCCCCATTTTTTCACACTAAAATCCCCATTTTTGTGCCTAAATCTTCAGTTTTTTCCCCTCCCAGTCCCTCCCAGTATAAACCAGTCTGTCCCAGTCCCATTTTCACCCCAAAAATGCCCATTTTTCCCCATAAAATCCCCATTTTTCACCCAAAAATCCCATTTTTCACCCTAAAATCCCCATTTTTCACCCTAAAATCTCCATTTTTCTGCCTAAACCTCCCGTTTTTCCCCTCCCAGTATAAACCAGTATAACCCAGTATAACCCAGTCTGTCCCAGTTCCCTCCCAGTATAACCCAGTCCATCCTAGTCCCATTTTCACCCCAAAAATCCCCATTTTTCCCCATAAAATCCCCATTTTTCACCCTAAAATCCCCATTTTTCCCCCTAAAATCCCCGTTTTTCTGCCCAAACCTCCCGTTTTCCCCCTCCCAGTATAAACCAGTATAACCCAGTATAACCCAGTCCGTCCCAGTCCCATTTTCACCCCAAAAATGCCCAATTTTCCCCATAAAATCCCCATTTTTCCCCCTAAAATCCCCATTTTTTCGCCCAAACCCCCCGTTTTTCCCCTCCCAGTATAAACCAGTACAACCCAGTCTGTCCCAGCTCTCTCCCAGTATAAACCAGTATAACCCAGTTCCCTTTTTCACCCCAAAAATTCCCATTTTTGCCCCCCAAAAATCCCATTTTGTCCCATAAAATCCCCATTTTTCACCCTAAAATCCCCATTTTTCTGCCCGAACCTCCCGTTTTCCCCCTCCCAGTATAACCCAGTATAACCCAGTATAACCCAGTATAAACCAGTCTGTCCCAGTATAACCCAGTTCCTGTTTTCACCCCCAAAATTCCCATTTTTCACCGTAAAATCCCATTTTCCCCCCCTAAAATCCCCATTTTTCTGCCTAAACCTGCTGTTTTTCCCCCTCCCAGTATAAACCAGTATAAACCAGTATAACCCAGTATAACCCAGTATAACCCAGTCCATCCCAGTCCCATTTTCACCCCAAAAATGCCCATTTTTCCCCATAAAATCCCCATTTTTCACACTAAAATCTCCATTTTTGTGCCCAAACCTCCCGTTTTTTCCCCTCCCAGTATAAACCAGTCCGTCCCAGTATAACCCAGTATAACCCAGTCCATTCTAGTCCCATTTTCACCCCAAAAATCCCCATTTTTCCCCATAAAACCCCCATTTTCCCCCCTAAAATCCCCATGTTTCCCCCTAAAATCCCCATTTTTGTGCCTAAATCTTCAGTTTTTTCCCCTCCCAGTCCCTCCCAGTATAACCCAGTATAACCCAGTATAACCCAGTCTGTCCCAGTATAACCCAGTATAACCCAGTCCCCTTTTTCACCCTGAAATCCCCATTTTTCACCCTAAAATCCCCATTTTTGTGCCCAAATCTCCTGTTTTTCCCCTCCCAGTATAAACCAGTATAAACCAGTATAAACCAGTCTGTCCCAGCTCTCTCCCAGTATAACCCAGTATAACCCAGTTCCCTTTTTCACCCCGAAAATCCCATTTTTAGCCCCAAAATCCCCATTTTTCACCCTAAAATCCCCATTTTTTCGCCCAAACCTCCCGTGTTTTCCCCCTCCCAGTATAAACCAGTATAAACCAGTATAAACCAGTATAACCCAGTCCCATTTCACCCAAAAATTCCCATTTTTCACACTAAAATCCCCATTTTTCCCCCTAAAATCCCATTTTTCACCCTAAAATCCCCATTTTTGTGCCTAAACCTCCCGGTTTTTCTCCTCCCAGTATAAACCAGTATAAACCAGTATAACCCAGTCTGTCCCAGCTCCCTCCCAGTATAACCCAGTATAACCCAGTTCCCTTTTTCCCCCTGAAATTACCTTTTTTTCCCCTAAAATCCCCAATTTTCACCCTAAAATCCCCATTTTTCACCCTAAAATCCCCATTTTTCTGCCTAAACCTCCCATTTTTCCCCCTCCCAGTATAAACCAGTCCCTCCCAGTATAACCCAGTATAACCCAGTATAACCCAGTCCATCCCAGTCCCATTTTCACCCTAAAATCCCCATTTTTCACCCTAAAATCCCCATTTTTCTGCCTAAACCTCCCATTTTTCCCCCTCCCAGTATAAACCAGTCCCTCCCAGTATAACCCAGTATAACCCAGTATAACCCAGTCCATCCCAGTCCCATTTTCACCCAAAAATGCCCATTTTTCCCCTAAAATCCCCATTTTTCACCCTAAAATCCCCATATTTTCACCCAAATCTCCCGTTTTTTCCCCTCCCAGTCCCTCCCAGTATAAACCAGTCCCTCCCAGTCTGTCCCAGTACAAACCAGTATAACCCAGTCCCATTTTTAGCCCCAAAATCTCATTTTTCCCCCTAAAATCGCCATTTTTCACCCTAAAATCCCCATTTTTCTGCCTAAACCTCCCATTTTTCCCCCTCCCAGTATAAACCAGTATAACCCAGTATAAACCAGTCCCTCCCAGTTCCCTCCCAGTATAACCCAGTTCCCTTTTTCACCCTGAAATTCCCATTTTTCACCATAAAATCCCCATTTTTCACCCTAAAATCCCCATTTTTGTGCCTAAATCTTCTGTTTTTTCCCCTCCCAGTCCCTCCCAGTATAACCCAGTATAAACCAGTATAAACCAGTCTGTCCCAGTATAAACCAGTATAACCCAGTTCCCTTTTTCACCCAGAAATTGCCATTTTTCCCCCTAAAATCCCCATTTTTCCCCCTAAAATCCCCATTTTTTCGCCCAAACCTCCTGTTTTTCCCCTCCCAGTATAAACCAGTATAAGCCAGTGTGTCCCAGTATAACCCACTTCCCTTTTTCACCCCAAAAATGCCCATTTTTCCCCATAAAATCCCATTTTTTCCCCATAAAATCCCCATTTTTCACCCTAAAATCCCCATTTTTCTGCCTAAACCTCCCGTTTTCCCCCTCCCAGTATAAACCAGTACAAACCACTCTGTCCCAGTACAAACCAGTATAACCCAGTTCCCTTTTTCACCCCGAAAATCCCATTTTTCACCCTAAAATCCCATTTTTCACCCTAAAATCCCCATTTTTGTGCCTAAATCTTCAGTTTTTTCCCCTCCCAGTCCCTCCCAGTATAACCCAGTATAAACCAGTCTGTCCCAGTATAAACCAGTATAAACCAGTATAACCCAGTTCCCTTTTTCACCCTAAAATCCCCATTTTTCCCCCTAAAATCCCCATTTTTCCCCCCAAAATCCCCATTTTTCACCCTAAAATCCCCATTTTTTCGCCCAAACCCCCCGTTTTTCCCCTCCCAGTATAAACCAGTATAACCCAGTCTGTCCCAGCTCTCTCCCAGAATAACCCAGTATAACCCAGTTCCCTTTTTCATCCTGAAATTCCCATTTTTACCCCTAAAATCCCCATTTTTCACCCTAAAATCCCCATTTTCCCCGCCTAAATCTCCCATTTTCCCCCCTCCCAGTATAAACCAGTATAACCCAGTCTGTCCCAGCTCCCTCCGAGTATAACCCAGTATAACCCAGTTCCCATTTCACCCAAAAATCCCCATTTTTCCCCTAAAATCCCCATTTTTCCCCCTAAAATCCCCATTTTTCCCCCTAAAATCCCCATTTTTCCCCCTAAAATCCCCATTTTTCCCCCTAAAATCCACATTTTTTCGCCCAAACCCCCCGTTTTCCCCCTCCCAGTATAACCCAGTATAAACCAGTATGTCCCAGTCACCGGTAGACGCCGACCACCACGGCGTGGTCCCTCTCGTAGGGCTCCAGGGTCAGCTGCTCCTGCGGCTTCATCCGCTCGGCCGTCATCTTCCTCACCTCGCCCGCGAACACGGCCTCGGCCGGCGCCGTCGAGTCGATGCAGTTCGCCTGGGCCGGTTAGAGCCGGTTTGAGAGCGGTCAGAGCCGGTTAGAACCGGTTTTAGAGCACTCAGAACCAGTTAGAACCAGTTAGAACCGGTTTTAGAGTGGTTAGAACCGGTTAGAACCGGTTAGAACCGACTTTACAATGATCAGAACCGGTTAGAACTGGTTAGATCCGGTTTTACAGCGGTCAGAACTGGTTAGAACCGGTTTTACAGCGGTCAGAACTGGTTAGAGCCACTTGTACAGCCATCAGAACCGGTTAGAAACGGTTAGAGCCGGTTTAGCAGTGGAAAGAACCGGTTAGAACCGGTTTTAGAGCGGTTAGAACCAGTTAGAACTGGTTAGAACAGATTTTACAGCGGTCAGAGCCGGTTAGAGCCGGTTTTAGAGCGGTTAGAGCCGGTTAGAGCCGGTTAGAACCGACTTTACAATGATCAGAATCAGTTAGAACTGGTTAGAGCCGGTTTAGCAATGGTAAGAACCGGTTAGAACCGGTTTTAGAGCAGTCAGAACCAGTAAGAACCGGTTAGAACAGATTTTACAGTGATCAGAACCAGTTAGAACTGGTTAGATCTGGTTTTAGAGCAGTCAGAACCAGTTAGAACCAGTTCGAACTGGTTAGAACCAATTTTAGAGCGATCAGAACTGGTTAGAACCAGTTTCAGAGTGCTCAGAACCAGTTAGAACCGGTTTTATAGAGGTCAGAACCAGTTAGAAGTGCTTAGAACCGGTTTTACAGCAGTGAGAACCAGTTAGAGCCGATTTTACAGCGGTCAGAACTGGTTAGAACTGGTTTTAGAGTGGTCAGAGCCGGTTAGAACCGGTTTTAGAGCGGTTAGAGACGGTTAGAACCGGTTTTAGAGCAGTCAGAGCCGGTTAGAGCCGGTTAGAGCCGGTTTTAGAGCGGTTAGAGCCGGTTAGAACCAGTTAAGAGCCGGTTAGAACCGGTTTTAGGCCGGTTAGAGCCGGTTAGAACCGGTTTTACAGCAGTCAGAACCGGTTAGAACTGGTTAGAACCGGTTTTAGAGCGGTCAGAAACAGTTAGAACCGACTTTACAGCCGTCAGAACCGGTTAGAGCCACTTAGAACCGGTTTTAGAGCGGTTAGAGCCGGTTAGAACCGGTTTTACAGCGGTCAGAACCGGTTACAACCAGTTAGAACCGGTTAGAGCCGGCTTTACAGCGGTTAGAACCAATTTTAGAGTGATCAGAACTGGTTAGAACTGGTTAGAACTGGTTTTACAGCAATCAGAACCGGTTACAACCGGTTAGAGCCGGTTTTACAGTGATCAGAACTGGTTAGAACCGGTTAGAACTGGTTTTACAGCAATCAGAACCGGTTAGAACCGGTTAGAGCCGATTTTACAGGGATCATAACCAGTTAGAACCGGTTAGAACCGGTTTTACAGCAGTCAGAACCAGTTAGAACTGGTTTTACAGTGATCAGAACTGGTTAGAACCATTTAGAACTGGTTTTACAGCGGTCAGAACTGGTTAGAACCGCTTTTACAGCGGTCAGAACCAGTTAGAACCGGTTAAAAACGGTTTTACTGCGGTCAAAACCGGTTAGAACTGGTTTTACAGCAATCAGAACTGGTTAGAACTGGTTTTACTGTGATCAGAACCGGTTAGAACCAGTTAGAATTGGTTTTACAGTGATCATAACCAGTTAGAACCGGTTAGAACTGGTTTTACCACGGTTAGAACTGGTTAGAACAGGTTATAATTGGTTTTACAGCGATCAGAACCGGTTAGAACCAGTTTTACGGCAGTCAGAACTGGTTAGAACCGGCTAGAACTGGTTAGAACCAATTAGAACCAGTTTGAGTCACTTAGAACCAGTTAGATCCCAGTCCGAACCAATTAGGACCAGTTAGAACCAGTTACAGACCAGTTAGAACCGGTTCTACATCAATCACAACCAGTCAGAACCAGTTAGAACCAGTCTGAGCCACTTAGAACCGGTTAAATCCCAGTCAGAACCAATCAGGACCAGTTAGAACCGGTTTGAAGCAGCCAGAACCAGTCAGAACCAGTCAGAACCAGAACAAGTTAGAACCGGTTCAATCCAGTCCGAACCAGTCAGATCCCAGCTGGAACTGGTCAGATCCCAGTTAGAACCAGTTAGAACCGGTTACAGACCAGTCAGAACCGGTTTGAGTCAGTTCTACATCGATCAGAACCAGTTAGAACCGGTTTGATCTCCCAATTCCCATTCCCAGTGCCCCAAACTGGTTTATACTGGTCTGAACTGGTCCAAACTGGTTTATACTGGTCTATACTGGTTTATACTGGTCTATACTGGTCTGTACTGGTTTATACTGGTTTATACTGGTTTTTAATTCCCCCAAACCCCCTTCCCAACACCCTGAACTGGTTCTAACTGGTTCTAACTGGTTCTAACTGGTTTTTAGTGCCCTGTTACTGGTTTGAACTCCCCAATTCCCATTCCCAGTGCCCCAAACTGGTCTGTACTGGTTTATACTGGTTTATACTGGTCTGTACTAGTTTCTAACCCGCCCTTAATTCCTTCCTTTAACTGGTTCTAACTGGTTCTAACTGGTTCTAACTGGTTTTAGTGCCCTGTCACTGGTTCTAACCCCCAATTCCCAGTTCCATACTGGTTTTTATGCCCCATACTGGTCTGAACTGGTTTATACTGGTCTATACTGGTCTGAACTGGTTTCTAACCCCTCCTTAATCCCTTCTCAGCACCCCTGAACTGGTTCTAACTGGTTCTAACTGGATTTTACTGCCCTCTTACTGGTTTGAAGTCCCCAATTCCCACTCCCAGTGCCCTAAACTGGTCCGAACTGGTCCGAACTGGTTTGTACTGGTTTATACTGGTCCATACTGGTTTCTAACCCCCCCTTAATCCCTTCCTTTAACTGGTTCTAACCGGTTCTAACTGGTTCTAACCGGTTCTAACTGGTTTTTAGTGCCCTGTTACTGGTTTGAACTCCCCAATTCCCACTCCCAGTGCCCCAAACTGGTCTGAACTGGTTTATACTGGTCTGAACTGGTTTTTAATTCCCCCAAACCCCCTTCCCAACACCCCTGAACTGGTTCTAACTGGTTCTAACTGGTTCTAACTGGTTTTTAGTGCCCCATCACTGGTTTTAACTCCCCAATTCCCATTCCCAGTGCCCCAAACTGGTTTATACTGGTCTGAACTGGTTTATACTGGTCTATACTGGTTTCTAACCCCCCCCTTAATCCCTTCTCAGCACCCCTGAACTGGTTCTAACCGGTTCTAACTGGTTTTAACTGGTTTTTACTGCCCTGTTACTGGTTTGAACTCCCCAATTCCCACTCCCAGTGGCCCAGACTGGTTTATACTGGTCTGAACTGGTTTATACTGGTCCATACTGGTTTCTAACCCCCCCTTAATCTCTTCCCAGCACCCCTGAACTGGTTCTAACTGGTTCTAACTGGTTCTAACTGGTTCTAACTGGTTTTAACTGGTTCTAACTGGTTTTTACTGCCCTGTTACTGGTTTGAACACCCCAATTCCCATTCCCAGTGCCCCAAACTGGTCTGTACTGGTTTATACTGGTCTGTACTGGTTTCTAACCTGCCCTTAATCCCTTCCTTTAACTGGTTCTAACCGGTTCTAACTGGTTCTAACTGGTTTTTAGTGCCCTGTCACTGGTTCGAACTCCCCAATTCCCATTCCCAGTGGCCCAAACTGGTCCAAACTGGTTTATACTGGTTTGTACTGGTTTTTAATTCTCCCAAACCCCCTTCCCAACAGCCCTGAACTGGTTCTAACTGGTTCTAACTGGTTCTAACTGGTTCTAACTGGTTTTTACTGCCCCCTTACTGGTTTTAACTCCCCAATTCCCATTCCCAGTGCCCCAAACTGGTTTATACTGGTTTATACTGGTTTATACTGGTCTATACTGGTTTTTAATTCCCCCAAATCCCCTTCCCAACACCCCTGAACTGGTTCTAACTGGTTCTAACTGGTTCTAACTGGTTTTTAGTGCCCTGTTACTGGTTTTAACACCCCAATTCCCACTCCCAGTGCCCCATACTGGTCTGTACTGGTTTATACTGGTCTGTACTGGTTTATACTGGTCCATACTGGTTTCTAACCCCTCCTTAATCCCTTCCTTTAACTGGTTCTAACTGGTTCTAACTGGTTTTAACTGGTTCTAACTGGTTTTTAGTGCCCTGTCACTGGTTTGAACACCCCAATTCCCACTCCCAGTGCCCCAAACTGGTTTATACTGGTCTGAACTGGTCTGAACTGGTCAGTACTGGTCCATACTGGTTTCTAACCCGCCCTTAATCCCTTCCTTTAACTGGTTCTAACTGGTTCTAACTGGTTCTAACTGGTTTTAGTGCCCTGTCACTGGTTCTAACCCCCAATTCCCAGTTCCATACTGGTTTTTATGCCCCATACTGGTTTATACTGGTCTGAACTGGTTTGTACTGGTTTTTAATTCCCCCAAACCCCCTTCCCAACACCCTGAACTGGTTCTAACTGGTTCTAACTGGTTTTTAGTGCCCTGTCACTGGTTTTAACTCCCCAATTCCCACTCCCAGTGCCCCAAACTGGTCTATACTGGTTTATACTGGTCCGAACTGGTTTATACTGGTCCATACTGGTTTCTAATCCGCCCTTAATCCCTTCCTTTAACTGGTTCTAACTGGTTCTAACTGGTTCTAACTGGTTTTAACTGGTTTTAGTGCCCTGTTACTGGTTTGAACTCCCCAATTCCCATTCCCAGTGGCCCAAACTGGTCTGAACTGGTTTGTACTGGTTTATACTGGTCCGAACTGGTCTGTACTGGTCTGTACTGGTCTGAACTGGTTTGAACTGGTTTGCACCTTGATGGAGATGAGGAAGTGGCCGCCGCAGCGCAGGAAGTGATGCGCGTTCAGCGCCACGATGCGCGTCTGGTCCGGCTGCGCCACGTCCGCGAAGATCACGTCCACCATGCCTGGAGAAGGGGGAAAACGGGATTATCCCGAATTTTCCTGGAATTATCCCGAATTTTCCTGGAATTCTGGGGAAAAAACCCAAAATTCCCAAAAAATTCCCGCAAAATTCCACCCAGGAACCCAAAATTCCATCCAGGAACATGAAATTCCCATGAAATTCCACAACCGTGAAGGTGATGTCCACCATGCCTGGAAAAGGGGGAAAAATGGGATTATCCCAAATTTTCCTGGAATTATCCCAAATTTTCCGGGAATTCTAAAGGAAAAACCCAAAATTCCCAAAAAATTCCCGCAAAATTCCACCCAGGAACCCAAAATTCCATCCAGGAACGTGAAATTCCCATAAAATTCCAAAATTGTGAAGGACACGTCCACCATGGCTGGAAAAGTGGGAAAAAATGGGATTATCCCAAATTATCCCGAATTATCCCAAATTTTCCCAAATTTTCCTGGAATTCTGAGGGAAAAAACCCAAAATTCCCAAAAAATTCCCACAAAATTCCAGCCAGGAACCCAAAATTCCCAAAAAATTCCAAAATCGTGAAGATCACGTCCACCACGACAGGAAAAGTGGGAAAAAATGGGATTATCCCAAATTATTCCGGAATTATCCCAAATTATTCCAAATTTTCCTGGAATTCTGAGGGAAAAACCCAAAATTCCAAAAAAATTCCCACAAAATTCCACTCAGAAACCCAAAATTCCCATAAAATTCCAAAATCGTGAAGGTCACATCCACCATGGCTGGAAAAGTGGGAAAAAATGGGATTATCCCAAATTATCCCGAATTTTCCTGGAATTCTGGGGAAAAAACCCAAAATTCCCAAAAAATTCCAGCCAGAAACGTGAAATTCCCACAAAATTCCCATAAAATTCCACAACCACGAAGATCACGTCCACCATGACTGGAAAAAATGGGATTATCCCAAATTTTCCTGGAATTATCCCGAATTTTCCTGGAATTCTGGAGAAAAAACCCAAAATTCCCCAAAAATTCCCGCAAAATTCCACCCAGGAACCCAAAATTCCATCCAGGAACGTGAAATTCCCATAAAATTCCAAAATCGTGAAGGACACGTCCACCATGGCTGGAAAAGTGGGAAAAAATGGGATTATCCCAAATTATCCCGAATTTTCCCAAATTTTCCCAAATTTTCCTGGAATTCTGAGGAAAAAACCCAAAATTCCCAAAAAATTCCCACAAAATTCCAGCCAGGAACCCGAAATTCCCTCAAAATTCCATCCAGGAACGTGAAATTTCCACAAAATTCCAAAATCATGAAGATCACGTCCACCATTGCTGGAAAAGGGGGAAAAACGGGATTATCCCAAATTATCCCAAATTATCCCAAATTTTCCTGGAATTATCCCGAATTTTCCTGGAATTCTGGGGGAAAAAACCCAAAATTCCCAAAAAAATCCCACAAAATTCCAGCCAGGAACCCAAAATTCCCATAAAATTCCACAACCGTGAAGATCACGTCCACCATGGCTGGAAAAGGGGGAAAAACGGGATTATCCCAAATTATTCCGGAATTATCCCAAATTATTCCAAATTTTCCTGGAATTCTGAGGGAAAAACCCCAAAATTTAAAAAAAATTCCAGCCAGAAACGTGAAATTCCCACAAAATTCCAGCCAGGAACCCAAAATTCCCACAAAATTCCAAAATCATGAGGCACACGTTCACCATGCCTGGAAAAGGGGGAAAAAATGGGATTATCCCGAATTATCCCAAATTTTCCCAAATTTTCCTGGAATTCTGGGGAAAAAACCCAAAATTTCCAAAAAATTCCCCCAAAATTCCAGCCAGGAACCCAAAATTCCCACAAAATTCCAGCCAGGAACGTGAAATTCCCATAAAATTCCAAAATCGTGAGGGTCATGTCCACCATGGCTGGAAAAGACGGAAAAACGGGATTATCCCAAATTATCCCGAATTTTCCTGGAATTCTGGGGGAAAAAACCCAAAATTCCCCAAAAATTCCCAAAAAATTCCAGCCAGGAACCCAAAATTCCCATAAAATTCCAAAATCGTGAAGGACACGTCCACCATGGCTGGAAAAGGCGGAAAAATGGGATTATCCCAAACTATCCCAAATTTTCTGGGAATTCTGAGGGAAAAAACCCAAAATTCCCAAAAAATTCCCACAAAATTCCAGCCAGGAACCCAAAATTCCCCCAAAATTCCAGCCAGGAACCCAAAATTCCCAAAAAATTCCAAAATCATGAGGCACACGTCCACCATGACTGGAGAAGGGGGAAAAACGGGATTATCCCAAATTTTCCTGGAATTATCCCAAATTTTCCCAAATTATCCCAAATTTTCCTGGAATTCTGGGGAAAAACCCCAAATTTCCAAAAAATTCCCCCAAAATTCCAGCCAGGAACCCAAAATTCCCATAAAATTCCACAACCACGAAGATCACGTCCACCATGGCTGAAAAAGGGGGAAAAAAATGGGATTATCCAGAATTTTCCTGGAATTATCCCAAATTTTCCGGGAATTCTGAGGGAAAAAACCCAAAATTCCAAAAAAATTCCCACAAAATTCCAGCAAGGAACATGAAATTCCCATAAAATTCCAAAATCATGAAGGTCACGTCCACCATGGCTGGAAAAGGCGGAAAAAATGGGATTATCCCAAATTATCCCAAATTTTCCCAAATTATCCCGAATTTTCCTGGAATTCTGGGGAAAAAACCCAAAATTCCCACAAAATTCCAGCCAGGAACCCAAAATTCCCATAAAATTCCACAACCGCGAAGATCACGTCCACCATGACTGGAAAAAATGGGATTATCCCAAATTCTTCTGGATTATCCCAAATTTTCCTGGAATTCTGGATAAAAAACCCAAAATTTCAGCCAAAAACCCGCAAAATTCCAAAAAAATTCCAGCCAGGAACCCAAAATTCCCACAAAATTCCAGCCAGGAACGTGAAATTCCCACAAAATTCCAAAATCGTGAAGGTCACGTCCACCATGGCTGGAAAAGGCGGAAAAAAATGGGATTATCCCAAATTATCCCAAATTTTCCGGGAATTCTGAGGGAAAAACCCAAAATTCCCAAAAAAAATCCCACAAAATTCCAGCCAGGAACCCAAAATTCCCAAAAAATTCCAGCCAGAAACGTGAAATTCCCACAAAATTCCAAAATCATGAAGGACACGTCCACCATGGCTGGAAAAGGGGGAAAAAAAATGGGATTATCCCAAATTATCCCGAATTTTCCTGGAATAAGTTTCCCCAGAAGTTCCTCCAGGAGGTTCCTCAGACGTTTTCCAGAAGGTTCCTCAGAAGTTTCTCCAGAACCTTCTCCAGAACCGTTCCCAAAGGTTCTCCAGACCTTTTCCAGAAGGTTCCTCAGAAGGTTCCCCAGACCTTTAGAACCTTCTCAAGAACCTTCTCCAGACAGTTCTCCAGAACCTTCTCCAGAAGGTTCCTGACAGGTTCTCCAGGAGGTTCCCCAGAATGTTCTGGAGAAATTTCTCCAGAAGGTTCCCCAAAACCTTCTCCAGAACCTTTCCCAAACCTTCTCCAGGAGGTTCCCCAGAAGGTTTCTCAGAAGTTTCTCCAGAACCTTCTCCAGGAGGTTCTCCAGAACCTTCTCCAGAACCTTTCCCAAACCTTCTCCAGGCCTTCAGAACCATCTAAAGAACCTTCTCCAGAAAGTTCTCCAGAACCTTCTCCAGAAGGTTCCCCAGAACCTTTCCCAGAAGGTTCTTCACAGGTTCCCCGGAAGATTCTTCAGGTCTTTAGAACCTTCTCAAGAACCTTCTCCGGAAAGTTCTCCAGAACCTTTCCCAAACCTTCTCCAGAAGGTTCCCCAGAAGTTCCTCCAGAAGGTTCCTCAGAACTTTCTCCAGAACCTTCTCCAGAAGTTCCTCCAGAAGGTTCCTCAGAACCTTCTCCAGAACCTTTCCCAAACCTTCTCCAGGAGGTTCTCCAGGCCTTTAGAACCTTCTCAAGAACCTTCTCCAGAAAGTTCTCCAGAACCTTGTCAAGAAGGTTCCTCAGACATTTTCCAGAAAGTTCTCCAGAACTTTCCCCAGAAGTTTCTCCAGAATTTTCTCCATAAGGTTCTCCAGAACCTTTTCTAGAAGGTTCCTCACAGGTTCCCCAGGAGGTTCCTCAGAAGTTTCTCCAGAAGGTTCCCCAGAACCTTCTCCAGAACCTTCTCCAGGAGGTTCCCCAGAAGGTCCTGGAGAAGTTTCTCCAGAAGGTTCCCCAAAACCTTCTCCAGAACCTTTCCCAAACCTTCTCCAGGAGGTTCCCCAGAAGGTTCCTCAGAAGTTTTTCCAGAACCTTCTCCAGAACTTTTCCCATACCTTCTCCAGGAGGTTCTCCAGGCCTTTAGAACCTTCTCCAGAACTTTCTCCAGAATGTTCTCCACACCTCCCCCATGACCCCCAGGTGTCCCCAGGTGGTGTCACTGACCGACCAGCATGCGGTACTTGTGGGGGTGCCGCGCGTCCTCGATCACCGGCACCACGTTGGTGTCCCCATGTCCCCAAGGTGTCCCTGTGGTGTCTCCATGATGTCCCCATGGTGTCCCCACGATGTCTCCATGATGTCCCCGTGATGTCCCCATGTCCCCAAGGTGTCCCCGTGATGTCCCCATGATGTCCCCATGATGTCCCTGTGGTGTCCCCATGTCCCTGAGGTGTCCCCAAGATGTTCCTGGTGCTGTCCCCATGTCCCCCTGATGTCCCCATGTCCCCATGATGTCCCCAAGGTGTCTCCATGATGTCCTTGTGATGTCTCCATGATGTCTCCATGATGTCTCCATGACCCCATGATGTCCCCAAGGTGTCCCCATGATGTCTCCACGGTTTCCCCATGTCCCCAAGGTGTCTTCATGGTGTCCCCAAGGTGTTCCCATGATGTCTCCATGATGTTCCTGGATGTGTCCCCATGTCCACATGATGTCCCCAAGGTGTCCCCACATCCCCATGGTGTCTCCATGGTGTCCCCATGACCTCCAGGTGTCCCCATGTCCCCAAGGTGTCCCCGTGATGTCCCCATGATGTCTCCATGGTGTCCCCATGTCCCTGAGGTGTCCCCGAGGTGTCCCCATGATGTCCCCACGATGTCCCTGTGGTGTCTCCATGGTATCCCCAAGGTGTCCCCATGTCTCCATGACATCTCCAAGATGTTCCTGGATATGTCCCCATGTCCCCATGATGTCCCCATGATGTCTCCATGGTGTCCCCATGGTGTCCCCATGTCCCTGTGGTGTCCCCATGATGTTCCTGGATGTGTCCCCATGTCCACATGATGTCCCCATGATGTCTCCATGATGTCTCCATGGTGTCCCCATGACCCCGAGATGTCCCCAGGTGTCCCCAAGGTGTCCCCAGGTGTCCCCAAGGTGTTTTCATGGTGTCCCCATGTCCCTGAGGTGTCCCCATGATGTTCCTGGTGCTGTCCCCATGTCCCCAAGGTGTCCCCATGTCCTCATGATGTCCCTGTGGTGTCTCCATGATGTCCCCATGGTGTCTCCATGATGTTCCTGGATGTGTCCCCATGTCCACATGAAGTTCCCAAGGTGTCTCCACATCCCCATGTCCCCATGATGTCCCCAGGTGTCCCCAGGTGTCCCCATGTCCCCATGTCCCCAGGGTGGTGGCACTGACCGACCAGCATGCGGTACTTGTGGGGGTGCCGCGCGTCCTCGATCACCGGCACCACGTTGGTTCTTCTCTTGGCCACCCCCAGCAGGTCCCGGCCCGAGCGCTGCGAGAACTCCACCGCGTACACCACGCCCTCCTGGACAGAGAGGTCACCAAAGGTCACCAAAGGTCACCAAAGGTCAGCAGAGGTCAGCAATGTCCACCCGAGGTCATAAAGGTCACCAATGTCCACCAAGGTCAGCAAAGGTCAGCAAAGGTCACCAATGTCCACCAAAGGTCAACAGTGTCCACCAAAGGTCACCAATGTCCACCCGAGGTCACCAAAGGTCACCAATGTCCACCCAAGGTCAGCAAAGGTCACCAAGAGTCATCAAAGTCCACTCGAGGTCAGCAAAGGTCACCAATGTCCATCCAAGGTCACCAATGTCCACCCGAGGTCACCAAAGGTCACCAATGTCCACCCGAGGTCAGCAAAGGTCATCAATGTCCACCCGAGGTCACCAATGTCCACCCAAGGTCAACAATGTCCACCAAAGGTCACCAATGTCCACCCGAGGTCAGCAAGGGTCATCAAAGTCCACCCAAGGTCACCCAAGGTCACCAATGTCCACCAAAGGTCACCAAAGTCCATCCAAGGTCAGCAAAGGTCAGCAAAGGTCAGCAATGTCCACCCGAGGTCAACAATGTCCACCAAAGGTCAGCAGAGGTCACCCGAGGTCAGCAAAGGTCATCAATGTCCACCAAAGGTCACCAAAGGTCAGCAAAGTCCACCCAAGGTCACCCAAGGTCACCAATGTCCACCCGAGGTCAGCAAAGGTCACCAATGCCCACCAAAGGTCAACAATGTCCACCTGAGATCAGCAATGTCCACTCGAGGTCACCAAAGGTCAACAATGTCCACCCGAGGTCATCAAAGGTCAACAATGTCCACCTGAGGTCAGCAATGTCCACCCGAGGTCACCAAATATCAGCAAAGGTCACCAAAGGTCATCAATGTCCATCCGAGGTCAGCAAAGGTCAGCAAAGGTCAGCAGAGGTCACCAAAGGTCATCAAAGTCCACCCGAGGTCACCAAAGGTCACCAATGCCCACCAAAGGTCACCAATGTCCATCCGAGGTCACCAAATATCAGCAAAGGTCACCAAAGGTCACCAATGTCCACCCGAGGTCACCAAACGTCACCAATGTCCACCAGAGGTCAGCAAAGGTCACCAATGTCCACCCGAGGTCACCAAAGGTCACCCATGTCCACCCAAGGGTCACCAATGTCCACCAAAGGTCAGCAAAGGTCACCAATGCCCACCAAAGGTCAACAATGTCCACCCGAGGTCAGCAATGTCCATCCGAGATCACCAAATATCAGCAAAGGTCACCAAAGGTCATCAATGTCCACCCGAGGTCAGCAAAGGTCAACAATGTCCACCTGAGGTCAGCAAAGTCCACCTGAGGTCACCAATGTCCATCAAAGGTCAGCAATGTCCACCCGAGGTCAAAAATGTCCACCCAAGGTCAGCAAAGGTCACCAAGGGTCATCAAAGTCCACTCGAGGTCAGCAAAGGTCAGCAATGTCCACCAGAGGTCAACAAAGGTCAGCAAAGGTCATCAAAGTCCACTCGAGGTCAGCAAGGGTCACCAATGTCCACCAAAGGTCACCAATGTCCACTCGAGGTCACCAAAGGTCACCAATGTCCACCCGAGGTCAGCAAAGTCCACCCAAGGTCACCCAAGGTCACCAAGGGTCACCAATGTCCACCAGAGGTCAGCAAAGTCCACCCGAGGTCAGCAAAGGTCAGCAAATATCAGCAAAGGTCACCAATGTCCACCCAAGGTCACCCAATATCAGTAAAGGTCACCAAAGGTCATCAGTATCCACCCGAGGTCAGCAAAGGTCACCAATGTCCACCTGAGGTCAGCAAAGGTCAGCAAAGGTCACCAATGTCCACCCGAGGTCACCAATGTCCACCCGAGGTCAGCAAAGTCCACCCGAGATCAGCAATGTCCACCCGAGGTCAGCAAAGGTCAGCAGAGGTCACCAATGTCCACCCGAGGTCAGCAAAGGTCAGCAAAGGTCACCAATGTCCACCCGAGGTCACCCAAAGTCACCAAAGGTCACCAATGTCCACCCAAGGTCAGCAAAGGTCACCAAGGGTCATCAAAGTCCACTCGAGGTCAGCAAAGGTCACCAATGTCCACCTCAGGTCACCAATGTCCACCAGAGGTCAGCAAAGTCCACTCGAGGTCAACAAAGGTCAACAACGTCCACCAGAGGTCACCAATGTCCATCCGAGGTCAGCAAATATCAGCAAAGGTCAGCAAAGGTCATCAATATCCACCCGAGGTCAGCAAAGGTCACCAATGTCCTCCCAAGGTCACCAAAGGTCACCAATGCCCACCAAGGGTCACCAATGTCCACCAAAGGTCTGCAATGTCCACCTGAGGTCAGCAAAATCCACTCGAGGTCACCAAAGGTCAGCAATGTCCACCCGAGGTTATCAATATCCACCCGAGGTCAGCAAAGGTCACCAATGTCCACCAAAGCTCACCAAAGGTCAGCACAGGTCACCTGAGGTCACCCATGTCCACACAAGGGTCAACAATGTCCACCAAAGGTCAGCAAATATCAGTAAAGGTCAGCAAAGGTCACCAAAGGTCACCCAGGTACCCCCAGGTGTGCCCAGCTGTGTCCAGGTGCCCCAGGTGTGCCCAGGTGTGTCTGTATCCCCCCCAGGTGTGCCCAGGTGTGCCCAGGTGTGCCCAGGTGTGCCCAGGTGCCCCAGGTGTGCCCAGGTGTGCCCAGGTGTGCCCAGGTGAGTGCCCAGGTGAGTGCCCAGGTGAGTGCCCAGCTGTGCCCAGGTGTGCCCAGGTGAGTGCCCAGGTGCCCCCAGGTGTGCCCAGGTGTGCCCAGGTGCCCCCAGGTGTGCCCAGGTGTGTTACCCATGCCCAGGTGAGTGCCCAGGTGTGCCCAGGTGTGCCCAGGTGAGTTACCCATGCCCAGGTGCCCCAGGTGTGTCTCACCTGCCCCACGATGTCGGAGACGTGGCTGACGGTGGTGCCCGAGGCGGCGCCCAGGTACCCCCAGGTGTACCCAGCTGTACCCAGGTGTCCCCAGGTGAGTGCCCAGGTGTGCCCAGGTGCCCCAGGTGCCCCCAGGTGTGCCCAGGTGTGTTTCTATGCCCCCCAGGTGTGCCCAGGTGTGCCCAGGTGTGCCCAGGTGTGCCCAGGTGTGCCCAGGTGTGCCCAGGTGTGCCCAGGTGCCACAGGTGCCCCTCACCTGCCCCACGATATCAGAGACGTGGCTGACGGTGGTGTCCGAGGCGGTGCCCAGGTGAGTGCCCAGGTGAGTTACCCATGCCCAGGTGCCCCAGGTGCCCCTCACCTGCCCCACGATGTCGGAGACGTGGCTGACGGTGGTGCCCGAGGCGGCGCCCAGGTACCCCCAGGTGTGCCCAGGTGCCCCAGGTGTGCCCGTACCTGCCCCACGATATCAGACACGTGGCTGACGGTGGTGCCCGAGGCCGCGCCCAGGTACAGCACGCGGGCGCCGGGCGCGATGTGGATGCGATCGATGCCCCCCAGGATGGCGGCGGCCAGCTTGGAGCGGAACGGGTTCCAGGCCCGGTATTCCACCACTTCGGTACCCTCCTAAACCAGTATAAACCAGTATGGACCAGTTAGAGACCAGTATAAACCAGTATAAACCAGTACAGACCAGTATAAACCAGTATGAACCGGTATGAACCAGTATGAACCAGTCCCAGCCCAGCTTGGAGCGGAACGGGTTCCAGGCTCGGTACTCCACGGAGTCTGTGCCCTCCTGGACCAGTATAGACCAGTATAAACCAGTTAGAACCAGTATGGACCAGTACAAACCAGTACAGACCAGTATAAACCAGTATGAACCGGTATGAACCAGTATGAACCAGTCCCAGCCCAGCTTGGAGCGGAACGGGTTCCAGGCTCGGTACTCCACTGAGTCTGTGCCCTCCTGAACCAGTATAGACCAGTATAAACCAGTTAGAACCAGTATGGACCAGTATGGACCAGTATGAACCAGTATGAACCAGTCCCAGCCCAGCTTGGAGCGGAACGGGTTCCAGGCTCGGTATTCCACCGCTTCTGTGCCCTCCTAAACCAGTATGGACCAGTATGGACCAGTTACAGACCAGTATAGACCAGTATGGACCAGTATGGACCAGTATAAACCAGTATGAACCAGTGCCAGCCCAGCTTGGAGCGGAACGGGTTCCAGGCCCGGTACTCCACGGAGTCTGCGCCCTCCTGGACCAGTATAAACCAGTATGGACCAGTTAGAACCAGTATGGACCAGTATAACCAGTATAGACCAGTTACAGACCAGTATAACCAGTATAACCAGTATGAACCAGTATGAACCAGTCCCAGCCCAGCTTGGAGCGGAACGGGTTCCAGGCCCGGTACTCCACCGCTTCTGTGCCGTCTTGCACCAGTATAGACCAGTATAAACCAGTTACAGACCAGTATAGACCGGTATAACCAGTATAGACCAGTATAAACCAGTATAAACCAGTATAGACCAGTATGAACCAGTATGAACCAGTCCCAGCCCAGCTTGGAGCGGAACGGGTTCCAGGCCCGGTACTCCACCGCTTCCGTGCCCTCCTAAACCAGTATACACCAGTATAAACCAGTTTGGACTGGTGCACTCCCAGTACCCCCAAAGTGCCCCCACAGCCACTGCTGACCGGTTACAACCAGTTAGAACCAGTATAGACCAGTATAGACCAGTATGGACTGATAGAAACCCCTATAGACCCCCACAGACCAGTATAAACCAGTATGAACCAGTATGAACCAGTCCCAGCCCAGCTTGGAGCGGAACGGGTTCCAGGCCCGGTACTCCACTGAGTCTGCTCCCTCCTAAACCAGTATAAACCAGTTAGAACCAGTATAGACCAGTTAGAGACCAGTATAAACCAGTATAACCAGTATGAACCAGTCCCAGCCCAGCTTGGAGCGGAACGGGTTCCAGGCCCGGTATTCCACGGATTCCGTGCCCTCCTGGACCAGTATAGACCAGTATAGACCAGTTAGAACCAGTATGGACCAGTATAGACCACTATGGACTGATAGAAACCCCTACAGACCAGTATGAACCAGTATGAACCAGTATAGACCAGTATGAACCAGTCCCAGCCCAGCTTGGAGCGGAACGGGTTCCAGGCCCGGTATTCCACGGATTCCGTGCCCTCCTGGACCAGTATAGACCAGTATAGACCAGTTAGAACCAGGATAAACCAGTATGGACCAGTATAAACCAGTATGAACCAGTATAAACCAGTATAGACCAGTATGGACCAGTATGAACCAGTATAAACCAGTATAAACCAGTATAAACCAGTATAAACCAGTATAGACCAGTATAAACCAGTATAAACCAGTATAGACCAGTATAAACCAGTATAAACCAGTATAAACCAGTATAGACCAGTATAGACCAGTATGAACCAGTCCCAGCCCAGCTTGGAGCGGAACGGGTTCCAGGCTCGGTACTCCACGGATTCCGTGCCCTCCTGGACCAGTATAAACCAGTATAAACCAGTTAGAACCAGTATGGACCAGTATAAACCAGTACAAACCAGTATGAACCAGTATAATCCAGTATAACCAGTATAAACCAGTATAACCAGTATGAACCAGTCCCAGCCCAGCTTGGAGCGGAACGGGTTCCAGGCCCGGTACTCCACCGCTTCCGTGCCCTCCTAAACCAGTATAAACCAGTATGGACCAGTTAGAACCAGTATAGACCAGTATAAACCAGTATAGACCAGTTACAGACCAGTATAAACCAGTATGGACCAGTATGAACCAGTCCCAGCCCAGCTTGGAGCGGAACGGGTTCCAGGCTCGGTATTCCACCGCTTCCGTACCCTCCTGGACCAGTATAGACCAGTATGGACCAGTTAGATCCAGTAAAAACCAGTTACAGACCAGTATGGACCAGTATAGACCAGTATAAACCAGTATAAACCAGTATGAACCAGTCCCAGCCCAGCTTGGAGCAGAACGGGTTCCACGCACGGTATTCCACGGAGTCTGTGCCCTCCTAAACCAGTATAAACCAGTATAAACCAGTTAGAACCAGTATGAACCAGTATAAACCAGTATAAACCAGTATAAACCAGTTAGAACCAGTATAGACCAGTATAAACCAGTATGAACCAGTATGAACCAGTATGAACCAGTCCCAGCCCAGCTTGGAGCGGAACGGGTTCCAGGCCCGGTACTCCACCGCTTCCGTGCCCTCCTAAACCAGTATAGACCAGTATAGACCAGTTAGAACCAGTATAGACCAGTATAGACCAGTATAACCAGTATAAACCAGTTACAGACCAGTATGGACCAGTATAACCAGTATGAACCAGTCCCAGCCCAGCTTGGAGCGGAACGGGTTCCAGGCCCGATATTCCACCGCTTCGGTACCCTCCTGAACCAGTATAAACCAGTATAAACCAGTATGAACCAGTATAAACCAGTATAAACCAGTATGAACCAGTATAAACCAGTACGGACTGATACAAACCCCTACAGACACCTACAGACCAGTAAAAACCAGTACAGACCAGTCCAAACAAGTATAAACCAGTATCCCCAGTCCAAACCAGTATAAACCAGTATCCCCAGTCCAAACCACTCCAAACCAGTATAACCCAGTCCCTCCCAGTACAAACCAGTATAACCCAGTCCCTCCCAGTACAAACCAGTATAACCCAGTCCAAACCAGTATAACCAGTATAACCCAGTCCCTCCCAGTACAAACCAGTATAACCCAGTCCTAACCAGTATAAACCAGTGCCTCACCCCCACGCTGATCCGTTTCTCACCACTCCAAACCAGTATAACCAGTATCCCCAGTCCCTCCCAGTCCAAACCAGTATAACCCAGTCCAAACCAGTCCCTCCCAGTATAAACCAGTATAAACCAGTCCCTCCCAGTACAAACCAGTATAACCCAGTCCCTCCCAGTACAAACCAGTATAACCCAGTTCAAACCAGTATAACCAGTATAACCCAGTCCCTCCCAGTACAAACCAGTATAACCCAGTTCAAACCAGTATAACCAGTATAACCCAGTCCCTCCCAGTCCAAACCACTACAAACCAGTATAACCCAGTCCAAACCAGTCCCTCCCAGTCCAAACCAGTATAAACCAGTCCCTCCCAGTATAAACCAGTATAAACCAGTCCCTCCCAGTCCAAACCAGTCCAAACCAGTATAAACCAGTCCAAACCAATCCAAACCAGTCCCTCCCAGTCCAAACCAGTATAACCCAGTCCAAACCAGTATAACCAGTATAACCCAGTCCCTCCCAGTACAAACCAGTATAACCCAGTCCAAACTAATAAAACCGGTCCAAACCAGTCCCTCCCAGTACAAACCAGTATAAACCAGTGGCACACCCCCACGCTGATCCGTTTCTTACCAGTCCAAACCAGTATAACCCAGTCCCTCCCAGTCCAAACCAGTATAACCCAGTCCCTCCCAGTATAAACCAGTATAAACCAGTCCCTCCCAGTATAAACCAGTATAAACCAGTCCCTCCCAGTACAGACCAGTATAACCCAGTCCTAACCAGTATAAACCAGTATCCCCAGTCCCTCCCAGTCCCTCCCAGTATAACCCAGTCCCTGCCAGTATAACCCAGTATAACCAGTATAACCCAGTCCCTCCCAGTCCAAACCAGTATAACCCAGTATAACCCAGTATAACCAGTATACCCAGTATCCCCAGTGCTCACCCCCACGCTGATCCGTTTCTCTCCGTACACCGACTCCCCCGGAACCAAATTGCGCGTGACCAACGCGTCCTCCCGGCCCCGGCAGATAAACACACCTGGGCAGGTAAATAAACAATAAACACACCTGGGCAGGTAAATAAACACACCTGGGCAGGTAAATAAACAATAAATAGGTAAATAAACACCTGGGCAGGTAAATAAACACCTGGGCAGGTAAATAAACAATAAACACACCTGGGCAGGTAAATAAACACCTGAGACAGGTAAACACACCTGGGACAGGTAAATAATAAACATAAACACACCTGGGACAGGTAAATAATAAATAAACAGGTAAATAAACATACCTGGTACAGGTAAATAAACACACCTGAGACAGGTAAACACACCTGAAACAGGTAAATAAACACACCTGGGCAGGTAAATAATAAATATAAACACACCTGGGCAGGTAAATAATAACTAAACACACCTGGGACAGGTAAATAATAAACAAACAGGTAAATAAACACACCTGGGCAGGTAAATAATAAATAAACAGGTAAATAAACACACCTGAGACAGGTAAATAAACACACCTGGGCAGGTAAATAATAAACATAAACACACCTGAGACAGGTAAATAATAAACATAAACACACCTGGGCAGGTAAATAAACAATAAACACACCTGGGCAGGTAAATAAACACACCTGGGCAGATAAATAAACAATAAACACACCTGGGCAGGTAAATAAACAATAAACACACCTGGGCAGGTAAATAGTAAATAAACAGGTAAATAAACACACCTGGGCAGGTAAATAAACAATAAACAGGTAAATAATAAACACACCTGGGCAGGTAAATAAACAATAAACAGGTAAATAATAAACACACCTGGACAGGTAAATAAACAATAAACAGGTAAATAATAAACACACCTGGGCAGGTAAATAAACAATAAACAGGTAAATAATAAACACACCTGGGCAGGTAAATAATAAACACACCTGGGCAGGTAAATAATAAACACACCTGGGCAGGTAAATAATAAACATAAACACACCTGGGACACGTAAATAATAAACACACCTGGGACAGGTAAATAATGAACATAAACACACCTGGGACAGGTAAATAGTAAATAAACAGGTAAATAATAAACACACCTGAGAAAGGTAAACACACCTGGGCAGGTAAATAATAAACAAACAGGTAAATAATGAACATAAACACACCTGGGCAGGTAAATAAACAATAAACAGGTAAATAAACACACCTGGGACAGGTAAATAAACACACCTGGGACAGGTAAACAATAAACATAAACACACCTGGGCAGGCAAATAAATAATAAACAGGTAAATAAACACACCTGGGCAGGTAAATAAACAATAAACAGGTAAATAAACACACCTGGGCAGGTAAATAATAAACATAAACACACCTGGGCAGGTAAATAAACAATAAACAGGTAAATAAACACACCTGGACAGGTAAATAATAAACACACCTGGGCAGGTAAATAATAAACAAACAGGTAAATAAACACACCTGGGCAGGTAAATAATAAACATAAACACACCTGGGCAGGTAAATAATAAACATACCTGGACAGGTAAACACACCTGGGATACACCTCCCAGTTCCCTCCCAGTACAAACCAGTATAAACCAGTATAAACCAGTACAAACCAGTTACCTTCGTGCCGGTGCGGCTCCACCGTCACTTTTCCCCAGTATAACCAGTTCCCTCCCACTATAACCAGTATAACCAGTTCCCTCCCAGTCCCTCCCAGTCCAAACCAGTACAAACCAGTATAACCAGTTACCTTCGTGCCGGTGCGGCTCCACCATCACTTTTCCCCAGTATAACCAGTATAACCAGTTCCCTCCCAGTATAACCAGTATAACCAGTCCCTCCCAGCCCCTCCCAGTACAAACCAGTATAAACCAGTCCCTCCCAGTCCAAACCAGTATAACCAGTTACCTTCGTGCCGGTGCGGCTCCACCGTCACTTTTCCCCAGTATAACCAGTATAACCAGTTCCCTCCCAGTATAACCAGTATAACCAGTCCCTCCCAGCCCCTCCCAGTACAAACCAGTATAAACCAGTCCCTCCCAGTCCAAACCAGTATAACCAGTTACCTTCGTGCCGGTGCGGCTCCACCGTCACTTTTCCCCAGTATAACCAGTATAACCAGTACAAACCAGTCCCTCCCAGTCCAAACCAGTATAACCAGTCCCTCCCAGTCCAAACCAGTCCCTCCCAGTATAAACCAGTCCAAACCAGTATAACCAGTTACCTTCGTGCCGGTGCGGCTCCACCGTCACTTTTCCCCAGTATAACCAGTATAACCAGTTCCCTCCCAGTATAAACCAGTATAACCAGTATAACCAGTCCCTCCCAGTCCCTCCCAGTCCAAACCAGTATAACCAGTTACCTTCGTGCCGGTGCGGCTCCACCGTCACTTTTTTCCCGCCTTTGAAGCCGCCGCGGGCCCCGCCCCTGGCCCCGCCCCCTCGGCCTCGGCCACGCCCCCTCGGCGCCCCGCGGGCCACGCCCCCTCCGCGGGCCACGCCCCCTCCGCGGGCCACGCCCCCTCCGCGGGCCACGCCCCCTCCGCGGGCCACGCCCCCTCCGCGGGCCACGCCCCCTCCGCGGGGCGGGAAACCGGAACCTGCGGGGAGAAACTGGGATGTACTGGGATGGACTGGGTTATACTGGGAGGGACTGGGAGGGGATTGGGAGGGACTGGGAGGGACTGGGGGGGACTGGGAGGGAACTGGGGATACTGGGAGGGACTGGGAGGGAACTGGGAGGGGACTGGGAGGGGACTGGGGTGTACTGGGAGGGACTGGGTTATACTGGGATATACTGGGAGGGACTGGGAGGGACTGGGAGGGGAACTGGGTTATACTGGGATATACTGGGATGGACTCAGAGGGGACTGGGTTATACTGGGAGGGACTGGGATGGACTGAGATGGACTGGGATGGACTGGGTTATACTGGGATGGACTGGGAGGGGATTGGGTTATACTGGGAGGGAAGTGGGAGGGGAACTGGGGATACTGGGAGGGACTGGGATGGACTGGGAGGGACTGGGAGGGGAACTGGGTTATACTGGGAGGGACTGGGAGGGACTGGGAGGGACTGGGAGGGGACTGGGTTATACTGGGAGGGACTGGGTTATACTGGGAGGGACTGGGTTATACTGGGAGGGGACTTGTTATACTGGGTTATACTGGGAGGGAACTGGGTTATACTGGGTTATAGTGGGTTATACTGGGAGGGGACTGGGATGGACTGGGAGGCAATTGGGTTATACTGGGAGTGACTGGGATGGACTGGGACGGACTGGGAGGGACTGGGAGGGACTGGGAGGGAACTGGGAGGGAACTGGGTTATACTGGGAGGGACTGGGAGGGAACTGGGATGTACTGGGAGGGACTGGGATATACTGGGTTATACTGGGAGGGGACTGGGAGGGACTGGGAGGGACTGGGAGGGACTGGGAGGGGACTGGGAGGGACTGGGTTATACTGGGAGGGACTGGGAGGGCACTGGGAGGGACTGGGAGGGACTGGGTTATACTGGGAGGGACTGGGAGGGCACTGGGAGGGACTGGGAGGGACTGGGTTATACTGGGAGGGACTGGGAGGGACTGGGAGGGGACTGGGAGGGACTGGGTTATACTGGGAGGGACTGGGAGGGCACTGGGAGGGACTGGGAGGGACTGGGTTATACTGGGAGGGACTGGGAGGGACTGGGAGGGGACTGGGAGGGACTGGGTTATACTGGGAGGGACTGGGAGGGAACTGGGTTATACTGGGAGGGACTGGGAGGGAACTGGGTTATACTGGGAGGGACTGGGAGGGGACTGGGAGGGGACTGGGAGGGGACTGGGAGGGACTGGGAGTGAACTGGGAGGGACTGGGAGGGGATTAGGAGGGACTGGGAGGGACTGGGAGGGACTGGGAGGGAACTGGGTTATACTGGGAGGGACTGGGAGGGGATTAGGAGGGACTGGGAGGGACTGGGAGGGACTGGGATGGACTGGGAGGGGATTGGGTTATACGGGGTTATACTGGGATGGACTGGGTTATACTGGGTTATACTGGGAGGGGATTGGGTTATACTGGGAGGGGACTCTGTTATACTGGGTTATACTGGGAGGGACTGGGAGGGGGACTGGGTTATACTGGGTTATACTGGGAGGCAGTGGGAGTGAACTGGGTTATACTGGGATGTACTGGGATGTACTGGGAGGGGACTGGGGATACTGGGACGGACTGGGAGGGAGTGGGAGGGGAACTGGGGATACTGGGTTATACTGGGTTATACTGGTTTATACTGGGAGGGGGACTGGGAGGGACTGTTTTATACTGGGAGGGACTGGGAGGGACTGGGAGGGACTGGGAGGGAACTGGGATATACTGGGAGGGACTGGGAGGGGATTGGGGTGTACTGGGTTATACTGGGAGGGGACTGGGATGGACTGGGAGGGGATTGGGTTATACTGGGAGGGAACTGGGTTATACTGGGTTATACTGGGAGGGACTGGGAGGGAACTGGTTTATACTGGGTTATACTGGGAGGCAGTGGGAGTGAACTGGGTTATACTGGGATGTACTGGGATGGACTGGGGGGGACTGGGAGGGAACTGGGGATACTGGGAGGGACTGGGAGGGAACTGGGATGGACAGGGTTATACTGGGATGGACTGGGAGGGACTGGGAGGGACTGGGAGGGGAACTGGGTTATACTGGGATATACTGGGATGGACTGGGAGGGGATTGGGTTATACTGGGAGGGACTGGGAGGGAACTGGGATATACTGGGAGGGACTGGGAGGGAACTGGAAGGGGGTGGGAGTGAACTGGGTTATACTGGGATGGACTGGGAGGGGATTGGGTTATACTGGGTTATACTGGGAGGGGACTGGGAGGGACTGGGAGGGAAATGGGACATACTGGGATATACTGGGATATACTGGGACATACTGGGACATACTGGGACATACTGGGAGGGACTGGGGCTCCCAGTAGGGGCAGCCCCGGGCCATACTGGTTCATACTGGTTTATACTGGTTTATACTGGGACTCACCTCTGCCTCGGAAGCCGCCGCGTCCCCCCCGGGGGCTGAAACCTGCGGGGAACTGGTCAGACTGGGCCGTACTGGGATATACTGGGATATACTGGGAGGGGCCCTGGAGGCTCCCAGTGCTCCCAGTTTGGCTCCAGTGCCTCTCCCAGTCCCTCCCAGTATAACCCAGTACATCCCAGTTACCCCCAGTGCCCTCCCAGTTCTCTCCCAGTCCATCCCAGTCCATCCCAGTTACCCCCAGCGCCCTCCCAGTTCTCTCCCAGTCCATCCCAGTTTATCCCAGTTACCCCCAATCCCCTCCCAGTTCACCCCAGTGCTCCCAGTTCACCCCTGGCTCCATCCCAGTATGGCCCAGTGCCCTCCCAGTAACTCCCAGTTTGTCCCAGTTTGTCCCAGTACCCCCCAGTCCCTCCCAGTATAAACCAGTTCCATCCCAGTTCCCCCCCAGTCCCTCCCAGTCCCTCCCAGTTCCATCCCAGTTCCCTCCCAGTTCATCCCAGTTCCCTCCCAGTTCATCCCAGTCCCTCCCAGTTTGTCCCAGTCCCCCCCAGTCCCTCCCAGTATAAACCAGTTCCATCCCAGTTCCCTCCCAGTCCCTCCCAGTTTGTCCCAGTTCCCTCCCAGTCCATCCCAGTTCCCCCCCAGTCACTCCCAGTCCCTCCCAGTTTGTCCCAGTTCCATCCCAGTTCCCCCCCAGTCTCTCCCAGTCTGTCCCAGTCCCCCCCAGTCTGTCCCAGTTTCATCCCAGTATGTCCCAGTCTGTCCCAGTATAGACCAGTTCCATCCCAGTCCCTCCCAGTTTCATCCCAGTCAACCCCAATCCTTTCCCAGCACCCCCCAGTCACTCCCAGTCCATCCCAGTTTGTCCCAGTTCCCCCCCAGTCCCCCCCAGTTTGTCCCACTCCCCCCCAGTTCCATCCCAGTCCCTCCCAGTTTCATTCCAGTTGCTCCCAGTTCCATCCCAGTCCCTCCCAGTTTGTCCCAGTTCCCCCCCAGTCACTCCCAGTCCCTCCCAGTTTGTCCCAGTTCCCCCCAGTCCCTCCCAGTTCATCCCAGTTCCATCCCAGTTTCCTCCCAGTCTCTCCCAGTTCATCCCAGTTCCATCCCAGTCCCTCCCAGTTTCATCCCAGTCAACCCCAATCCTTTCCCAGCACCCCCCAGTCACTCCCAGTCCATCCCAGTTTGTCCCAGTTCCCCCCCAGTCCCCCCCAGTTTGTCCCACTCCCCCCCAGTTCCATCCCAGTCCCTCCCAGTTTCATTCCAGTTGCTCCCAGTTCCATCCCAGTCCCTCCCAGTTTGTCCCAGTTCCCCCCCAGTCACTCCCAGTCCCTCCCAGTTTGTCCCAGTTCCCCCCAGTCCCTCCCAGTTCATCCCAGTTCCATCCCAGTTTCCTCCCAGTCCCTCCCAGTCCATCCCAGTTCCATCACAGTCCCTCCCAGTTCATCCCAGTTCCCCCCAGTCCATCCCAGACCCTCCCAGTCCATCCCAGTCCATCCCAGTCTGTCCCAGTCCCCTCCCAGTCCCTCCCAGTCCATCCCAGTCCCTCCCAGTTCCTTCCCAGTCCATCCCAGTCCCCCCCAGTCCATCCCAGTTCCCACCGGGCCTCATCGCCGCTTTTTCCACGCGGGCCCCGCGCGCTTCTGCCGGAACTGGAAGTGACGTCACAAATAACGGGAACTCACCGTTCCCTTCGCGCATGCGCAGACTGTGACTGACGCTCAGGCCACGCCCACATTTGGGCGGAAGTGCCCTCAGAGCGCCCCGGGGAGATTTTGGGGTAAAAAATGGAGATTTTGGTGTTAAAAATTGGAGATTTTAGGGGGTAAAAATGGGGATTTTGGTTAAAAATGGAGATTTTGCGGTAAAAATGGGGATTTTGGGGTAAAAATGGAGATTTTGGGGTAAAAATGGGGATTTTGGTTTAAAAATGGGATTTTTATGTAAAAATCGAGATTTTTGAGTCAAAAATGGGGATTTGGGGGTAAAAATGGGGATTTTGGTGTTAAAAAATGGAGATTTTGGGGTAAAAATGGGGATTTTAGGGTAAAATCCGAGGATTTGGGGGGAAAATGCGGATTTAGGGGTAAAAATTGGAGATTTTGGGTAAAAAATTGGGATTTTGTGTAAAAATTGGGATATTTGGACAAAAAATGGGGATTTTGGGGTGAAAAAATTGGGATTTCGTGACAAAAATGGGGATTTTGGGATAAAAATCACAGAATTTTTACCCCAATTTCCTGGGAATTTTGGGGGAAAAATGGGTATTTTGGGAAAAAAGGCGGATTTGGGGGTAAAAATGGGGATTTTGGTTTAAAAATGGGGATTTTGGTTTAAAAATGGAGATTTTGGGGTAAAATCAGCAAATTTGGGGGTAAAACCGGGAATTTGGGGGTTAAAAATGAGGATTTTGGGGTAAAATCGGGGATTTTGTGGTAAAAATGAAGATTTTTGAGTTTAAAAATGGGGATTTTGGGTAAAAATATGGGAATTTTGGGGTAAAACATGGGATTTTGGGGGTAAAAAATTTGGGATTTTTGGGCAAAAAAATGGGAATTTTGGGTAAAACTGGGGACATTGGGGTAAAAATTGGGGATTTTTTGTTTCAATTCAGGGATTTGGGGTTAAAAAATGGGAATTTTGGGTAAAACCCGGGGATTTGGGTAAAAAAATGGCATTTTTGGGTTAAAAAATGAGGATTTTGGGGTAAAAATTGAGATTTAGGGTCAAAATTAGGATTTTGGGGTACAAAAAGGGGATTTTGGGGTACAAAAAGGGGATTCTGAGGTAAAACCTGAGGGTTTGGGGTAAAAATTGGGGATTTTGGGGTAAAATCGGCGATTTGGGAGTAAAAATGAAGATTTTGGTTAAAAAATGGGGATTTGGGGGTAAAAAAATGGGAATTTTGGGTAAAAAATGGGGATTTAGGGTAAAATCGGGGATTTGGAAAAAAATTCGGGATTTTTGGGAAAAAATGGGGATTTGGGGGTAAAAAATGGGGATTTTGGGCTAAAAAATGCGTATTTTGGGATTAAAACGGGATTTAGGGTATAACCGGGGATTTTGGGGTAAAATCCCGGGATTTTGGGGAAAGATGGGGAATTTGGGGCAAAAAACTTTGATTTTGAGTAAAAAAACGCGGATTTTGGGGTAAAAAAAAGGGAAATTTGTTCTCTGTGACGTCACTTCCGGCGGGCGCGCCGCCGCCATGATTCCTCCAGAGGAGCCGCTCTGGCCCGCGGGCGGCGCTCGGTGTTGGTTCGGTGACGTCACTTCCGGCGCTCTGCAGCTTCCGGCGTGACTCGTTGGTTCCGGCGAGCGGCGCGCGGGGGTGACTTTGAGAGGGAACTGGTTTGTACTGGGACGGACTGGGACGGACTGGGAGGGGGTCTGGGGGTTACTGGTTTGTACTGGGATGGACTGGGAGGGGATTTGGGGTTACTGGTTTGTACTGGGAGGGGTTTGGGGGTTACTGGTTTGAACTGGGAATGAACTGGTTTGTACTGGGAGGAGATTTGGGGTTACTGGTTTGTACTGGGAGTTACTGGGAGAGGATTTGGGGTTACTGGGATGAACTGGGAGCACTGGGGGGGGTTACTGGGATGAACTGGGAGGGGTCTGGGGGTTACTGGTTTGTACTGGGAGGGGTTTGGGGGTTACTGGTTTGAACTGGGAGGCGTCTGGGGGTTACTGGGATGAACTGGTTTGAACTGGGAATGAACTGGGAGGGGTCTGAGGGTTACTGGTTTGAACTGGGAGCACTGGGGGGCGTTACTCGTTTGTACTGGGAGGGACTGGGAGGGGTTTGGGGGTTACTGGTTTGTACTGGGAATGAACTGGTTTGAACTGGGAGCACTGGGGGGGGTTACTGGGATGAACTGGGAGGGGTCTGGGCGTTACTGGTTTGTACTGGGAATGAACTGGTTTGAACTGGGAGGGGATTTGGGGTTACTGGTTTGAACTGGGAGCACAGGGGGGGTTACTGGTTTGTACTGGGAAGGACTGGGATGGACTGGGAGGGCTCTGGGGGTTACTGGTTTGTACTGGGAGGGACTGGGATGGACTGGGAGGGGGTTTGGGGGTTACTGGTTTGAACTGGGAGGGGTTTGGGGTTACTGGTTTGAACTGGGAGGGGACTGGGGGTTACTGGTTTGTACTGGGAGGGACTGGGAGGGACTGGTTTGAACTGGGAGGGGGTTTGGGGGTTACTGGGATGAACTGGGAGCACTGGGGGGCGTTACTGGTTTGTACTGGGAAGGACTGGGAGGGACTGGGAGGGGTCTGGGGGTTACTGGTTTGTACTGGGAATGAACTGGGAGGGACTGGGACGGACTGGGAGGGGGTTTGGGGGTTACTGGTTTGAACTGGGAGCACTGGGGAGGTTACTGGTTTATACTGGGAGGGGGTTTAGCGTTACTGGTTTATACTGGGAGGGCTCTGGGGGTTACTGGTTTGTACTGGTTTGTACTGGGATGAACTGGGAGGGGTTTGTGGGTTACTGGTTTATACTGGTTTGTACTGGGAGAGGGTTTGGGGGTTACTGGTTTGTACTGGGAGGGGATTTGGGGTTACTGGGAATGAACTGGGAGGCCATGAATAAATTATGCAAATGACCCGCCGCTCATTTGCATAGTCAATGAGCCCCGCCCCCACTGCCCCTCTGTGTTCGGTTCTGCTGTGGCTGCTGGGGGGTTAATTGGTAATTAACCCGCTGGTTAATTGGCTGGGCTGCTAATTAACTAATTAAACACTGACCAATGGGGTAGCTAGCTAATTAGCTGCTCATTTGCATAATTAATGACATCATAGTTTTTTCTGTTGTCTCTTTTGTTCCATTTCTCATTGGTGGGGGAGATTAATTAGTAGTTAATGACCTGGTTAATTGGCTGGGCTGCTAATTAACTAATTAAATACCGATCAGCCTGGTAGCTAATTAATTAGCTGCTCATTTGCATAATTAATGAGCCTTCGATGTTCGCAGTCTTGTTTTAGTCTTTTATTTGTTGTTGTTGGGCGGGGTTAATTAGTAATTAATGATCTAATTAGCAAGCTGGAATGATAAGTGACAAACCAGGTGTTAATTAGTTTGTGCACTAATTACCCAGCAGCTAATTTGCATAACTAATGAGTTTCCAATCTTTGTTATTCGGTGATTTGTTCTTTTTATTTGTTACTGCCTGTTGAGATTAATTAGTAATTAATTAACTAATTAACAGCCCGTGCTGGTGATTAACTAAGCAGGTGGTAAGCAGCTTGATAACTAATTAATTAGCTTATTATTTGCATAATTAATGAGCTGCCAATGTGTTGTTTGTGCTTTTGATTTGGTCTCTTATTTATTGTTGAATGTTGGAATTAATTAATGATTAATCAGCTAATTAATAGGTCAGATGGATAGTTCATTAACTAGCTGCAAAGCTGTTAATTAGGTGATTAATTAGCTGCTCGTTTGCATAATTAGTGCAAATTAATTTCCGTTTTTAATTTTATCTTTTGCTATTTTTGCTTTGATGAGATTAATTAACAGTTGGGGAACTAATTACTGATAATTAATAGTGAACTAATAGACTGGTAATTAACTTACCAATTCTTAATGAGTTGGCTAGATAATTATTCAGCTGTTAATTGGTATTGTTAATGAGTTTTTAATATTCGATGCTTTTTATATTCTTATTTATTATTGAGGGCGTGATAGATTCATAATTAACGGGTTAATTGGCAGCCTGGAGTGCTAATTAACGGGTTAATTGGCAGCCTGGAGTGCTAATTAACCCACTACGCGCTAACCAACTGCTTAATTAATTACCCAGCAGCTCATTATCCTAATTAACGACCTCAGCCGACCCAAAACCCCAAAAAATTCACCATTCCCGCAGCAATTAACCCCAATTAACCCCCTCAGGCCGCTAATTAACGCCGCCCGGGGGGTGATGGATGTGTGGGGGTGCTAATTAAGGTGTTAATTATGCAAATTAGGCATGGCAGAGGACATCAGGGCCAAGCTGGGCCGGTACAAGACCCCAAAAATTCACCATTCCCGCAGTAATTAACCCAAATTAACGCCCTCAGGCCGCTAATTAACGCCGCCCGGGGGGTGATGGGTGTGTGGGGGCGCTAATTAAGGTGTTAATTATGCAAATTAGGCATGGCAGAGGACATCAGGGCCAAGCTGGGCCGGTACAAGACGGCGCCGTTCGACAGCCGCTTCCCCAACCAGAACCAGACCCGCAACTGCTGGCAGAACTACCTGGGTGAGGCCAAAAAACCCCAAAAATCCCCAAATTCACCCCAAAATCTGATTGGGCGACCCAAAAAACCCAAAATCCCCCAAATTCACCCCAAAAAACCCCACCAAAATCGCCCAAAATGCCGAAATTTGGGGTTTTTAGACTCAAAATCCGCCCAAAGAGACTCTTAAATACACATGGAAAGAGCCAAAAAACCCCAAATTCACCCCAAAATCCACCTGGGGAACCCCAAAATTCCCAAATTCACCCCAAAATCCATCTGGGCGCCCCAAAAAACCCAAAATCCCGGAAATTCACCCCAAAAAACCCCATGAAAATCATCCAAAATGCCAAAATTTGGGGGTTTTTAGCCCCAAAATCTGCAGTAAGAGTCTCTTAAATGTACATGGAAGGGACCAAAATCACCGAAATTTACCCCAAAATCCCCAAATTCACCCCAAAATTGCCAAATTCACCCCAAATTCCACATGGGCAACCCAAAAAACCCAAAATCCCCGAAATTCACCCCAAAAAACCCCGCGAAAATCGACCAAAATGCCGAAATTTGGGGGTTTTTAGCCCCAAAATCCGCCCTAAGTGTATCTTAAAGTCACATGGAAGGGACCAAAAAAACCCAAATTTACCCCAAAATTCCCAAATTCACCCCAAAATCCACCTGGGCGCCCCAAAAAACCCAAAATCCCCGAAATTCACCCCAAAAAACCCCGCGAAAATCTCCCAAAATGCCGAAATTTGGGGGTTTTTAGCCTCAAAATTCTCCCTAAGAGTCTCTTAAATGCAACTGGAAGGGACCAAAATCACCGAAATTCACCCCAAAAAAACCCAAATTCACCCCAAATTCCACATGGGCATCCTAAAAAACCCAAAATCCCCAGAATTCACCCCAAAAAACCCCACAAAAATCTACCAAAATGCCGAAATTTGGGGTTTTTTATCCCCAAAATCCACCCAAATAGTCTCCTAAATGCACATGGAAAGGACCAAAATCACCGAAATTTACCCCAAAATTCCCCAAATTCACCCCAAAATCCACCTGAGCGCCCCAAAAAACCCAAAATCCCCGAAATTCACCCCAAAAAACCCCATGAAAATCGCCCAAAATCCCCAAATTTGGGGGTTTTTAGCCCCAAAATCCGCCCGAAGAGTCTCTTAAATGCGCCTGGAAGGGACCAAAATAACCCAAATTCACCCCAAAAAAAACCCAAATTCACCCCAAATTCCACATGGGCGCCCCAAAAAAAACCAAAATCCCCGAAATTCACCCCAAAAAACCCCGCAAAAATCTACCAAAATGCCGAAATTTGGGGGTTTTTAGCCCCAAAATCCGCACTAAGAGTCTCTTAAAGTCAACTGGAAGGGACCAAAATCACCCAAATTCACCCCAAAATCCACCTGGGGAACCCCAAAATCCCCAAATTCACCCCAAAATCTGGTTGGGCGCCCCAAAAAACCCAAAATCCCCGAATTTCGCCCCAAAAAACCCCGCGAAAATCGCCCAAAATGCCGAAATTTGGGGGTTTTTAGCCCCAAAACCCGCCCGAAGAGTCTCCTAAAGTCACCTGGAATGGACCAAAAAAACCCAAATTCACCCCAAAATTCCCAAATTCACCCCAAAATCTGATTGGGCACCCCAAAAAACCCAAAATCCCCAAAATTCACCCCAAAAAACCCCACGAAAATCCACCAAAATCCTCAAATTTGGGGTTTTTTAGCCCCAAAACCCGCCCGAAGAGTCTCCTAAATGCACCTGGAAGGGACCAAAATAACCCAAATTCACCCCAAAAAAAACCCAAATTCACCCCAAATTCCACCTGGGCGCCCCAAAAAAAACCAAAATCCCCGAAATTCACCCCAAAAAACCCCGCGAAAATCGCCCAAAATCCTCAAATTTGGGGTTTGTTATTCCCAAAATCCGCCCTAAGAGTCTCTTAAATGTGCCTGGAAAGAGCCAAAAAAGACCCAAATTCACCCCAAAATTCCCCAAATTCACCCCAAAATCCACCTGAGCACCCCAAAAACCCCAAAATCCCCGAAATTCACCCCAAAAAAAACCATGAAAATCCTCCAAAATATCCCAATTTGGGGGTTTTAGCCCCTAAATCCGCACTAAGAGTCTCTTAAATGCGCCTGGAAGGGACCAAAAAACCCAAATTCACCCCAAAAAAACCCAAATTCACCCCAAAATTCCCAAATTCACCCCAAAAATCCACCTGGGCACCCCAAAAAACCCAAAATCCCCGAAATTCACCCCAAAAAAACCCACAAAAATCTACCAAAATTCCGAAATTTGGGGTTTTTTATCCCCAAAATCCTCACTGAGAGTCTCCTAAATGCACCTGGAAAGAGCCAAAAAAGACCCAAATTCACCCCAAAATCCACCTGGGCACCCCAAAAAACCCAAAATCCCTGAAATTCACCCCAAAAAACCCATGAAAATCCTCCAAAATATCCCAATTTTGGGTTTTTAGCCCCAAAATCCGCTTTAAGAGTCTCTTGAATGCGCCTGGAAGGGACCAAAAAAACCCCAAATTCACCCCAAAATCCCCAAATTCACCGCAAAATTCCCAAATTCACCCCAAAAATCCACCTGGGCACCCCAAAAAACCCAAAATCCCCCAAATTCACCCCAAAAAAACCCGCCAAAATCGCTCAAAATCCCCAAATTTTGCATTTTTTTAGCCCCAAAATCCGCCCTAAGAGTCTCTTAAAGTCAACTGGAAGGGACCAAAATCACCCAAATTCACCCCAAAATCCACCTGGGGAACCCCAAAATCCCCAAATTCACCCCAAAATCTGATTGGGCAACCCAAAAAACCCAAAATCCCCGAAATTCACCCCAAAAAACCCCGCGAAAATCGCCAAAAATGCCGAAATTTGGGGGTTTTTAGCCTCAAAATCCTCCCTAAGTGTATCTTAAAGTCACATGGAAGGGACCAAAAAAACCCAAATTTACCCCAAAATTCCCAAATTCACCCCAAAATCTGATTGGGCGCCCCAAAAAACCCAAAATCCCCGAAATTCACCCCAAAAAACCCCGCGAAAATCGCCCAAAATCCCCAAATTTGGGGGTTTTTAGCCCCGAAATCCTCCCTAAGTGTATCTTAAAGTCACATGGAAGGGACCAAAAAAACCCAAATTTACCCCAAAATTCCCAAATTCACCCCAAAATCCACATGGGAACCCCAAAAAACCCAAACTCACCGAAATTCACCCCAAAAAACCCCGCGAAAATCGCCCAAAATGCCGAAATTTGGGGGTTTTTAGCCTCAAAATCCGCACTAAGAGTCTCTTAAATGTGCCTGGAAAAAGCCAAAAAAACCCAAATTTACCCCAAAATTCCCAAATTCACCCCAAAATCCACCTGAGCACCCCAAAAAACCCAAAATCCCCGAAATTCACCCCAAAAAAACCCATGAAAATCCTCCAAAATATCCCAATTTGGGGGTTTTAGCCCCAAAATCCGCTTTAAGAGTCTCTTAAATGCGCCTGGAAAGGAACAAAAAAACCCAAATTCACCCCAAAATCCACCTGGGGAGCCCCAAAATCCAGCTGAGCAGCCCAAAAAACCCAAAATCCCCGAAATTCACCCCAAAAAACCCCACAAAAATCTACCAAAATTCCGAAATTTGGGGTTTTTTATCCCCAAAATCCTTAATGAGAGTCTCTTAAATGCAACTGGAAAGGAGAAAAATCACCCAAATTCACCCCAAAATCCCCATATTCACCCCAAAATTCCCAAATTCACCGCAAAATCTGGCTGGGCGCCCCAAAAAACCCAAAATCCCCAAAATTCACCCCAAAAAACCCCGCGGAAATCGCCCAAAATGCCGAAATTTGGGGGTTTTTAGCCTCAAAATCCGCCCGAAGAGTCTCTTAAATGTGCCTGGAAAGAGCCAAAAAAGACCCAAATTCACCCCAAAATCCCCAAATTCACCCCAAAATCCATCTGGGCGCCCCAAAAAACCCAAAATCCCCGAAATTCACCCCAAAAAAACCCACAAAAATTCTCCAAAATATCCCAATTTGGGGTTTTTAGCCCCAAAATCCGCTTTAAGAGTCTCCTAAATGTGCCTGGAAGGGACCAAAATCACCGAAATTTACCCCAAAATTCCCAAATTCACCCCAAAATCTGATTGGGCACCCCAAAAAACCCAAAATCCCCAAAATTCACCCCAAAAAACCCCACAAAAATCTCCCAAAATCCCCAAATTTGGCTTTTTTTATTCCCAAGATCTTCCTTAAAATCCTCCAAATTCCACCAGGGGGACCCCAAAATATCCCAAAATCCAAAAAAAAAATCCCAAAAATCCCAAAATCCAAAAAAAAAATCCCAAAAATGCCCCAAAATCCCCAAATTTGGGGTTTTTAATTCCCAAAATTTCCCCTCAAATCTCCAAAAATCCACCTGGGGACCCCAAAAAATCCCCAAAATGCCCCAAAATCCCCAAATTTGGGGTTTTTTTATCCCCAGAATCTTCCTTAAAATCCCCCAAATTCCACCCAAAAAACCCCAAAATCCAAAAAGAAAACCCAAAATGCCCCAAATTTGGGGGTTTTTATCCCCAACTCTCCAAAATCCACCTGGAGGACCCCAAAAAATCCCCAAAATGCCCCAAAATCCCCAAATTTGTGGGGTTTTTTTTCCCCAAAATCTTCCTTAAAATCCCCCAAATTCCACCCAAAAAACCCCAAAATCCAAAAAAAAAAAAAAAACCCAAAATGCCCCAAATTTGTGGGTTTTTATCCCCAACTCTCCAAAATCCACCTGGAGGACCCAAAAAAAATCCCAAAATAATCCCAAAATCCCCAAATTTGGGGGTTTTTTTATCCCCAAAATCTTCCTTAAAATCCCCCAAATTCCACCCAAAAAACCCCAAAATCAAAAAAAAAAAATTCCACAAAAATGCCCCAAAATCCCCAAATTTGGTTGTTTTTTTTTTTTTTTTTGTCTCTGCCCACGGCTGAGCGGGGCTGGTGTCCCAAAATGTCCCCAAATGTCCCCAAAATGTCCCCAAATGTCCCCAAAATGTCCCCAAATGTCCCCAAATCCCCCAAAAATGTCCCCAATGTCCCCAATGTCCCCAATCCCATTTTTCCCAATTTTTTCCTATTGTTCCCCATTTTTTCCCAATTTTTCCCAATGTCCCCAAAATGTCCCCAATGTCCCCAATCCCATTTTTCCCAAATTTTCCCCAATTTTTCCCCATTTTTTCCCAATGTCCCCAATGTCCCCAAATGTCCCCAATGTCCCCAATGTCCCAAATCCCCCAAAAATGTCCCCAAATGTCCCCAATGTCCCAAATCCCATTTTTCCCATTTTTCTCCCATTTTTTCCCAATGTCCCCAATCCCATTTTTCCCAATTTTCCCCCATTTTTCTCAATTTTTCCCCATTTTTGCTCAATGTCCCCAAATGTCCCCAATGTCCCCAAATGTCCCCAATGTCCCGAATCCCATTTTTCCCAAATTTCCCCCAATTTTTCCCCAATGTCCCCAATGTCCCCAATCCCATTTTTCCCAACTTTTCCCCAATTTTTCCCAATTTTTCCCCATTTTTGCTCAATGTCCCCAATGTCCCCAAATCCCCGAAAATGTCCCCAATGTCCCCAATGTCCCAAATCCCATTTTTCCCAATTTTTCCCCATTTTTGCTCAATGTCCCCAATGTCCCCAAATCCCCCAAATTTTATCGAATGTCCCCAAATCCCCCCAAATGTCCCCAATGTCCCCAATGTCCCCAAATGTCCCCAAATGTCCCCAATGTCCCCAAATGTCCCCAATGTCCCCAAATCCCATTTTTCCCATTTTTCTCCCATTTTTTCCCAATGTCCCCAATCCCATTTTTCCCAATTTTTCCCCAATTTTTCCCATTGTTCCATATTTTTGCTCAATGTCCCCAATGTCCCCAATGTCCCCAAAATGTCCCCAAATCCCCCAAATTTTATTGAATGTCTCCAAATCCACCGAAATTTCCCCAATGTCCCCAATGTCCCCAATGTCCCAAAATCTCCCAAATTTTATCGAATGTCTCCAAATCCACCCAAATGTCCCCCAAATCCCCCAAATGTCCCCAAATGTCCCCAATGTCCCCAATCCCATTTTTCTCCCAATTTTTCCCAATGTCCCCAAATGTCCCCAAATGTCCCCAATGTCCCCAAATCCCCCAAAAATGTCCCCAAAATGTCCCCAATGTCCCCAATCCCATTTTTCCCAATTTTTCCCCAATTTTTCCCCATTTTTTCCCAATTTTTCCCAATGTCCCCAAAATGTCCCCAATGTCCCAAATCCCATTTTTCCCATTTTTCTCCCGTTTTTTCCCAACGTCCCCAATGTCCCCAATGTCCCCAATGTCCCCAATGTCCCCAATGTCCCCAATGTCCCCAATGTCCCCAATCCCATTTTTCCCAATTTTTCCCCAATTTTTCCCCATTTTTCCCCATTTTTGCTCAATGTCCCCAAATGTCCCCAAATCCCCGAAAATGTCCCCGCTGTCCCCAATGTCCCCAAATCCCCCAAATTTTATTGAATGTCTCCAAATTCCCCCAAATGTCCCCAATGTCCCCAATGTCCCAAATCCCATTTTTCCCAATTTTTCCCCAATTTTTCCCAATTGTTCCCCATTTTTGCTCAATGTCCCCAAATGTCCCCAAATCCCCCAAAAATGTCCCCAAATGTCCCCAATGTCCCCAATGTCCCCAATGTCCCCAATGTCCCCCAATGTCCCCAATCCCATTTTTCCCCAATTTTTCCCAATTTTTCCCCATTTTTGCTCAATGTCCCCAATGTCCCCAAATGTCCCCAAATGTCCCAAATCCCCAAATGTCCCCAATGTCCCAAATCCCATTTTTCCCATTTTTCTCCCATTTTTTCCCAATGTCCCAAATATCCCCAATCCCATTTTTCCCAACTTTTTCCCAATTTTTCCCAATTTTTCCCCATTTTTGCTCAATGTCCCCAAATGTCCCCAAATCCCCCAAAATGTCCCCAAATGTCCCCAAATGTCCCCAGATTTCCAGCGCTGCCAGCGCGCCATGGCCGCCCGCGGCGCCGATGTCACCCCGTGCCAGTGGTACTTCCGCGTCTACAAGTCCCTGTGCCCCACCTCATGGGTGAGTGTGTCCCCAAGTGTCACCAAGGGTCACCAAGTGTCACCAAATGTCACCAAATGTCACCAGGGGTCACCCAAAGGTCAGCAAAGGTCATTAAATGGCAGCAATGGCATCAAATCGCCCAATGTCCCCAAATGTCCCCAAAATGTCACCAAGGTGCCACACCTCCTGGGTGAGTGATGGCCACAAGGGTCACCAAATGTCACCAAGGGGTCACCAGGGGTCAGCAGGGGTCAGAAAAGGTCATCAAGGGTCATCAAATGGCGCCAATGGCATCAAATCGCCCAATGTCCCCAAATGTCCCCAAAATGTCCCCAAATGTCCCCAAATGTTCCCAAATCTCCCCAAATCCCCCCCAAATGACCCCAAATGCCCCCTAAAATGTCCCCAAATCCCCCCAAATGTCCCCAATTTTCCCAAATGTCCCCAAATGTCCCCGAATGTCCCTAAAATCCCCGAATGTCACTAAAATGTCCCCAAATGTCCCCAAAATGTCCCCAAATCCCCCCAAATGTCCCCAATTTTCCCAAATGCCCCAAAATGTCCCCAAATCCCCCCATGTCCCTAAAATCCACAAATGTCCCCAAATGTCCCCAAATCCCCCAATGTCCCCAAATGTCCCCAAATCCCTCCAATGTCCCCAAATGTCCCCAGAATCCCCCCAAATCCCCCGAATCTCCCCAATCCCCAAATGTCCCCAAATGCCCCTGAAATGTCATCAAATATCCCCAAATGTCCCCAATCCTCCCAATGTCCCCAAACCCCCCCAAATGTCCCCAAAATGTCCCCAAATCCCCCCAATGACCCCAAATGTCCCTAAAATCCCCAAATGTCCCTAAAATGTCCCCGAATGTCCCCAAATGTCCCCAATGTCCCCAAATCCCCCCAAATGTCCCCAATGTCCCCAAATGTCCCCAAATGTCCCCAATGTCCCAAATCCCCTCAATGTCCCCAATCCCCCCAATCCCCCCAATGTCCCCAAATGTCCCCAGATGTCCCCAATGTCCCCAATGTCTCCAATCCCCCAAATGTCCCCAATGTCCCCAATGTCCCCAATGTCCCCAATCCCCCCAATCCCCCCAATGTCCCCAATGCCCCCAAATGTCCCCAATGTCCCCAATGTCCCCAATCCCCAAATCCCCCCAATGTCCCCAATGTCCTCAATGTCCCCCCAAATGTCCCCAATGCCCCAATGTCCCCAATGTCCCCAATGTCCCCAATGTCCCCAATGTCCCCAAAATGTCCCCAAATGTCCCCAAATGTCCCCAAATGTCCCCTGTGTCCCAGGTGACCGCGTGGGACGAGGCCCGTGAGGAGGGGACCTTCCCCGGCAAGATCTGAGCCGGTGGTGGCACCGGTGACACCGAGGGGAGGTGGCACCGGGAGGTGACATCAGTGACACCGATGGGGGCGGGGAGGGGACACGGAGCGGTGGCACCGCCAATAAAGGGTTAAAAACTGGGCCTGGAGCTCGGACGTCTTTTGGGGACAATTCCGGGCGGTTTGGGGACATTTTGGGGACATTTGGGGACATTTGGGGACATTTTGGGGACGTTTTGGGGAGGTTTGGGGACATTTTGGGGACATTTGGGGACATTTGGGGAGGTTTGGGGACATTTGGGGAGGTTTGGGGACATTTGGGGACATTTTGGGGGGATTTGGGGAGGTTTGGGGACATTTGGGGATCATTTGGGGGGATTTGGGATCATTTGGGGGTATTTGGGGACATCTGGGGACATTTGGGGGGATTTGGGGGGATTTGGGGACATTTGGGGACATTTAAGGGGGGATTTGGGGACATTTGGGGCATTTTAGGGGCATTTGGGGACATTTGGGGATTTTAGGGACATTTGGGGACATTTTAGGGGCATTTGGGATCATTTGGGGGAATTTGGGGACATTTTAGGGGGCATTTGGGGATTTTAGGGACATTCGGGGACATTTGGGGACATTTGTGGATTTTAGGGACATTGGGGGATTTGGGGACATTTTGGGGCGGTTTGGAGACATTTTAGGGGCATTTGGGGACATTTTGGGGACAATTGGGATCATTTGGAGGGATTTGGGGATTTTAGGGACATTTGGGGACATTTTAAGGGCATTTTGGGACATTTTGGGGACATTTGGGGGGATTTGGGGACATTTTAGGGGCATTTGGGGACATTTGAAGACATTTTAGGGACATTTGGGGACATTTTGGGATCATTTGGGGAGGTTTGGGGACATTTGGGGATTTTAGGGACATTTTGGGGACAATTGGGGATTTTAGGTACATTTTGGGGACATTTGGGGATCTTTGAGGACTTTTGGGGCCATTTTGGGGACATTTATGATCCCTTTGGGTTATTTGGGACCCCCCAAATGTCACATCCCAGTTCATCCCAGTCCAAACCAGTCCAAACCAGTCCAAACCAGTTCCCTCCCAGTCCCTCCCAGTCCCTCCCAGTTCCCTCCCAGTCCCTCCCAGTCCATCCCAGTCCCTCCCAGTCCCTCCCAGTCCCTCCCAGTTCCCTCCCAGTCCCTCCCAGTCCATCCCAGTCCCTCCCAGTCCCTCCCAGTTCCCTCCCAGTCCATCCCAGTCCATCCCAGTCCATCCCAGTTCCCTCCCAGTCCATCCCAGTTCATCCCAGTCCCTCCCAGTCACTCCACACCTCGCAGGTTTTTCCATTTTTCTTTATTTTCCCCCCAAATCCCCGTCACTGCTGGTCACTCCTGGTCACTCCTGGTCACTCGTGGTCACTCATGGTCACTCATGGTCAGTGGTCACTGGTCACTCCTGGCCAGTGGTCACTGGTGGTCACTGCTGGTCACTCGTGGTCACTCATGGTCACTTCTGGTCACTCCTGGTCACTGGTGGTCACTGGTGGTCACTGGTGGTCACTGGTCACCGCTGGCCACTGGTCATTGGTCACTGGTCACTGCTGGTCACTGGTCACTCATGGTCACTCATGGTCACTCATGGTCACTGGTCACTCATGGTCACTGGTCACTGGTGGTCACTGGTCACTGGTGACTCCTGGTCACTGCTGGTCACTGCTGGTCACTGTTAGTCACTCCTGGTCACTTGGCAGCAGTCAGTGGTCACTCCTGGTCCCTCGTGGTCACTCGTGGTCACTCGTGGTCACTGTTGGTCATGGGCTGCTGGTCACTCCCAGTCGCTGTTGGTCACTGTTGGTCACTCGTGGTCATTGTTGGTCACTCCTGGTCAATCCTGGTTGCTGTTGGTCAATCGTGGTTGCTGGTCACTCGTGGTCACTCCTGGTCCCTCATGGTCACTGTTGGTCATGGGTTGCTGGTCACTGGTCACTGTTGGTTGTTGGTCACTCGTGGTCACTGTTGATCACTCCTGGTCATTGTTGGTTGCTGGTCACTCGTGGTCACTCCTGGTCCCTCCTGGTCACTCCCGGTCACTCGTGGTCACTGTTGATCACTCCTGGTCACTGCTGGTCACTCGTGGTCACTGGTCATGAGTTGTTGGTCACTTGTGGTCACTGTTAGTCACTGTTGGTCATGGGCTGTTGGTCAATCCTGGTTGCTGGTCACTTTTGGTCACTCCCAGTCACTCCTGGTCACTCCTGGTCACTGTTGGTCATGGGTTGTTGGTCAATCCTGGTTGCTGGTCACTGCTGGTCACTCCCGGTCTCTCGTGGTCACTGTTGGTCACTCCTGGTCACTCCTGGTCCCTCGTGGTCACTCCTGGTCACTGCTGGTCACTCCTGGTCACTCCTGGTCACTCCCGGTCACTGTTGGTCACTCCCGGTCCCTGGCGGTCACTGCCGGATGACGCGCTGGATCCAGGCGCGGGCGCGGCAGACGTTGCTGTACACGCCGGGCTGACCCCGCTGACCACACACGGCCATGCCCCAGGAGACCACGCCCTGCAGGTACCCCCCGCACACCAGCGGGCCCCCGGAGTCACCCTGGGACAGGTAAACACACCTGAGTCACACCTGAGATACACCTGAGATACACCTGGGACAGGTAAATACACCTGAGATACACCTGAGATACACCTGAGACAGGTAAATACACCTGAGATACACCTGAGATACACCTGAGATACACCTGAGATACACCTGGCACAGACCACGCCCTGCAGGTACCCCCCGCACACCAGCGGGCCCCTGGAGTCACCCTGTGCAGGTAAACACACCTGAGTCAGGTAAACACACCTGAGATACACCTGAGATACACCTGGGACAGGTAAATACACCTGAGATACACCTGGCACAGACCACGCCCTGCAGGTACCCCCCGCACACCAGCGGGCCCCCGGAGTCACCCTGCACAGGTGAGACAGGTGAGACACACCTGAGACAGGTAAATACACCTGAGATACACCTGAGATACACCTGAGATACACCTGAGATACACCTGAGACAGGTAAATACACCTGAGATACACCTGAGATACACCTGGCACAGACCACGCCCTGCAGGTACCCCCCGCACACCAGCGGGCCCCCGGAGTCACCCTGGGACAGGTAACGGACAGGTAAATACACCTGAGACAGGTAAATACACCTGGGACAGGTAAATACACCTGAGATACACCTGAGATACACCTGGCACAGACCACGCCCTGCAGGTACCCCCCGCACACCAGCGGGCCCCCGGAGTCACCCTGCGCAGGTGAGACAGGTGAGACACACCTGAGACAGGTAAACACACCTGAGATACACCTGAGATACACCTGAGATACACCTGAGATACACCTGGCACAGACCACGCCCTGCAGGTACCCCCCGCACACCAGCGGGCCCCCGGAGTCACCCTGTGCAGGTGAGACAGGTAACGGACAGGTGAGACACACCTGAGACAGGTAAATACACCTGAGATACACCTGAGATACACCTGAGATACACCTGGCACAGACCACGCCCTGCAGGTACCCCCCGCACACCAGCGGGCCCCCGGAGTCACCCTGTGCAGGTGAGACAGGTAAATACACCTGAGATACACCTGGGACAGGTAAATACACCTGAGATACACCTGAGATACACCTGAGATACACCTGGCACAGACCACACCCTGCAGGTACCCCCCGCACACCAGCGGGCCCCCGGAGTCACCCTGGGACAGGTGAGACAGGTAAATACACCTGAGATACACCTGAGACAGGTAAACACACCTGAGATACACCTGAGTCACACCTGGCACAGACCACGCCCTGCAGGTACCCCCCGCACACCAGTGGGCCCCCGGAGTCACCCTGCACAGGTGAGACAGGTGAGACAGGTAAATACACCTGGGACAGGTAAATACACCTGAGATACACCTGAGATACACCTGAGATACACCTGGGTCAGGTAAATACACCTGAGATACACCTGGGTCAGGTAAATACACCTGAGATACACCTGAGATACACCTGAGATACACCTGAGATACACCTGGGACAGGTAAACACACCTGGGACACACCTGGGGCACACCTGGGCACACCTGGGCACACCTGTCACACACCTGGGCACACCTGGGCACACCTGGGCACACCTGGGCACACCTGTCACACCTGGACTCACCTGGCAGGAGTCGACGCCGCCCTGGGGCACACCTGGGCACACACCTGGGCACACACCTGGGCACACCTGGACTCACCTGGCAGGAGTCGATGCCCCCCTGGGGCACACCTGGGCACACCTGGGCACACCTGGGGCACACCTGGGCACACCTGGGCACACCTGGGCACACCTGACACACACCTGGGCACACCTGGGGCACACCTGGGCACACCTGGACTCACCTGGCAGGAGTCGACGCCGCCCTGGGGCACACCTGACACACACCTGGGCACACCTGGGGGCGCACCTGGGCACACCTGGGCACACCTGGGCACACCTGGGGCACATCTGTCATACCTGACACACACCTGGGGCACACCTGGGGCACACCTGGGCACACCTGGGCACACCTGGGCACACCTGGGCACACCTGGGCACAGCTGATACACACCTGGGCACACCTGTCATACCTGGCACACACCTGGGGCACACCTGGGGCACACCTGGGCACACCTGTCGCACCTGGACTCACCTGGCAGGAGTCGATGCCCCCCTGGGGCACACCTGGGCACACCTGTCATACCTGACACACACCTGGGCACACCTGGGCACACACTTGTCACTCACCTGGCAGGAGTCGATGCCCCCCTGGGGCACACATGGGGCACACCTGGGCACACCTGGGCACACCTGGGTACACCTGGGGCACACCTGTCACACCTGGACTCACTTGGCAGGAGTCGACGCTGCCCTGGGGCACACCTGGGATAGACCTGGGCACACCTGGGCACACCTGGACTCACCTGGGCACACCTGGACTCACCTGGCAGGAGTTGACGCCACCCTGGGGCACACCTGGGGCACACCTGGGCACACCTGTCATACCTGACACACACCTGGGGCACACCTGGGCACACTTGGCACTCACCTGGCAGGAGTCGATGCCGCCCTGGGGCACACCTGGGCACACCTGGGCACACCTGGCACTCACCTGGGCACACCTGACACACACCTGGGCACACCTGGGGCACACCTGGGGCACACCTGGGGCACACCTGACACACACCTGGGCACACCTGGTGGCACACCTGACACACACCTGGGCACACCTGGGCACACCTGGGGCACACCTGGGCACACCTGGGCATACCTGGTCACACCTGGACTCACCTGGCAGGAGTCGACGCCGCCCTGGGGCACACCTGGGCACACCTGACACACACCTGGGGCACACCTGGGCACACCTGGGGCACACCTGGACTCACCTGGCAGGAGTCGACGCCCCCCTGGGGCACACCTGGGCACACCTGGGGCACACCTGACACACACCTGGGCACACCTGGGCACACCTGACACACACCTGACACACACCTGACACACACCTGGGCACACCTGGGCACACCTGGACTCACCTGGCAGGAGTCGACGCCGCCCTGGGGCACACCTGCGCAGAACATGTTGGGCGTGACGGCGTTGCCGTAGGCGCGGGCGCACTGCCGGGGCCCGAAGGTCTGCACCTGCGCGCACTGCAGGTCCCGCGGCAGCCGCGCTGCACAGGTGAGACAGGTGAGGGAGAAAAAATAGCAAAAATTAGGAAAAAAGTGAAAAAATTCAAAAAAAAGCCCCAAAATGTCAATTTTTGGTAACATGGGACCCAAAATCCCCCGGATTTGCCCCATTCCAGGACCGTTCCCAGCCCCAAAGGTGATGAACACCTGCACAGGTGAGCACAGGTGAGACAGGTGAGAAAAAAACTCAAAAATCCCCAAAAATCAAAAAAAACCCCAAAAAATCCAAAAAAAGCCCCTAAAATTCCCAAAAATCACAATTTTTGGTAACATGGGACCCAAAATCTCCCGGATTTGCCCCATTTTGGGGCCATTCTGAACCTTCCTGGACCCATCCAGGTGAGCACAGGTGAGACAGGTGAGAGAGAAAAAAACCCAAATCCCCAAAATCCCAAAAATCTCTCAAAATCCCCCAAAATCCCAAAAAAAGCCCCAAAAAATCCCAAAAAGCCCCAAAAATTCCCCAAAATCGCCATTTTTGGTAACATGGGACCCAAAATCCCCCGGATTTGCCCCATTTTGGGACCGTTCTCAGCCTTGGTGGAACCCAAAACCTTCCTGGACCTGCCCAGGTGAGCACAGGTGAGAGATTAAAAAAACCCAAATCCCAAAAAATCCCAAAAAGCCCCAAAAAATTCCAAAAATCACCATTTTCGGTAACATGGGACCCAAAATCCCCCGGATTTGCCCCATTTTGGGGCCGTTTCCAGCCCCAAAGGTGATGAACACCTGCACAGGTGAGCACAGGTGAGAGAAAAAACCCAAATCCCCCAAAAAATCCAAAAAATCCCAAAAAATCCCGAAAAAATGCCAAAAAAGGCCCAAAAAAATCGCAAAAATCCAAAAAAAGTCCCCCAAAATCGCCATTTTTGGTAACATGGAACCCAAAATCCACCGGATTTGCCCCATTTTGGGGCCGTTGCCAGCCCCAAAGGTGATGGTGGGACCCCAAAACACCTGCACAGGTGAGCACAGGTGAGAGAAAAAAAATCTGAAATACCAAAAATTCCAAAAATCCCCCAAAAATCCCAAAATGTCAATTTTTGGTAACATGGAGCCCAAAATCCCCCGGATTTGCCCCATTTTGGGGCCATTCTGAACCTTCCTGGACCCATCCAGGTGAGCACAGGTGAGAGCGAAAAAACCCAAAAATCAAAAAAAAATCCCCCCAAAACAGAAAATCTCCAAAAATCCCAAAAAGCTCCAAAAAATCCCCAAAATCTCCATTTTTGGTAACATGGGACCCAAAATCCCCTGGATTTGCCCCATTTTGGGACCGTTCCCAGCCCCAAAGGTGATGAACACCTGCACAGGTGAGCACAGGTGGGACAGGTGAGAGAAAAAATAGCAAAAATTAGGGAAAAATGGAAAAAATCCAAAAAAATCCCCAAAAATCGCCATTTTTGGTAACATGGGACCCAAAATCCCCCGAATTTGCCCCATTTTGGGGCCATTCTGAACCTTCCTGGACCCATCCAGGTGAGCACAGGTGAGACAGGTGAGAGAAAAAAACCCAAAAATTCCCAAAAATCTCTCAAAATCCCCAAAATCCCAAAAAAAGCCCCCAAAAGCCCCAAAAAATCCCCAAAATCGCCATTTTTGGTAACATGGGACCCAAAATCCCCCAGATTTGCCCCATTTTGGGACCGTTCCCAGCACCAAAGGTGATGGTGGGACCCCAAAACAGCTGCACAGGTGAGCACAGGTGAGACAGGTGAGAGAGAAAAACCCAAATCCCCCAAAAACCCAAAAAATCCCAAAAGCCCCAAAAAATCCCAAAATCTCCATTTTTGGTAACATGGAACCCAAAATCCCCCAGATTTGCCCCATTTTGGGACCGTTCCCAGCCTTGGTGGAACCCAAAACCTTCTTGGACCTGCCCAGGTGTGCCCAGGTGTTCCCCAGGTGAGAGAGAAAAATCCCAAAAAAATCAAAAAAACTCCCAAAAAATCCCAAAAAATCTCAAAAAGCTCCAAAAAATCCCACCTGAGACCTCACCTGAGACCCACCTGGGAACCCACCTGAGATCCCACCTGAGATCCCACCTGAGACCTCACCTGGGAACCCACCTGAGATCCCACCTGGGGATGACGTGGAGCACACCTGGGAACCCACCTGAGACCTCACCTGGGGCACACCTGAGATCCACCTGAGATCTCACCTGGGCTCCATAAAGAGCTCCAGAAACCTCACCTGGAGCTCACCTGTGACACACCTGAGACACATCTGGGGCACACCTGGGAACCCACCTGAGATCCCACCTGAGATCCCACCTGAGATCCACCTGAGACCTCACCTGGGGCTCACCTGGGGCTCACCTGAGACCCCATTTAGGAACCCACCTGAGATCCCACCTGGGGCTCACCTGAGGCCCCCTTTAGGAACCCACCTGAGATCTCAATGAGACCTCACCTGAGATCTCACCTGGGCTCCATAAAGAGCTCCACAAACCTCACCTGGGGCTCACCTGTGACACACCTGAGACCCTCCCACCTGCGCGCAGGTACCTCCAGGTGACTTGGTGGTGCCCCAGCCGCTGACGCTGCAGTTCTGGCCGGCCCGAGGACACCTGGGGCACACCTGGGCACACCTGGGGCACACCTGAGACCCACCTGGGACCTCACCTGGCCTCCATAAAGAGCTCCAGAGACCTCACCTGGGGCTCACCTGTGACACACCTGAGACCCCATTTAGGAACCCACCTGAGATCCCACCTGAGACCTCACCTGGTCTCACCTGAGATCTCATTTAGGAACCCACCTGACACCTCACCTGGTCTCCATAAAGAGCTCCAGAAACTCCAGAAACCTCACCTGGGGCTCACCTGGGGCTCACCTGGGGCACACCTGAGACCCCATTTAGGAACCCACCTGAGATCCCACCTGGGCTCCATAAAGATCTCCACAAACCTCACCTGGGTCTCACCTGGGACACACCTGAGACCCCATTTAGGAACCCACCTGAGACCCACCTGAGATCCCATTTAGGAACCCACCTGAGATCCCACCTGAGATCCCACCTGGCCTCCATAAAGGGCTCCACAAACCTCACCTGGGCACACCTGTGACCCCTCCCACCCCCCCCCAGGTGTGCCCAGGTACCTCCAGGTGACTTGGTGGTGCCCCAGCCGCTGACGCTGCAGTTCTGGCCGGCCCGAGGACACCTGGGGCACACCTGGGGCACACCTGGGGCACACCTGGGGCACACCTGGGGCTCACCTGGGAACCCACCTGAGATCCCACTTAGGAACCCAACTGAGATCCACCTGAGATCCCACCTGAGACCTCACCTGGTCTCCATAAAGAGCTCCAGAAACCTCACCTGAGGCTCACCTGGGACACACCTGAGACCCTATTTAGGAACCCACCTGAGACCTCACCTGGAGCACACCTGTGTCACACCTGAGACACACCTGAGACCCCATTTAGGAACCCACCTGAGACCCACCTGAGATCCCACCTGAGATCCCACCTGGGCTCCATAAAGAGCTCCAGAAACCTCACCTGGGCTCACCTGGGGCACACCTGGGCACACCTGTGACACACCTGTGACACACCTGTGACACACCTGAGACCCGTCCCACCCCTCCCACCTGTGCCCAGGTACCTCCAGGTGACTTGGTGGTGCCCCAGCCGCTGACGCTGCAGTTCTGGCCAGCCCGGGGACACCTGGGCACACCTGGGGCACACCTGGGCACACCTGAGACCCCATTTAGGAACCCACCTGAGACCCACCTGAGATCCTGTCTGAGATTCCACCTGAGATCCCACCTGGGAACCCACCTGAGATCCCACCTGAGACACACCTGAGATCCCACCTGAGATCTCACCTGACCTCCATAAAGAGCTCCAGAAACCTCACCTGGGGCTCACCTGTGACACACCTGGGCTCACCTGAGACACACCTGAGACCCCATTTAGGAACCCACCTGAGATCCCACCTGAGATCCCACCTGAGACCTCACCTGGAGCACACCTGGGAACCCACCTGAGATCCACCTGGGAACCCACCTGAGATCCCACCTGGGAACCCACCTGAGATCTCACCTGAGACCTCACCTGGGCTCCATAAAGAGCTCCAGAAACCTCACCTGGAGCTCACCTGTGACACACCTGTGACACACCTGAGACCCTCCCAGCCCCCCCAGGTACCTCCAGGTGACTTGGTGGTGCCCCAGCCGCTGACGCTGCAGTTCTGGCCGGCCCGGGGACACCTGGGGCACACCTGGGGCACACCTGGGGCACACCTGAGACCCACCTGAGACCTCACCTGTGACACACCTGAGGCTCACCTGGGAACCCTCCTGAGATCCCACTTAGGAATCCACCTGAGATCCACCTGGGAACCCACCTGAGACCCCACCTGGCCTCCATAAAGAGCTCCAGAAACCTCACCTGGGGCTCACCTGTGACACACCTGGGGCACACCTGAGATCCACCTGAGATCCCATTTAGGAACCCACCTGAGATCCCACCTGAGATCCCACTTGAGACTCACCTGGGGCTCACCTGGGCATACCTGTGACACACCTGGGACACACCTGAGATCCCACCTGAGATCCCATTTAGGAACCCACCTGAGATCCCACCTGAGATCCCACCTGAGATCCCACCTGAGATCCCACCTGAGACCTCACCTGGGGCTCACCTGGCCTCCATAAAGAGCTCCACAAACCTCACCTGGAGCTCACCTGGGACACACCTGAGACCCTATTTAGGAACCCACCTGAGATCTCACCTGGGCTCCATAAAGAGCTCCACAAACCTCACCTGGGCTCACCTGGGGCTCACCTGTGACACACCTGAGACCTCATTTAGGAACCCACCTGAGACCCACCTGAGACCCACCTGAGATCTCACCTGGGCTCCATAAAGAGCTCCACAAACCTCACCTGGGCTCACCTGGGGCTCACCTGTGACACACCTGAGACCTCATTTAGGAACCCACCTGAGACCCACCTGAGATCCCACCTGAGACCCACCTGGCCTCCATAATGAGCTCCAGAAACCTCACCTGGAGCTCACCTGGGCACACCTGGGCACACCTGTGACACACCTGAGAGCCTATTTAGGAACCCACCTGAGATCCCACCTGAGACCCACCTGGGGCTCACCTGGGCACATCTGGGAACCCACCTGAGATCCCACCTGGGGCACACCTGAGATCCCACCTGAGATCCCACCTGAGACCTCACCTGAGATCAACCTGGGAACCCACCTGAGACCTCACCTGGCCTCCATAAAGGGCTCCAGAAACCTCACCTGGGGCTCACCTGAGACCCACCTGGGGCACACCTGAGACCCCATTTAGGAACCCACCTGAGATCCCACCTGGGAACCCACCTGAGATCCCACCTGAGGCTCACCTGGCCTCCATAAAGAGCTCCAGAAACCTCACCTGGGGCTCACCTGAGACACACCTGAGACCCCATTTAGGAACCCACCTGAGATCCCACCTGAGATCCCACCTGGGGCTCACCTGGGAACCCACCTGAGACCTCACCTGGCCTCCATAAAGAGCTCCACAAACCTCACCTGGGCTCACCTGGGGCACACATAGGAACCCACCTGAGAACCCACCTGAGATCCCACCTGAGACCCACCTGGGAACCCACCTGAGATCCACCTGGGAACCCACCTAAGATCCCACCTGAGATCTCACCTGGCCTCCATAAAGAGCTCCAGAAACCTCACCTGGAGCTCACCTGTGACACACCTGGGGCACACCTGAGACCCTCCCAGCCTCCCCAGGTACCTCCAGGTGACTTGGTGGTGCCCCAGCCGCTGACGCTGCAGTTCTGGCCGGCCCGAGGACACCTGGGCACACCTGGGACACACCTGGGGCACACCTGGGGCACACCTGAGACCCCATTTAGGAACCCACCTGAGATCCCACTTAGGAACCCACCTGAGATCCCACCTGAGACCTCACCTGGGACACACCTGGGGCACACCTGGGGCACACCTGGGCACACCTGGGCACACCTGAGACCCCATTTAGGAACCCACCTGAGATCCCACTTAGGAACCCACCTGAGATCCCACCTGGTCTCCATAAAGAGCTCCAGAAACCTCATCTGGGGCTCACCTGTGACACACCTGAGACCCCATTTAGGAACCCACCTGAGATCCCACCTGAGATCCCACCTGAGATCCCACCTGGGGCTCACCTGGGGCTCACCTGTGACCCAGCAGGAACCCACCTGAGATCCCACCTGAGACCTCACCTGGCCTCCATAAAGAGCTCCAGAAACCTCACCTGGAGCTCACCTGGGGCTCACCTGTGACACACCTGAGGCTCACCTGGGAACCCTCCTGAGATCCTACTTAGGAACCCACCTGAGATCCCACCTGAGATCCCACCTGGTCTCCATAAAGAGCTCCACAAACCTCACCTGGGACACACCTGAGATCCACCTGGGAACCCACCTGAGATCCACCTGAGATCCCACTTAGGAACCCACCTGAGATCCCACCTGAGACCCACCTGGGGCTCACCTGGGCACACCTGATACCCCCTTTAGGAACCCACCTGAGATCTCAACTGAGACCCACCTGGGCTCACCTGAGATCTCATTTAGGAACCCACCTGAGATCCCACCTGAGACCTCACCTGGTCTCCATAAAGAGCTCTAGAAACCTCACCTGGGCTCACCTGTGACACACCTGTGACACACCTGAGACCCACCTGAGAGCCCACTTAGGAACCCACCTGAGATCCCACCTGAGATCCACCTGGGAACCCACCTGAGACCTCACCTGGTCTCCATAAAGAGCTCCAGAGACCTCACCTGGGGCTCACCTGTGACACACCTGAGACACACCTGAGACCTCACTTAGGAACCCACCTGAGATCCCACCTGAGACCCACCTGAGACCTCACCTGTCCTCCATAAAGAGCTCCACAAACCTCACCTGGAGCTCACCTGTGACACACCTGGGGCTCACCTCAGACCCCATTTAGGAACCCACCTGAGACCTCACCTGGGGCTCACCTGGGCACACCTGAGATCCCACCTGAGATCCCACCTGAGACCTCACCTGAGATCCATAAAGAGCTCCAGAAACCTCACCTGGGCTCACCTGGGGCACAGGTAGGAACCCACCTGAGATCCCTCCTGAGACCCACCTGAGATCCCACTTAGGAACCCACCTCAGATCTCACCTGGCCACCATAAAGAGCTCCAGAAACCTCACCTGGGGCTCACCTGGGAACCCACCTGAGATCCCACGTGAGATCCCATTTAGGAACCCACCTGAGACCTCACCTGGCCTCCATAAAGAGCTCCACAAACCTCACCTGGGGCTCACCTGAGACCTGTCCCACCCCCCTGAGACCCTCCCACCTGTGCCCAGGTACCTCCAGGTGACTTGGTGGTGCCCCAGCCGCTGACGCTGCAGTTCTGGCCGGCCCGGGGACACCTGGGGCACACCTGGGGCACACCTGGGGCACACCTGGGCACACCTGGGACTCCATTTAGGAACCCACCTGAGATCCCACCTGAGACCCCACCTGGGCTCCATAAAGAGCTCCACAAACCTCACCTGGGGCACACCTGTGACACACCTGAGACCCCATTTAGGAACCCACCTGAGATCCCACCTGAGACCCACCTGAGACCCACCTGAGATCTCACCTGGTCTCCATAAAGAGCTCCAGAAACCTCACCTGGGGCTCACCTGTGACACACCTGAGACACACCTGAGGCTCATCTGGGAACCCTCCTGAGATCCCACTTAGGAACCCACCTGAGACCCACCTGGGAACCCACCTGAGACCTCACCTGGGCTCCATAAAGAGCTCCAGAAACCTCACCTGGAGCTCACCTGTGACACACCTGAGACCCCATTTAGGAACCCACCTGAGATCCCACCTGAGATCCACCTGGGAACCCACCTGAGACCCGCCTGAGATCCCACCTGGCCTCCATAATGGGCTCCACAAACCTCACCTGGGGCTCACCTGTGACACACCTGAGACCGCATTTAGGAACCCACCTGAGATCCCACCTGAGACCTCACCTGTGACACACCTGAGACCCCATTTAGGAACCCACCTGAGATCCCACCTGAGACCCACCTGAGATCTCACCTGAGATCTCATTTAGGAACCCACCTGAGACCTCACCTGGCCTCCATAAAGAGCTCCACAAACCTCACCTGGAGCTCACCTGTGACACACCTGAGACACACCTGAGACCCTCCCCACCCTCCCCACCTGTGCCCAGGTACCTCCAGGTGACTTGGTGGTGCCCCAGCCGCTGACGCTGCAGTTCTGGCCGGCCCGGGGACACCTGGGCACACCTGTGACACACCTGGGCACACCTGGGGCTCACCTGAGACCCCATTTAGGAACCCACCTGAGATCCACCTGAGATCCCACCTGAAACCTCACCTGGAGCACACCTGGGACCCACCTGAGACTTCACCTGGGAACCCACCTGAGATCCCACCTGAGATCCCACCTGGGCTCCATAAAGAGCTCCAGAAACCTCACCTGGGCTCACCTGTGACACACCTGAGACCCACCTGTGACACACCTGAGATCCCATTTAGGAACCACCTGAGATCCCACCTGGGAACCCACCTGAGATCCCACAAAGAGCTCCAGAAACCTCACCTGGAGCTCACCTGTGACACACCTGTGACACACCTGAGACCCTCCCACCTGTGCCCAGGTACCTCCAGGTGACTTGGTGGTGCCCCAGCCGCTGACGCTGCAGTTCTGGCCGGCCCGAGGACACCTGGGGCACACCTGGGGCACACCTGGGGCACACCTGGGGCACACCTGGGGCACACCTGAGATCCCACCTGAGAACCCATTTAGGAACCCACCTGAGACCTCACCTGGCCTCCATAAAGAGCTCCAGAAACCTCACCTGGGCTCACCTGGAGCACACCTGAGGCTCACCTGTGACACACCTGTGACACACCTGAGACCCCGTTTAGGAACCCACCTGAGATCCACCTGAGATCTCACCTGGGCTCACCTGAGACCCCATTTAGGAACCCACCTGAGATCCCACCTGAGACCTCACCTGGGCTCACCTGAGACCCCATTTAGGAACCCACCTGAGATCCACCTGGGAACCCACCTGAGATCCCACCTGAGATCCCACCTGAGACTCCATTTAGGAACCCACCTGAGATCTCACCTGGGCTCCATAAAGAGCTCCAGAAACCTCACCTGGGCACACCTGTGACACACCTGAGACCCTCCCACCTGTGCCCAGGTACCTCCAGGTGACTTGGTGGTGCCCCAGCCGCTGACGCTGCAGTTCTGGCCGGCCCGGGGACACCTGGGGCACACCTGGGCACACCTGGGACACACCTGGGAACCCACCTGAGACCCCATTTAGGATCCCACCTGAGATCCCACCTGAGATCCCACCTGAGATCCCACCTGGCCTCCATAAAGAGCTCCACAAACCTCACCTGGGCTCACCTGTGACACACCTGTGACACACCTGTGACACACCTGGGCACACCTGGGGCACACCTGGGGCACACCTGGGCACCCACCTGAGATCCCACCTGAGATCCATAAAGAGCTCCAGAAACCTCACCTGGGGCTCACCTGAGACACACCTGGGAACCCACCTGAGATCACACCTTAGACCCCATTGAGGAACCCACCTGAGATCCCACCTGGGACCCCCTTTAGGAACCCACCTGAGATCCACCTGAGATCTCACCTGGCCTCCATAAAGAGCTCCAGAAACCTCACCTGTGACACACCTGAGACCTTTCCCACCCTCCCACCTGTGCCCAGGTACCTCCAGGTGACTTGGTGGTGCCCCAGCCGCTGACGCTGCAGTTCTGGCCGGCCCGAGGACACCTGGCCGCCAGGCGGATCCTCTTGACGCGCGGCCCGAATTGCACAGGTGCGTCCAGGTGCAGCAGCATGAAGTCGTTGTCGTTGCGCCGCGGGTCGTACCTGGGGTGCACCTGCAGCCCCTGGACCCCGCGCACCTGTCCCGTACCTGCGCGCAGCGACGTGGTGCCGATCAACACCTGCAGGTCCCTGTGAAGGTGAGACAGGTGAGACAGGTGGGACAGGTGATATGGCACCTGGCCGGTACCTGCACGTAGGGACGTGGTGCCGATCAGAACCTGCAGGTCCCTGTGAGGGTGAGACAGGTGGGACAGGTGAGATGGGACAGGTGAGGTGACACAGGTGAGGTGGGACAGGTGAGGTGGGACAGGTGACACAGGACAGGTGATCTGGCTCCAGCACAGTGGCACAGGTGGGACGGGTGTCACCCAGCCAGGTGTGCCCAGGTGCGCCCATGTGCCCCCAGGTGTGCCCAGGTGTGCCCAGGTGTGTCTGTGCCTGTCCCAGGTGCCACCAGGTGCCCCAGCCGTGCCCAGGTGTGCCCAGGTGTATCCCAGCTGTGCCCAGCTGTACCCCAGGTGTGCCCAGGTGTGTGTAGGTGTATCACAGCTGCCCCCAGGTGTATCCCAGGAGTGCCCAGGTGTGTTTGTATCCCCCTCAGCTGTGTCCAGGTGTGCCCAGGTGTGCCCAGGTATCCCCAGGTGTGCCCATGTGCCCCCAGCCATGCCCAGGTGTGCCCAGGTGTGCCCAGGTGTGCTCACCTGGGGGGCTGGCGGCAGTGCGCAGGTGTATCTCAGGTGTGCCCAGGTGTGCCCAGGTGTATCCCAGGTGTATCCCAGGTGCCCCCAGGTGCCCCCAGGTGTGCCCAGGTGTATCCCAGGTGCCCAGGTGTGCCCAGGTGTGCCCAGGTACCCCAGGTGTGCCCAGGTGTGCCCAGGTGTGCCCAGGTGTGCCCAGGTGTGCTCACCTGGCTGGCTGCCGGCAGTGCGCGGCCGTCAGGACCCACCGCGCCCCCACGAGGCTGCCCCCGCACAGGATCTGCCCCCGCCGGGTCAGCGCCACCTGGAACGGGCGCTGGGCCACCGAGCAGGGCTGGCCCCCGATGATCCGCGACTCGTCCTCCTCGGGAACTGCGAAAAATGGGGGAAAAACGGGAAAAAACGGTGAAAAAATGAGAAAAAACTGTGAAAAAATGGTGAAAAAATGATAAAAAAATGGGAAAAAACGGCGAAAAAAATGATAAAAACCGGTGAAAAAGCGGGGAAAAACGGGGGGAAAATGGGGAAAAAAATTGGGGGAAGATCCGTGACTTGTCCTCCTCGGGAACTGCGAAATGGGGAGAAACGGTGAAAAAACGGTGAAAAAACGGTGAAAAAATGGTGAAAAAATGATAAAAAATGGTGAAAAAACGGCGAAGAAATGGAAAAAAAAGGGCGAAAAAATAAGAAAAAATGAGGGGGAAATGGGGAAAAAATGGGGGAAGATCCACGACTCGTCCTCCTCGGGAACTGGAAATGGGGGAAAAATGGGGAAAAATAGGAAAAAACGGTGAAAAAATGGGGGAAAAGGGCAACAAAAGAGGGAAAAAATGGAGTAGAAATGGGGGGAAAAGGGCAAAAAACTTGGGGGAAAAGTATGGCAAAAAATGAGAAAAAAATGGCAAAAAAATGGGAAAAAACGGCGAAAAAATAGGGAAAATGGTGGAAAAATGAGAAAAAAACAGTGAAAAAATGAGAAAAAAACGGGGAAAATGAGAAAAAACGGGAAAAATGGGGGAACAAACAAGGAAAAAATGGGGGAACAAACTGAAAAAATGGGGAGGAAATGGGGAAAAAATGGGGGAAAATGGGGAAAATGGGAAAAAAATGGTGAAAAAACGAGAAGAAACAGTGAAAAAATGGGAAAATGGGGAAAAAATGGGGAGAAATGGGGGGAAAATGGGAAAAATGGGGAGAAAATGGGGAGGAAATGGGAGAAAATTGGGGGGAAATTGGGAAAAAATGGGAGAAAAAAACCAGGAAAAATCGTTAGAAAAACGGGAATTTTGTCCCCAAAAAATGGAGAAAAAGGGGGAGAATTGTGGAAAAAGGTAAAAAAAAGGAAAGAAATGGCAAAAAATGGGGAAAAAGGGTAAAATTGGAGGGAAAATTGGGAAAAAATGGGCAGAAATGGGGAGAAAAGAGGAATGGACAGAAAATGGGGAAAAATTTGGGAATTTTGGGAAAAAAGATGGAAAATTGGTGGGGGGATGGGGAAAATGAGGAATGGACCAAAAATGGGGAAATTTTTGGGAATTTTGGGAAAAAATAAGGAAAATCGGTGGGGGAAAATGGGGAAAATAAGGAATGGACAAAAAATGGGGAAATTTTGGGGGAATTTTGGGAAAAATGGAGGAAAATTGGGGGGGAAATGGGGAAAATGAGAAATGGACCAAAAAATGGGGAAATTTGGGGGAATTTGGGGAAAAAAGATGGAAAATCAGTGGGGGGATGGGGGAAAGGAGGAATGAACCAAAAATGGGGAAATTTTTGGGAATTTTGGGAAAAATGGAGGAAAATTGGGGGGAGAAATGGGGAAAATGAGGAATGGACAAAAAATGGGGAAAAATTGGGGAATTTTGGGAAAAAAGATGGAAAAAAAAGTGACCACCCTGAGTGACCACCTGGGAATTCCCACAGGGGCGGCTCAGCTGCAATCCCGGGAGGAAATTCCCAAAAAATCCGTAAAAATCCCAAAAATCCACAAAAATCCACAAAAATCCACAAAAATCCACAAAAAATCCATAAAAATCCCAACCCCCAAATTCCAAACCAAAAATCACAAAAAGCCACAAAAATCCCCAAAAATCCCAAACCCAAAATCCCAAATTCCACAAAACTCCCAAAATCCCGAATCCATAAAAAACCCCAAACCCCAAAAAACCCCAAACCTCCAAATCCACAAAAATTCCCAAACCCAAACCCCAAAATCCAAACCCCAAATCCCAAACCCCAAAAACTTCCCCAGAATTCCCGAATTCCCCCAGAATTCCCCAATTTTCCCAAATTCCCCCCAGATTTCCTGAATTTCCTCCACAATTCCCGAATTTTCCCAGAATTCTTCCCAAAGTTCCCAGAATTCCAAAATCCCCCCCAGAAATCCCAAATTTTCCCCAGATTTCCCCCAGAATTCCGGAATTTTCCCTGAATTTCTCCCCATAATTCCAAAATTTCCCCCAAATTTCCCCCAATTTTCCCCCAAATTTCCCCCACAATTCCCAGAATTCCCGAATTTTTCCCAAATTTCCCTGGAAATTCCCAAATTTTCCCGAATTTCCCCAAATTTCCCCCGAATTTTCCCCCAGAATTCCCGAATTTCTCCTGAATTTTTCCCACATTTCCCCAGAAATTCCCAAATTTCTCCAAATTTCCTCAAATTTTTCCATTATTTTCCCCTGCATTTCCCAGAAATTCCTAAATTTTCCCAAATTTTCCCAAATTTCCCTCAAAATTCCCGATTTCCCCCCAGAATTCCCAAACTTTCCCCAAATTGTCCCTTAATTCCCCCCAGAATTCCCAAATTCCCCCCAGAATTCCCAAATTTCCTCCGATTTCCCCATATTTTCTCGAATTCCCCCCAGAATTCCCAAATTTTCCCAAATTTTCCCCGAATTTTCCCCAAATTCCCTCCAGAATTCCCAAATTTCCCCGAATTCCCCCCAGAATTCCTGAATTTTCCCAAATGTCACCCAAAATTCTCGAATTTACCCCCAGAAATAACAAATTTTCCCCAAATTTTCCCCAATTTTCCCAAATTCTCCCCAGACTTCCTGAATTTTCCCAAATTTTCCAGGAATTTTCCCCGAATTTCCCCCAGAATTCCCACATTTTACCCGAATTTTCCTCAATTTTTTTCCCGAATTTCCCCGGCAGAATTCCAAAATTTCCCCAAATTCCCCCCAGAATTCCCGAATTTTCCCTGAATTCCCAAATTTTCCCCGAAGTCCCCCCAGAATTGCGAAATTTCCCCCAAAATTCCCAATTTTCCCCCCAAATTTCCCCCCCGGCATTTCCCGCCATTCCCCCGGAATTTTCCCGCCATTCCCCCGGAATTTTCCCGCGCCATTTTCCCGGGTCTCACGCGCTGTCTCGCCATTGGCCGCCCGGGCGCGGGGGGCGGGGCCGAGCACGAGCAGGGGGAGGAGCATCAGGAGGGGGCGGGGCCGGGGCCGGCCGAGGGCGCCGAGAGCCATTCCTGGAATGGGGCAAAATCCCGGGATTTTGGGAAAATTCGGGGAAAATCGCGGGATTTTGGGAAAATTCGGGACATTTGGGGCATTTTGGGGAAAATTGGGAGAATGGGGGAAATTTGGGGTAATTTTGGGGGATTTTGAAGAAAATTTGGGGAAAATTTAGGGAAATTTGGGGAATTTTGGGGGGATTTTAGGGAATTTTTGGGGATTTTTTGGGGGAAAATCAGGCAAATTTTGGGGATTTTGGGGGAATTTTGGTGGAAGTTTTGGGGAATATTTAAGGAATTTTGGGGAATTTTTGGGGAATTTTAGAAAATTTTGGGGAAATTTTGGGGAATTTGTGGGGATTTTGGGAAAATTTGGGGGGATTTGGAGGAAATTTGGGGGATATTGGGGAAAATTTGGGAATTTTGGGGGGGGGAATTTTTGGGAAAATTTGGGGAAATTTTGGGGGAATTTGGGGAAATTTTGGGGAAATTTTGGGGAAATATGAGGGAATTTTGGGGAATTGGGGGGAATTTTGGGGAAATTTTGGAGGATTTTGGGGGATTTTTTTGGATTTTGGGCCATTTTGGGGGTTTGGGGGGAATTTTGGGAAGGATTTTGGGGATTTTTGGATCCAGGTGAGATCCAGGTGCTGGGAGGGGGCGTGGCCGCGATCCAGGTGAGATTTGGGGGAATTTTTGGGAATTTTGGGGAATTTTGGGAGAAATTTTTGGGGTCTTGAATCAAGGTGAGATCCAGGTGAGATTTGGGGGAATTTTTGGGAGGAATTTCTGGGATTTTGGGTAATTTGGGGGGAAATTTTGGGATTTTGGATCCAGGTGAGATCCAGGTGCTGGGAGTGGGCGTGGCCACGATCCAGGTGAGATTTTGGGGAATTTTGGGGCATTTTTTGGGGAATTTTTTTGGTTTCGGATCCAGGTGAGATCCAGGTGCTGGGAGGGGGCGTGGCCACGATCCAGGTGAGATTTTGGGGAATTTTGGGGAATTTTAGGGAATTTTTTTGGGAATTTTTTGGGGTTTCAGATCCAGGTACCTGGGAGGGGGCGTGGCCACGATCCAGGTGAGATTTGGGGGAATTTTGGGGAATTTGGGGGAATTTTGGGGAATTTTTGGGGGAATTTTTGGGGTTTCGGATCCAGGTGAGATCCAGGTACCTGTGAGGGGGCGTGGCCGCGATCCAGGGGAGATTTGGGGGAATTTTGGGTAATTTTGGGGGAATTTTTTTGGGTTTTGAATCCAGGTGAGATTTGGGGGAATTTTGGGGAATTTTGGGGAATTTTTGGGAATTTTTTGGGGAATTTTTGGGATTTTGAATCCAGGTGAGATCCAGGTACCTGTGAGGGGGCGTGGCCACGATCCAGGTGAGATTTTGGGAAATTTTTGGGAATTTTTGGGGAATTTTTGGGGAATTTTTTGGGGTTTTGGATCCAGGTGAGATCCAGGTGCTGGGAGGGGGCGTGGCCACGATCCAGGTGAGATTTGGGGGAATTTTGGGGAATTTGGGGGAATTTTGGGGAATTTTTGGGGGAATTTTTGGGGTTTCGGATCCAGGTGAGTTCCAGGTACCTGTGAGGGGGCGTGGCCGCGATCCAGGTGAGATTTGGGGGAATTTTGGGGAATTTTTTTGGGAAATTTTGGGGTTTCGGATCCAGGTACCTGTGAGGGGGCGTGGCCACGATCCAGGTGAGATTTTGGGGAATTTTTGGGAATTTTTTGGGGAATTTTTTTGGGTTTTGAATCCAGGTGAGATTTGGGGGAATTTTGGGGATTTTTTGGGGGAATTTTTGGGGATTTTTGGATCCAGGTGAGATCCAGGTACTGGGAGGGGGCGTGGCCACGATCCAGGTGAGATTTGGGGGAATTTTTGGGAATTTTTTTGGGGAATTTTTTGGGGGTTTTGGATCCAGGTGAGAGCCAGGTGGTGTGAGGGGGCGTGGCCACGATCCAGGTGAGATTTGGGGGAATTTTTTGAGAGGAATTTCTGGGATTTTGGATAATTTTTGGGGGAAATTTTGGGGTTTTGGATCCAGGTGAGATCCAGGTGCTGGGAGGGGGCGTGGCCACGATCCAGGTGAGATTTGAGGGAATTTTGGGGAATTTTGGGGAATTTTTGGGGGAATTTTTGGGGGTTTCGGATCCAGGTGAGTTCCAGGTACCCGGGAGGGGGCGTGGCCACGATCCAGGTGAGATTTGGGGGAATTTTGGGGAATTTTTTTTGGGAATTTTGGGGGGTTTCGGATCCAGGTGAGATCCAGGTGCTGGGAGGGGGCGTGGCCGCGATCCAGGTGAGATTTGGGGGAATTTTTGGGATCTTGGGGAATTTGGGGGGATTTTGGGAGAAATTTTTGGGGTATTGAATCAAGGCGAGATCCAGGTGGGATTTGGGGGAATTTTTGGGAGGAATTTCTGGGATTTTGGGTAATTTTGGGGGGAAATTTTTGGGTTTTGGATCCAGGTGAGATCCAGGTGCTTTGAGGGGGCGTGGCCACGATCCAGGTGAGATTTGGGGGAATTTTGGGGAATTTTTTGGGGAATTTTTGGGAATTTTTTGGGAATTTTTGGGTTTTGGATCCAGGTGAGTTCCAGGTACCTGTGAGGGGGCGTGGCCACGATCCAGGGGAGATTTGGGGGGAATTTTTGGGAATTTTTGGGGAATTTTTTGGGGGTTTTGGATCCAGGCGAGGTCAGGGGAGCTCACCTGGGTCGGGTTCACTCACCTGGGTGGGGTGGGGCTCACCTGGACCTGACACACCTGGATCAGGCTCACCTGGCTCGGGCTCACCTGCCTGGGGTGGGGCTCACCTGGACCCGGCTCACCTGGCTCGGGAGGATTCACCTGGATCAGACTCACCTGGCCTGGACTCACCTGGATCAGGAGGGGCTCACCTGGACTGGGAGGGGCTCACCTGGACCCAGCTTACCTGGACTGGGAGGGGGTCACCTGGCGGGGGTGGGGCTCACCTGGCGGGGGTGGGGCTCACCTGGCTCAGGGGGCTCACCTGGATCGGGGGGGAGGGGTCTCACCTGGACCCGGCTCACCTGGCTCAGGAGGATTCATCTGCCTCAGGCTCACCTGTCTCGGGTTCACCTGGATTTGGGCTCACCTGGATGGGGCTCATCTGGATCAGGAGGATTCACCTGTCTGAGACTCACCTGTCTCGGGCTCACCTGGATCGAGCTCACCTGGCTGGGGGGGGAGGAAATCTCACCTGGCTGGGGTGGGGCTCACCTGGATCGGGCTCACCTGGATCAGGAGGATTCACCTGTCCCGGGCTCACCTGGATGGGGCTCACCTGGCTTGGGGGGGCTCAACTGGATCAGGCTCACCTGGATCGGGCTCACCTGGATCAGACTCACCTGGATCAGGAGGATTCACCTGTCCCGGGCTCACCTGGATGGGGCTCACCTGTCTCGGGCTCACCTGGATCCAGCTCACCTGGCTCGGGTGGAGCTCACCTAGGTCGGGACTCACCTGGATCAGGTTCACCTGGATCTGACACACCTGGATCAGGCTCACCTGGCTCAGGAGGGGCTCACCTGGACTGGGAGGGGCTCACTTGGATCAAGCTTACCTGGCTGGGGTGGGGCTCACCTGGATCTAGGGGGGCTCACCTGGATCGGGCTCACCTGGATGGAGCTCACCTGGCTCAGGAGGATTCACCTGTCTCGGGTTCACCTGTCTCAGGCTCACCTGGATGGGGCTCACCTGGATCGAGCTCACCTGGCTCGGGGGAAGGGGAATCTCACCTGGCTGGGATGGGGCTCACCTGGATTGGGCTCACCTGGATCAGGAGGATTCACCTGTCCCGGGCTCACCTGGATGGGGCTCACCTGGATCTAGGGGGGCTCACCTGTCTCGGGCTCACCTGTCTTGGGCTCACCTGGATTGGGGCTCACCTGGCTCGGGTGGAGCTCACCTAGGTCGGGACTCACCTGGATCAGGTTCACCTGGATCTGACACACCTGGATCAGGAGGGGCTCACCTGGATTGGGCTCACCTGGCTCGGACTCACCTGTCTCGGGCTCACCTGCCTCGGGTGGAGCTCACCTAGGTCGGGACTCACCTGGATCAGGTTCACCTGGATCTGACACACCTGGATCTGACACACCTGGATCAGGCTCACCTGGATCAAGCTTACCTGGCTGGGGTGGGGCTCACCTGGCTCAGGGGGGGCCCACCTGGATCTAGGGGGGCTCACCTGGCTCAGACTCACCTGTATGGGGCTCACCTGGATTGGGAGGATTCACCTGTCTCGGGTTCACCTGGCTGGGGTGGAGCTCACCTAGGTCGGGACTCACCTGGATCAGGCTCACCTGGATGGGGGGGTCTCACCTGGATCCGGGGGGGGCGGAGGGGGGCTCACCTGTCTCGGGGGGGTCTCACCTGTCTCGGGGTCACCTGGCTGGGGGGGAGGAGGGGGGAGGGGCGCTCACCTGTCTGGGGGGGGGTCACCTGTCTGGGGGGGTCACCTGTCTGGGGGGGGTCTCACCTGTCTCGGGGGGGTCTCACCTGTCTGGGGGGGGGGTCTCACCTGGATGGGGGGGAGGGGGTCTCACCTGTCTCGGGGGGGTCTCACCTGTCTCGGGGGGGGTCTCACCTGTCTGGGGGGTCTCACCTGTCTGGGGGAGGGGAGGGGAGGGGGGGGGAGGGGGGAGGGGCGCTCACCTGTCTCGGGGGGGGGTCTCACCTGTCTGGGGGAAGGGAGGGGCGCTCACCTGTCCCGGGGGGGTCTCACCTGTCTCAGGGGGGTCTCACCTGTCTCGGGGGGGTCTCACCTGTCTGGGGGGGTCTCACCTGGATGGAGGGGGAGGGGCGCTCACCTGTCTCGGGTGGGTCTCACCTGGATCGGGGGGTCTCACCTGTCTGGGGGGGTCTCACCTGTCTCGGGGGGGTCTCACCTGTCGGGGGGGGGGAGGGGAAGGGGGGGGGAGGGGCGCTCACCTGTCTCGGGCTCACCTGTCTCGGGGGGGTCTCACCTGTCTCGGGGGGGTCTCACCTGTCTCGGGGGGGTCTCACCTGTCTGGGGGAGGGGGGGGGGGGGGGGGGAGGGGCGCTCACCTGTCTCGGGCT